ATACCGACGCTATGAATAATCATACCGACGCTATGAATAATCATACCGACGCTATGAATAATCATACCGACACTATGAATAATCATACCTACGCTATGAATAATCATACCGACGCTATGAATAATCATACCTACGCTATGAATAATCATACCGACGCTATGAATAATCATACCTACGCTATGAATACCGACGCTATGAATAATCATACCTACGCTATGAATAATCATACCGACGCTATGAATAATCATACCTACGCTATGAATAATCATACCGACGCTATGAATAATCATACCGACGCTATGAATAATCATACCGACGCTATGAATAATCATACCGACGCTATGAATAATCATACCGACGCTATGAATAATCATACCGACGCTATGAATAATCATACCGACGCTATGAATAATCATACCGACGCTATGAATAATCATACCGACGCTATGAATAATCATACCGACGCTATGAATAATCATACCGACGCTATGAATAATCATACCGACGCTATGAATAATCATACCGACGCTATGAATAATCATACCGACGCTATGAATAATCATACCGACGCTATGAATAATCATACCGACGCTATGAATAATCATACCGACGCTATGAATAATCATACCGACGCTATGAATAATCATACCGACGCTATGAATAATCATACCGACGCTATGAATAATCATACCGACGCTATGAATAATCATACCGACGCTATGAATAATCATACCGACGCTATGAATAATCATACCGACGCTATGAATAATCATACCGACGCTATGAATAATCATACCGACGCTATGAATAATCATACCGACGCTATGAATAATCATACCTACGCTATGAATAATCATACCGACGCTATGAATAATCATACCTACGCTATGAATAATCATACCGACACTATGAATAATCATACCGGCGCTATGAATAATCATACCGACGCTATGAATAATCATACCGACGCTATGAATAATCATACCGACGCTATGAATAATCATACCGACGCTATGAATAATCATACCGACGCTATGAATAATCACAGTAAAACAGTAAAACACAAGTACCGTCTGACTTCATGTTTCACGACTTATGTATCCTTTAGGTTTTACAACCACTGCATCGATTGCGGAACATTCGTTACTCATAGAGTTAAACTTGAGCTCCTACTCTCGTAGTCGGGCACTTTGTACTGTTAGTGTTTCAGTAAGGTGCGTTGTAAATTCTAATAAGAAGCTATTCTTTTCTTAAACATGGTTAATAATACGAAACTTTTAACTGTGCAATCATGTGCTGCTTCGTAATTCTTGTTATTGATATGGAATTATAATGCACATTTTAAACTTGCAGTCCAAAAAGTTTTTCTCGAGAATTTTTTAGTGAGCCACTATAAATCTGTACTTATTTTCACCGTTACGAATTTTTGCCGACTTGGATTTAATTATTGAAATCTACGAATGGTGGCTTAAAGAGGCAGTTTCTTGTCAGGGTTATGGATTCCATCTAGAAAAACCCAAAATCCGTAGAATTTAAACTACTCAGTTAGATTTTATCATTGACTCCGAGCGTTACTTTCTTCTACCATTGATAATTATATACAATCATCTCAACCAAACAATTCGGATTTAAGGGATCAAAATTCAGCGTTTCTAGTTCCAAAATTGTTGTTTAACCTAGTGAGTTTGTTTGGTGGCAACATGTGGCACCAGATTTTCTAGGCTTTTATTGTTTATTTGTTTTTGATACTTAACCACTATACTTATATTTGACATGCAAGTGATCCGGTTTCAAGCTCGGCGGTATGCCACAAACGTAAGGTGAAACTCGTACCACCAAATATTCTTTTGTTAGTCCCCACCAGAATCTTCCTGAAACCTCTTCCTTCAAAACTACTTCAGGACAACTTTGAGATTCATTTTTTAGCCTGGTTAATGTTAATTGCTTGTTTGAAAAAGGGTTTAAAGAAAATAGCGCGTGACTACCTCACGTTGCCCACACGCGTTGTGTGCTTACTATAATACTATTCTAGGAATTTTAAGATTCTGTGCCTTCGATCCAGCTTGAATATTTAATGCAGCTGTGATATGATTTTTTTAGCATTAATTTACACTAACTATGTTTTATGTATGGTGTTAAATGAATCCAATTCTTGAGAAAAATGCGTTTACGCTTCCTGAATTTGTATTAACTTACAGCTACTATATTTTCTGGTCGAAGTTTTGTTGAAAGTATAAAGATCATAACAATACGATCTTAATTTCATTAATATTAAAATAACCTTAAAATTGGATAAACAGTTCAATGTCCATGGTCCTAAATATTTACTTCTCGTATATACTAGATATCTGATATATATTATATATAATATATAATATATTATATTATAATCATGCTAACAATAGACTAGTGTATACAGGCCGTTTATGGTATTTTTTGAAGCGTGCCTTTCTGATCTTCTTATTTCTAACGAGCGAGGTGTTTAAGGAGGTTTTCTTGAAATAGTGCTCCAGAAAGTTCTGCTCATTAACCGCGTACTAATTGACATATCTTCTCTCGGGCAGACATATGAACAAATAATACATTTGTTAATGAACGGAATATTGATAAGATAAATACATCTCACTGTTATAAACATCTTCCTCGCAATCTAAATAATGTTCAATTAACTTGTGTACTATTTGTTAACCAGTCAAGCCACAAGAAGATGAATTCCAAAGTAATATCCAGCAGACCACACTTCAAACCTTTGTATTTCAACTTGTCGTCTGATATGATTGCATATTGCGCAATCAGTACGTCATTTAATGTGCTCATCAGCCGCCCCCTCTTTAGTGTGATGCACATTTTATCTTCCATATAAAATTGTCAGGTTTTCCTCTATCAGATCCTTTTCAGCGGCGTAGCCATGACTTCCAATTAAGTTGATGTCTTCTGGATCTAATTTGAGGAGGAATTTTCGCTTCTGTTCAGTCAAGAAAAGGGTTCATATCCTTAGTTCTATACTTACATATCTTAGGTCTTTAGGTCCTTTCTTAGAGTTAGAAATTTAGCTAACATGATCATAAGCTTGGTTTTGTTCTAGATAGTCACACTTGCTAGACTTAGTGACCATGGAAGCCTGCTGTGTTTAGTAAATTTCTCATATTAATCTAGTTAGTTCTCCACGCTTCTCTTCAGCTAATACAGGTGTTAGAATTTAGAGTAGTTAGCTACCAGCTGAGGAGAGGAGTCTTTTAGTCAACAGCAAGAGTTAACTGCAAATGGAGTGATTTTCTAAATGTTCAACCATTTTTCTAAGAAAATCTCATTTCGGTAATCTTTCTTCGCTCTTATGAGTGGGTCGATCATATAGTTTGATAGTTGGTGACGAAGTGAGAGTCTCCACTTACTACTTAGTGTTTCAAAATAATTAGTTGTCGACGTTTTCGGAAAAACGTCTATTCCAAACAATTGGAAGAATGAGTCTAAAGACTCATTCTTCAAAGTGAAATGAGATTTCTGTCGATGACTTGATTTGTCTTATTTTGAAATTATTACTGCTCTTGAGGAACGAACGTAACTTCTTTGTAATGATCATCAGTACGTAGTTCCCCAAAGTCTGAAACCCGACATATCATTTACCCAATTTTAGGTAAATTAGGTGTATTAGGTGTATAATGTATATATATAATATAATAATTTGCAATCGTTGATTGGATATTGTTGAAGGGAGTTGATTCATTGAGTACGCTAGATTATGCGTGCACTTATCGTTGACCATTAATTCACATTTCTTCCGTCAATTTTTCCTTTTCAGTCATAGCAGGAAACAACCCCGTTAACATAGTATTTTTAGTAACTTAGTTAAACATGGTAAGTAACGTTTTATTTAGTCTAGTAGTCCTCCGAATCCTACTCTAATTTGACTACCAGCCTATTAATAATTGATTATTAATTATTGAGACAGTAGAAGCTTTATTTATTGTTTTCTAAGTAAATTATTTGGAAACACTGATTGTATAATTAGAGGACGGATCATTGTTTAACGTTAGGAGGGCACGCACGGGCTTTCGTTGCGTGCTGGATTTTCGTTATCTCTCTCCTGATGGCATGGAAATCGTGCATTATATCGCCACTTTCAAAACAGATGTTAAACGCTATGACGTATAACACTCAAGAGAAAGTGTTGTCCTCTCTAAAAACAACGTTTAATTTAGTCGAGACGTTTTCCCAGCCTAATCCTATTGTCAGCTTATTTTTAATCAAGAGACAATGGTATTGTTTTCTAACTAAAAGTTAATGTTTCTTAACCCCATAAAGAGAAAGTTAACCTCATCGGTATGTGTGAGGTGGCCTTCCAATTATTCAGTTGGCTTTATAGTTATGTTATAGTTTTGTAAATGGTATATATATCTTGTTGACAGCTTTAATTATTCTCACTAGTTGGAGCAACTCTCTGTTTCTGTAAAGTACAAACATTTCACCACTTAATAAAATTAATTGACGATTTCCACAGCGTTCTCTAATGTCCACGACAGTTCATTCACAATTTGCTTCACAAGCTGTTTAGGGATCAAACTTGCCACACAGGTAATAAGGTCCACACTCCAGGATCATAATATACATTACCGGACGTTTAGGTGCTAGGGACACACTCAACTACCATCACTATAATTGCTGCCAATGTTGCCGCTGTTTGCAGAGTGGTTTTCGGGCAATTATTAAGAATAACACTAGAGTGGATCCATCGGTAAATTAGCTAAATGCCGTACATGATTACTTTTTACGTAGCATTATGCCATGAGCATTGAGCGTATGTCTGAGATTCGGTTGTAAAGTTTTTTGTCACTGTGCCACTGCCATTGCTACAATAAACAAATTAAATTTATAGCTGCTTTAATTGTTTGTTTGCAGTTTTGCTCAATAGTACCGTGTAAGGGTTAGAAAGACGACATCTTTAAATTATTTATCCAAACGTCTCACAACGCCAAAAAACAGATTCTAACTGCCCATTATTCAGGATGATATGGATAACAATACTGCTCACCCTCGTCCTACAACTCCAGCCTACTATCACAGAAGAATACACAATAGGTCTCCTTATGTCTTCTGAAAACATCCAGAAATCACTCCTGGAGAAGATAGTACCATATGCTATCTCCCACTTCAACGCCAACTCAACAGATGTGAAGCTGAAACTGGAGCAGGTGACGTATAACGGTTCCTCCCTAAACGAGCTAGTGATGGGATCTTGTAAGCTGGTTAATAAGGGGGCAGTAGCTGTTATCTCACCAGATGGTTCTAACACGGTGGCTCAAGCTGCTGATGTGTTTAGTCCTCTGAACATTCCGATCATATCCCTGGCAGCAACAGACCCTTACATCAGGAGGGCACACAGAGACAACGTCCTCCTCCTCTCACCCAGCGATACCTTCCAGTCCAGAGCTATACTCGACCTTCTAGGGCACTTCAGGTGGCACGAGATAGCTATCATCGCATCGGACAGTAACTACGGAATAAACGGTGTGCACTACCTGCAGCAGCTCATCACCAAACGAGACGAAGCTAAGTTCGTGATAAAGAAGATAAACTTCTTCAACGCAGTACCTGCTCCTAAACTGACGAATACCCTGAAAAGTATAAAGAAGTCCCTAGCAAGAGTGATAATTCTGAACTGCGAGGGACAGTACAGCAGCGTCGTTCTAGCAGAGGCTTACAAAATGGACCTGCTCGCTCGGGAATACGTTTGGATTGTTACCGATGCGATAACAGGTAATCCACAGACCCTCCTTCCGTATGGGACGCGCAGTGACCGCTACAGCGGACTGATTGGGATACGATTTGCAATAAAGAAGGAAACGAAGGAATTTGAAATGCTGAGTGAGGAGTTTGAAAAGATGAAATGGAATGACTCCATGACCCACCCTCTCACCCCATCCCTGGTGATGAGTTACGATGCTGTGCAGATGGCAGGTAGGAGTCTGGAAATGTTAGCAGAAACAGATTCCATCCAGCAGCCGGACTCCAGCTGCTCTTATGACAAACCCTGGCAACCCTGGAACAATGGAGACAGGTACTATGATGCTCTCAAGTCTTCTAACTATGAGGGGGCATCAGGAAGATGGAGTTTCACTGATGATGGAATGGTAAATCACCCCGGTTACGAGATAGTTAACCTGAGGAGTTATGGGTATGACACGCCCAGGTTCCTTGAAATAGGAAAATGGACTGAGGAAAAAGGGCTGGAGATAGAAGACGATAGCCGGATAAAGTTCCTAGGAAATGCCCCTGTCCGTCCAATGGGGGTCGCTAACAGTCTTAATGCCGAGCACTTGAAATTAGGGGTGACTGAAAACCCTCCCTTCGCAGCGAGGATACCCAACTGTACAGGACACTCCTGTTGGGAGGGAATATGTCCTGACGTGGTGAAGAACCTGTCAACAGCACTGAACTTTACTTACGAGTTTGTCGAGCCTTATGATAAGGAGTTCGGGAGGTTTGATCCGGGAACACACACTTGGAACGGACTCATAGGAGACATGTTGTCACAGAGGACAGACATGGTTACCATGGACTTGTCTGTTGGGGTCCAGAGGAAACAGTACATTGACTTCACCGTCTCCTTCATGGATTCCGGTATCAGTCTGGCGATTAAAGGCGAATCAGGAAAAAGTGACATATTCTTCTTCATGAGTCCATTTGGGTACTCGGTGTGGTGCATGATAGCAGTGGTGTTCATGCTCATGGGTATCATTCTGAATCTCATCAGCAAGATATCCCCCTACGGGTCTCATGGTAAGAAGATCCACGCAATGCAAGTCTGCAAATGTGAGGGGTGTGAAGAAAGAAGACTAGTCAAACAGCAGCTGAAAATCAAGTTCAAAGACCACATTCAATCAGAGTGTTTGGTTGACAGAATGGTTGAGGATGCTGAGGATGAGACAATGACGTTCTACAACTCTCTGTGGGTAGCCGGAGCAGGGCTGGTGGGTCAGGGCACTGCTGCACTTCCTGCTAGTCCTTCTGGAAGGTTCCTCCTATTCATCTGGTGGTTCTTCATTCTCCTCATCATTTCCATGTACACGGCTAACCTCACTGCTTTCATGACGCTAGACAAGATCGGGATCACAGTAAGTTCAGCGAAGGACCTGCTAAAGCAGAATCAGAAGAAGTACGAGTGGGGGATTATTGAGGGAAGCTTTGTGGAGTCTCTCCTCATCAACAACGTGGATACTGATTTCAAGAAGCTGGTTGATGGAGCTGTTAAAATAAAAACAGTGGAAGAGGGCAACAACAGGGTACACCAAGGTGGGTTCGTCTTCCTTGATGAGAGTCCGTTCTTGTCTTACAACCTCCTCGGCAGTTGCGGTATCTTCCAAGTAGGAGGAGAGATCCAACCATTCGACTATGGGTTCGGGCTGCCCAAGAGCTCACCCTACACTGAGCTGATGAACACGCAGATCATAAAGTATAGGGAGCTGGGCTTCTTCGACGAGTTGTGGATCAAATGGGACAAAACCCCAGCTGACGGCTGCGAAAATAACCATGAGGTTGGAGCAGATGAAGTGCTCCAAATGTCCACAGTTCAAGGAATCTTCCTACTTTTAGCTCTCGGTCTGGTCATCAGTTTCGCTCTGATATTGTTAGAGACTGTGATGGCAACCGCCCAGGATGGTTACGACGACCAGCACAGAACATTCTGGTCAAAACTGGTCCGGCGGGTAAAGCTCAAGTATGAGGACTTTAGTACGGAGTGGTTTGTATTCTCCAGACCCCATAAAGCGTCAGCAAACGGAGACAATTATCTGAAACTTGATTCGTTGGACAAGTTTGCTTCTTCCGAAGTGAAGGGTGGCCCAAATCACGGCGTGTAACTTTTATTTTAGGGCATTTTACTGTTTTAACCAACATTTCTACCAATTATTTGAACATTGCAAGTTGAAATATTTTATCAGGCTTGTGCTTGTCGTGTTTTGAAAGCGGATAACTCACTGCATACCAAGACATTTTGGGATACAGTATGTTATAATACCATTTTCTACCTACAGTTATTGAGTTATTTATCATAAATATCAAATTTCTGATCAAAGTCACCGCTCAGAAAACTGTGATATGAGGGTTGTACTGAAATTTTTATTCAATAAACATTTTACTGAACATATATTAATTGATTTTTATAGAAAATCTATTTAATGTTTGTTTTATTGGTCTAAGCTAAAGCCATACATATGTATCAAGATCTAAATTTTAGGGGCCTGGATAATATTGTAGAAACATAAACAATATTAGGGGAAGGGGGGATAAATATAAGCGAAATATAAGCGACATGAAGTAAACATGAAATAGATGCAGCAGGGTACAACTCACCTCCAGAACAACAATATGTGAAATACAGGAAATGAGGATATGAAGTGAGCTCGTCTCGGGCATGTTTTCAACTGGACACATCATTTCCCAGTGCTACATAGTGAATATTCAACATATTGGAGTTGTAAAAATAAATACGAAGATATCTGAGGTGGTAACCTCAGATATTGTTTTCAATAGTATGTATATTTATATTTAAAGATCAAGATAATTCTAAGTTCCCTGTTTTGGGTAGGGCTGATGACGAAAACATACTAATATTATAGCAATAGTAATTCCACAACAATTTTAACAGAACGAAAGGGAATTACAACATGGACATTTGTTGAGAGCAAGATAAAGATTTAGATTAAGTGCAATATTTGAGCGTGATCTAACAAACTGTCAATCTCAACTTCTTAGCCATTGAAACGTGACTTCTTAGCCACTGATCCGTGACTTCTTAGTTGTTGAAACAGTTGTTGAAACAGTTGTTGAAACAGATTAAAGCAACTTCCGACTAAATTGACAGATCCACAAATTGATACTATTTTATCATACGGACTGGAAAGTCTTTAAAGATTTAGGTTAGATAGAACAAAATCTTGTGTTATTATACCACTTATAGCAACGCAAAAATACCAACGACCCCGACCATATATAAGGCCTAAGTCAAAGTATTCATTTGTTCTTCATTTGCTATCATAAGAGAAGCAAAAAGCTCATCGAACTAAATCGTTCTGGAACAGTCGACAGAGATTTTCAATCAAATAATATACTGCCTTCGATAGCGGCTCGAAAACTTGAAATTTCAAAGCTGAACATCACACTGTGAAGGTGTGATTTATACACTAATATATTACTGTCTGTTTTACTATATTGTTACGGAGGGTTAATCAAGTAAATTAGCTGCTCGTACAAATGATGCCTTCCTAATGTAAATGCAATCATGAAACAATTACTGAAGTTAATTGAACGTTGCGATATTCGACAAAACTTTACTACGTTTTTACTTAGAATTTTTAGCAACGTAACTCTAAAAAACGTTTGAAATATAACAAAGTCAGAGAATGAAATGATGGATTGCCTACAGTGCTATTATATATATATATTATATTGTGTTGGTTACGTCGCACGATTTAAATTGTATATTGTGCAGGTGGCACTGCAACACCACAGGTAACGTCATGTCAAAATCAAAAGCTTAGAAGATCAAACATATCAGTTTATTGAGGAACACACTGGTTCAGTCAATTGGGTATGACATAACTGTACTTAAAGTTGTAGCCAAAAGCGGGCCACCCACTGCTGAATAAGTCACAGCCGCTTTGCAACATACTACTGTAGTGAATCATGGTTACCATCATCAGTCCTGTATGATGTAATGTAAATGAGTGAGATGAACGAACAATTAGACTCGGATTTAACATGTAGGATCATTACTGTAAACTGATATCAACTATTAGTGTGGGAAGATTTTTTACTAATTTGCTAGATCACGAGCAGTTTAAAGCTTTAATTACGCTATTGGACCTAAAACCACAGGAGGACATCCAAAAGTCAACCGAAAATACCAAAACCATCCGGCAATGACCACCTATGGAAATTGCAGGACCCTCTGCAGCTGATTTCAGCATATGTTATAGTTTATAATCAATCAGAGGGGACAACATCATAACGACTCTTCCAAGAGTTATCTTACAGAATAAGAAACAGCATATCGGGCACACAATAGACAATACAGTGATGATGTACTAAAGTTCTGGGTTTTCACTGGATCAAAACACTGCTGTAAAAGACGCTGTTCGGGGGGGGGGGGGGGGGGGGGGGGGTTGTCAAATGAAGTGATGTCTAAAACGCTACAATTGCAGATCTCAAGCAAAGGACAGAATCTAACTAGTACATTAAAGTGTAGCCCTAACGCTCCTCGAGCAACACAAAAGATTTTTCACAGATCTCATTTCGAAATTGGGCGTTATCCCAGTGCACAGTGGGGCACCACAAATCATTATTGCAGGGCTAGGACCTATTGGAGGCTCCTAGTCCTATAGGATGGAATGGATAATTTCACTATTGTAAGGTAAATGTGATTTTAGGTTTTTTGCAAATCGTACAGTATTATTATATCACCCTTATTTAGGCGCAATCCTCCTGCAGTCGAACAGGGTTTTCAATTAGCCGATCTTTAATTAAAAATTCATAGTCTACTATGACATAAAAACCCATGGTGATGGTCTATTTTGACAAACAAAACTCTTGCAAAAATAGTGACGTAAAAACATAAATGCATACCATCTCTGTAGCTACTAAGGTAGGTAAAAGTTTAAAATCAGGTATAGAGATAGTAAACATGCGCATTTCATCAAGCTTTTAAGATCAGCAGTGGAGCGGCATGATTTTCGCATCATTGGTTGCCAAATTATTGATTGACCAGTTAGCAAGCATTATTGCTCAGTTTAATCATGTAGAGGATAATATTATATTCAACTTGGTGATTGGTACGGTCCACACTCCACAGCATTTTCACATGTATTCACTATTCATGTTGATATGCTAATCAATGTGAACATCAATATCATATACTAGATTTGTAATTGATTAAATTGCGTTGGTGTGATTATTGTCCATATTAAAGTTATCTATAAAATGCCTAATGGCCATGCATATCATATCTATGACCGTTGACCATGATTGATTTATAATTTTACTCTACCAGGACTTAGACTTAGAAACAACCAAATAATGAAAATTCACCGATTAATACTTACAGTAAAGAATTTTGGTTCATTCATTCATGTTTCGTATGTATTGTGGTATAAGGTATTGAGAATGCATTCGCTGAAAATTATTCTCTTTGCCTACCGGCTACCATCTCTATACTTATCTCATTCAGTAGAAAACTTGATGTCTGAATTTGTTAAATCGGGTCACTATACCTACTTTCAATTCCGGTAGATAAGAGATATTATGTATAAACATTAAACATGGTAGGTAATTCCGGTAGATACAGAGATATTATGTATAAACATTAAACATGGTAGGTATTGAGGATGCTATATTGAGGACTCTTTTTGTTAGGTATAGAGCTCGTTTTTTAATAAAAATCATCTCCATGCCTACCGTTTTTATGCCTACCTTAGTAGGTATAGAGATGGTAAGCCTAAAGATAGGACACCCCACATATCAGATACAGACCACAAACTAGACAACAAGATCCGAGAGAGAGAGAGAGAGAGAGAGAGAGAGAGAGAGAGAGAGAGAGAGAGAGAGAGAGAGAGAGAGAGAGAGAGAGAGAGAGAGAGAGAGAGAGAGAGAGAGAGAGAGAGAGAGAGAGAGAGAGAGAGAGAGAGAGAGAGAGAGAGAGAGAGAGAGAGAGAGAGAGAGAGAGAGAGAGAGAGAGAGAGAGAGAGAGAGAGGAGAGAGAGAGAGAGAGGAGAGGAGAGAGAGAGAGAGAGAGAGAGAGAGAGAGAGAGAGAGAGAGAGAGAGAGAGAGAGAGAGAGAGAGAGAGAGAGAGAGAGAGAGAGAGAGAGAGAGAGAGAGAGAGAGAGAGAGAGAGAGAGAGAGAGAGAGAGAGAGAGAGAGAGATAGAGAGAAGATCCGATATCTGTATACTGTTACACAGATACAGGAAGATACATCCGAGTGAGGTGTATTTGATGAATTATATATAATAAAGGAATAAACAGGTAGGCAAGGGGCAGCCAGTAACCGAGTGAGCTTCATTAATCTGTGGTATTAATACTGATTAGCTAATTAGCTATTGTTAGAGTATTATTGTTAGAGTGGGCTGACATGCATGTCTTAAAAACACGACGCGACCTGGCGGAATACAACTACACTTGAGTCTAGTTGTACACTGTAGTTATAGCCAATCTTAAGTATTATTATATAGTTCTGGGTTAACTGAAAAAAGCCAGTATATGAATTGACAAACGATCAACGAATCTTCATTTGGTGATTTCTCAGTTCGGTTTTATAAGAACAAGAGGTAATGTAAATTGTAACATGGTTGGAATGGTTAGGACAGATGCATAGCAGCTTCCCTCCGCGCCGAAACAGTGTAAGAAATGAATTACACAGTAAAAGACGCTCAACACGGACTCCTTAATGTAAGTTTGGAAAGAAATAACAATCTGAAATGCGAAGATTTGGTCTCTTAAATAATGTCTCATCTCAAAGGGTGCGGCTGGTGGTGCGTGATTGAAGCTAAATGGTTTCAACAAAAAAAGCCTATAACAAACCACCAGAAATCGGCCCACAAATAAAAAATTCCAAAAATAGCTTCTTGGTTCTGGAAAGGTGACTCTTTCCAGACATAGTAATTACATATAGTAATTACATATATATATATTAACGGGGTAGTTAACGGGGTCACCTTATCACGTGATTAGGTAAACCAATCACCTGATCACACGTAATGAATAAACTCGTTATGCTTCATATCTCAGTCATCTGAGAAGCTACAGTTCTAATTCTTTCAGGACAAACGTAATTCGAATGGCCAAACACAATTCAATAACATTTAGCTTGATCCGACTATCCAAACTATCAAATAAATGTGAAAATGAACCTCCATTTGAAAAAAATGAACGCGATTATTTTTCGAGTTGACAAATTCCTCGAACCAGTGGTGGTACTAAGTCATACCAGAAGGAAGTATTTCAATTGGGCATTCAGTGACTGAGCTATTAAGGCCAACGTTTGCACACTGGCTTTTGGCCCACCCTGTACATGAATAATGGAATAGCTGGCAGCATACTATTTCAAAAGAATCATACATTTTACTACTATTATACTAAAGCATATTTGGGTGGATTTTACCTCCCAGAGGAGTTTTAGTTGGAAGGTTTCTATATCAGGATCAATAATAATCCTGAATTTTATATCAAATCAATAATCAATAATCATCAGTATCAATCATCAACATTACTTTTTTCTAATTTTTTTGGTATGCAAAGACTAGTAATTTTCGTTTACTATTGGGGCGCTTAATGATCCCACAATCCTAAGTGTTTGACCGCTCATTTAATTTTATAATATTTAGATAAGGGTTTAGGTGAGTAGAGGGAATGCAGACTTCCCAGGCTGTTAAGTCGTATTATGTCGTAAAAGCAGAATCCTAGCTGGGGTATTAGTCAGTAAAGCACACTGTCGTCCCCAGGCCCATGGTACAAATTACGATAATATAATATGCGAGGGACAGTTATATATAAGTAGTTATATATATAAATAGCTATAATTTATAAATAGTGATACAGGTTGTTCATGAAACATTGGTACGATTTACAAAGAAAATAAGGGCTTAATACAGCTGGTTGCTCTTTCTTAAATTAATTTACAGATGTTTAAAACCGTTCCCATGTTTCGTAAATACCCTGTATATAAAATATCTTATATAAATAATATTATAATTATATGATATATATGATATAAAGCCGGATATGTTTTGAGGGGTGTGGGCAGTGATTTATCTGCTTCTATTTAAATTACATCTGAGGCGTATTTATTCTTTATTAGTCACAGAGGGTTATAAATAATTCTTATGCAGGGATGATCAAACAGAGAGTGAGAAAAACTAGTCTTTTGTTTTTATAAGAAAACTTAGTGCGTTGGCGAAATTATGACAATAAATCACATAGATTTGAATGAGACTTGTATGGCATAATCCTAATCCATTGTTCTACAAGTTATGATAAAGATATCAAGGGTGATTCTTAACCCTGTTACCTTACTTAATGTACACAGATTTTAAGTTTCTCTCAACACACATAACTGTTATTTTAACATCTTTTAGTGGTCTTAGAACCAACACTATTAAAAACTGTCCGTCTTATCTAAACGCAATTACAACACTCCCTAGTAGTAAACGGGGTAAATGAGGCCTGGTCCGGATAATACTGTATTATAAACCTGACCATCAAGCAGTCAAACTTAAAATGCCGAAAATGGTAATAACGGAGCTGGCCCTATCAGTAACAAAGAGATGGATATTAATTTCATTGTTTAGCACCCGATGTAGCGACCTACCAAGTACTCCTCACAGACTAGGTGGCTAATGGACCATATAGCAGATATCTGCTAATGGACTGAACGGCAATCTCCTCAATACAACCCATGTAACCCTTTGTCCGACTGGCGAATTACGTGATCATGTGTTTAAAGATTTAACTCCCCCCTATTAAGATAGTCAATCATATTATTTTAAATCATAAATATAGATGGAACATGCTATAATTCTGTTTTTAATAATCCAACACGTCAGCAGAGAGCTGCACTGCAGAATAAATCAGAAAATCTCGGAATTTCGTCAATTCTGAGAAAAATACTTGTAAAGGATGTCAAGAGCGCCGGAGAGAAGTAAGTAATTTTAAGTAGGATATGGTGCACGATATCACTTCACTTTAAGTAAGTACCTCTCACAGCGGCTTTTGACGAAGTTTAATTCTCCGTAGCAGCGAATCAGTCAATTAATATGTCCAGATCAGTCTACTCCTTTCCTCATTAGAGGTTACCTAAAACCTAAAAGTGTACGAGTGGTGAACTTCCTCTTTTAAGAAAGATCAATACAATACTTACCTAATCAAGCTGTCTTCTGTTTTGTGATTGATCAGAATAACATAACCCCTAGGTTTGAGCTCCGAGCTATGTGATACAGCCTACCTCTGGCTTCCTAAAGCACCTTCTGTCCTCGAAATTTGTTCTTAAAAGTATCGAAATATGTCGAAATATAGATGTTCGTCACGCAAAATTGCGTATTTGATCAAGCAAAATTGCTCTTACAGAAAATTATGGTAGGTTAATTAAAAGTGTCAAGCTGGTCATATTATCAATTATACAATTGATCGAAAATGTTGACGTAATTTCTACGTAAAGAACGGATATTGAAGTAACAGTAAATCTGGAGAAGCGCCAAATTGCAGCGAAATTCCGTGAAAATAACAAGAGACTTGTATCACGGTGCGTGTATAAAGGAGGGTGAAATGATAAAGATATCATTGTGTAGTGCCGAAACAATTCATCTCATTAGCGATCTAGCAAGCAGTGCCAGCAGGTGACATGAACGACCAGTGACGGTGTTTAAGATGTGAAAATACCTGAAATATCTGCCAACACGTTTACAGCGTTACGCAGGTTTATGTATAAACATGATAAAGGTTAACTAGAACTAAATAATATATAGCGACTGTCACGAGTAGTCACTAGTCAATAGCTATTGCCCAGTCGATATATTGCGTGATTACAAAACTACAAGCATGGTTATAACTTCTGGACTATGCCAGATTATCATACCTAAGATCAGAGAAATATGCAATCGTGACTCTGGGCTCAGTTGAACATTTCTCCGAATCGCGAACGTAAACAAGCAAGGAAGCAAAACATGAGATCCTTACCCCAAGTTACCCCCGTCAATCCATGCGTTTACTAATGATGGTCAGTGTTTAAATATGTGCTCCGTAAAAGATACCATAACTTAAAATGAACGTTTAGCCTTGTCGAACTCGTGACAGCTAGCAGCTTCCTAAAACTATGTGTTTTTAATTAAAATTCTTAAAAGCTTGGCATCATAGACCAGTTCATATCTAATAGAGACTATAGAGCGATAGAGAGGGGGTGAGAGAAAACAATCTGAACAATGGAAGGCAAGATCCTATTGTTCGATGGTCTGTCATGGAATCTAAATAATTTGTTTAGCCAGATGCCTAAAATCGTTGAATATTTTAACGTGCCTAAATGCAAACCAGCAAGGAAGTCATGACTCGTACATATTGAGTTGGTAAATGTCAGTCGAGTCGAATGTCGGTTGATTAAATTAGAATAATGGTTCCATTACCAGATTAGAAATTAAATTTCATTGATTTAACTTACCCGTCCATAGTCAGAGAGGGATTTGCTACGTTTATCCAGGGCTTTACCATGTTTTGGTTTTGTGGGGTTTGAAAATGTTCTGTTAACCGCCTGAAATAATTATTGTTGGATTAGCATTTATCATTTATATTTATCACTCATCAGTCGTATTTATCACTCATGACTCATCAGTCACATTAAATAACATTTAACACTCATCAGTCACATTTATCACTCATCAGTCACAGCAGTGTCACAAAACAGTCAGTATCAAACGAAAGTATCACACTAAAGTCAGTTTATGAGTTTATCAGTCACAAGCAACATGCACAGTACACCCCGTTCCGTCCAACCTGTGTCACTCTACCAAGAGAAAATGACTTGGCTTGGAGGTACTGGCCACCCTCTTCTTGTTTCTCAAGCTTGGTCGGTAAAGTCCTGTGACTTGGGTTCTCAGCAATGGATGACAGCTCGTCATGCCCAAACGTAGGATCTATACTCATGTCAACGTAGTCATGATAACGGGCTATAAATTCAGCTTCATTGTCAGTGTCAGTGTCGGTTATGGGCCCAGTTACGCTCCATTCGCTGTCACTGTCCATCCCAGAATAACCCTAAAAATTTAAGTAATGCTAAAAATTTTGATAAAATATATGCTTTAGGCTGTATCCAGTAATACCTCAAAGTACTGGGTTAGGAAATATGAATTAGTTTAACGTCACCCGCTGCTAGTGTTGAGAGACGACCAGGTGTACAAATCTCCGGGGTCAACTTTAAACTTACTTGGTACACGGGTAGAGTCCATACCCTTTCTCCGGTCAAGGGGTTAAAATAGTGGATCTTGTCTTCGCCTGGATTTCGTACTAACTTCCACTGAAATACCTATCATGAGCACCACTGCGACATAAGATGGATGAATTCCAATCCAGGTAGGGTTGATTGAAGAGACTGATGCGCGCGCATCAGTCAAAACAAATGGCGCGCTATAATTGCATTCAACGCGCGGATACGTCTACAATTAAGTGAGTGTCCGATTGTGCGCGGCGGCGAAATTCCCGCGGAATGTGCCGTTAGATCAAGATATGAATAAGGAGTATCGGTGGATTTTATATCCAGAGAAATATGTGATACTGTACAGTAGTACACCCACCTTTTCGTTGGTATTCTTGCATATGTAGAATATGTCATCACCTATCTTGTCCTCTATATAACCGTCCAATATTTGCTGAGATATTTACAATTACAATAAATTTAACGCACAACAAAAGGTTAAAACTAAATAATCGAACATTTTTATCTCAAAAAAATCATATCTAGTATGATCATAAGGCAACACTGATTTCCTATCAGAATCTCGGTGCTTCATGAATCAGGACATATTTGACATGCAGTTATTGTGGACATTATTACGTAAGCACGCCACAACTTTACTAATTACTGCACTGCTTGATGCCTGTTTTATGAAGAGTACTTTAGTTTGTAATAAAATATGGCTCAGTTCCAACATACAACGTTATGTAATAAGCACAGAAATCAGCTGATGTTGTAATATAACACACTAGCGGTATACATTGTACATAATCTCTTCCATTGTTCGTTAAAGCCTCCCCAAAGGGAGGTGAGCCTAGCCCCGAGGTACTGCAATACGGGGAAGACTCGTGGTCTGGCTGAAGCAAGCTTCACATCCAAGACCGATTTCCAAAAATCAATTTAATATTGAAGCTACTCGATGAGTAGCGTATCAGATATTAAACTGATAAGAACAGATACTACACTTGATCTTAGCCAAAAGGCCGAGAAGCGATAACAACTTCATGAAATCCATAGACTATATGGAATAATGGAAACGTTTCGTTGTGTTTGAACAGCGACTAATAATTCTCGACAAAAATATTTCTGTTGTTATCGGAAAGGAAGATGGGCCGATCTCGCTACTCATTCGAATGTAAAGTATCCAATATTCGGCATATGCCAAAAGAAAGCAGGAAATTGCTTTCCACCTCGGTCAAATAAGCTAATTGCTGGGTCGATTATACTGAAATTGGCTAAAACAGTCACCTACATCCGAGACAATAATCGTCATTATCTGTTCCTGATGAACGACATTTTCCAGAACAACATTACACTGTAATATTAATAACACTGTAACATTTACAGGGTTCATATTACACGCACAAACACGCACAATTAAATTATATTACTAATATTTACTTTCAGCCTGATTATTGGATCATCTATTACATTGCAACCGGGATGTTTTAAAGTAATTTATTTCAAAGAGCTTAGAAACGGAATGTGACTCAGTCAGACTGACTCTAATATTCACACACATATTTAATATTTATGTATACACCCTCAGCTAAACTTCTTAGTTCTTATGAGCGAGTTAAGTAAATATTCGTAGTTAAAGAGAGATAAAATCGGCTGACAGTTCATTGGTGTGTACTGTAAATTTATAAGATGAAGATGCACAAATGCAAACAGTAATAAACTTAATAAATAGTATGGATTATTGGCTCGTTTCCAAAACCTGTGCTAGGGGGGACCTTTAGAATGGAGACCAGAGACAAAGTAAACTAAAAATAGTAACAAACAAGTAATACTTATTAAGTTATTATTTGGCTATTTTTGGGTGCTGGATCTTCTTCTTCTTCGTAGGGGGCTGTGGTCATTATCACTAATGGCTGCTATTGGGTGCTGGATCAGCTCTTCGCATTTCTATTTTGGCCAGTTGTAAATCAAACATTCAAGATGTGCATTGTGCACGTTGAAGAAGCTTGATCATATTATACGTAAAATTGGGATTGCCACAACGTGATTTTACAAAATGTATGATAAATCAATTAGACTAAAATCACTTGTAAACGAGAGCTTAATCAGTCGATCAATTAAACATATCATGTTTAATCGAAAAATTCTATTATTTGAACTCTTTGATTCAATGAACTTAGCACTAATCGCACGAATTAACTATGCACGCAGTACAGTGCACGAATCAAAATGCACGCAATATGAACTGTAAGATGTATCAAACAAAAACAAGTAACACGGTGGTACCTGTAATGTGAACTGTGCGTTTTCACAGTTTTCATAGATTATCTCTTCAAACACCCGCACCTAAATAATGTGTCAATCTGTACATGCATAATATGCATAATATATGTATAATATGCGAAATATTTCAATCAGCTTATGTTAGTATCATGAAATTCCATACTTGTATCACAACATTCCACCGACTATTAAATATACAATTCGCAGTTCACACTTCAACTTATGAAACATCTTTTAATACAATTACATTAACAACAAAGTAATATTAATTTCACTATAGCTACTAGCTATTAATCAGTATTATTTTAAAACATGTTTGAAAAGACGTATTTTGATTTCATCACCCTTTCTCCTGTTATCAATCATCACTCCATTATAACAAATTAGCTGATAATTAACGTCCTCTGTCATAGCTGTAGTAAACTAAGTTAATATAGAGATTTAGTTTTAACACTTTCAACACTACTATATGACAAATAATTTGAGCTCATTATGTAATCAGGGTAGCAAGGTTGAAACTGGCTGGAGCGAGGGGGATCGTAGTCCCCCAGCGGCCAGCATAGCAAACATATGTTTCATTAGTTGATGTCCTAAGGAATCCTTTAGATACCATAGTAGCTGATAATTATTAAGCAAGTTCTACACTTTAAACTATACCGTTAGATTGTGCGCTGTATTTTATTAATAAAGCTAAACATACATGTTTGTTTGACGGGACAATAAAATGCAACAACATTGCACCAATGTACTGACATATATAATGTAGCGTTGGGAGGCACATCACGTCAGATGAATATGTTATAAAAACTAAACTTATTGTTTAATTGTTATTGTTAAATTTACGTTACATTGTGTACAAACTTACTAGCTCTCAACTTTTTGTAACTGTGATATAGCTGGCTCACTACAATCACAGTCACATTGCAGCATCAGAGCCTCACGAAAGTAACAGTAACTGTAACTGAGAAGTACAATGTTTTGAGTATCATATGTATACATAGCCAGTGGTTATTGGTTAACTTATATTGAAGGTATTTTAAAAGAATGTTGTTTAACGAATGCTCTGTAAACTGCTGATTAATTTTATAGCCACATAACCTGGGGTCACACAGTTAGAGATAGCTTTATACAATAAGACATTAATCTCTTTTGAAGCAGGATCGCATTTAGCAGCGAGCCAAGCAAGACAGAAATTTTCTTAAACGGCAGGGTATTTGATATAATATCATAATACATGCATCCACTTAGAGCGCTGGATAATATACCAAATTAAGGAAATAGTCTCGAGAACGTGTCCTTACAATATATTCTAATTTTCTCTCCGGATTATTCGAGTACAAACAGCAGGTCTAAAAATAGATTGCTTTTAAAACTGTGTACAGTAAGGTTTAGCAAGGACCCAGCATAGTTTGGGGAATGCTTTAACATTTTGGGGCACGATCCGAGCACTACTGATACCTGGATTTTGAGTATTTGACAGATTCCTGTGTACTACACTGTACATGTTACTTAAACATCCTACAGAGCTGCATTTTAGCATAATTAGATATTATTATGAATAATTATGTGTACATTCTACAATGCGTATTTAAACTAAATTTTGGAATAGCCAAATAAAAGCCATATATTTCAGAGGTTATTAGAAGACAATTCTGACGGTTCTAGGAACGGTTAGTTGCAATAAATAACTCTTTCCAAACTTTAATCTGTTGCAAAACGTAACAGGTGATTTACGATTTTTAGGTTAAGAGTTCAACAGGAAAAGAACTCATAACTTTTTTAATCATACAATGGGTATGCTGCCCATGAAGTGGAAGTGCATGCATCACACATGCTATGTAGTAAAGATGCTGACTTGAAAACCCACCTCCTGCACTCAACAGAACATACGTCAGACAAACCTTGCGACGTCGCGCGGGAGACTTCAGCACCTCATCAGCAGTGCGCACCACTAGCCCACCTGCGCTGGTCTCCTTACACAACTGCACTCGCTTGCTTCCACCTGACCTGGCCTCACTGCGCACCTCACTACGAGACTCCCTAGGCACTTCACTGCGCACTTCACTGCGCACCTCATTATGCACGTAACTGGGCACCCTCTCACCGCACTGCACACTCTCCTCCACATTGACACTACTAACTGTACTGCTCCGCAGACTCAGCGCTATTGCTTGTCTGTTACTAGAGTTCAGTCTCTGGCGCACTTCCACGTGCGAGCTATTCGACCACGTGTTCACTGGACTGCTCGGACTGCACGTGTTGTCAGATTGTCGCGCACAAGTCGCACCACGTCGCACTAAGTTGGGTGTGGCGTAATGGTGGATAGCGAGGGGGGTGTCGCGCACCCCCCGTCTCACTGACAATGGTGTGGAAATGTAGGGATTGTGCTCGCTATTCACGTCTCTGGCCATCAGGTCTCTCACCATCAGGTCTCGCAACTTCTGCAACGGTTTTTTACACGTTAATTTCATATTCAAAATGTATGTGAGACGTGAGTATGTGTGTATTGTTAAGTATGAGTATTGAGTAACTGTAAAAGAATGTGTAACGTAAATTTGTCAAACTGATTCATACAAGCATAATTTTAGACATAATTTTGGACGTTTGCCAATAATCAGGATAAGATTTAACTCTGATCTAGCACACTGAACTATTTGTTATTTTAGTTTGACAGTGTTCATGCGTGTGCGTGTGAATGTCATGACATCTGTACAATCTAAATAAACACAAGCAAAAATGACTGCTTATAATTCATAGCACAAACGTTAAAAGATGCTTTTGTTAAAGATACTCAAGCAATTTCAGATATATGGTTCTTGCACCAAAATAGTACAGCGAATTATAAAGAAATATATACAAGTTTACAAAAAGATATACAGTATAGAAGTGATTTTGATGGATGCTTTTTATGCAACAGAAATCAAGGGAATTTCTCGCTGACAACAAAAGTTGATTAAAAGATGAAGTTTATGAGGAGGCGATCAGTTCACACATTCCTGTCTGACCTGGAGCTGAGTGCCTTGGGAGATGGGGATAGGACTGGAGATGAATTCCTTGGATGCTAGTCCACATGTGCAAACAGACAGACAATCGCACCCCAGCTACAACAAGGGGACTATGTTAAACTATGTTAAACTATGTGAACTATGTAAAAATATGTGAACTATGTTAAACTCCTTTTGTACTCATCGATTTATAGTAACACATTTAGAAAAATGATTACTCCAAGCAGAGCTCATTCTAAATTTGGAGAAATGTTGTCTGTCTCATTCCCATCTTATCTACGTCACAGAATAGCAGTAACTATAATTATATTATAATATAGTACCATTATTAATAGAATAAACATTAAACATAACCATTGAAATTCGTGTTGATAAAGAAGTTTCAAAAGTGTAATCTATACCAGTGTATAAGTAGTTTGAGTCACTGCACCCCTGCCTAAATTGGTTCCTTATACAGATTGTATATATTAATATTCTATTTTATTTTACTTTACAGAAACTGTTGGAGTTTGGAAAAGTTTTTCTTGGCTCATGTCCATTTACGTCATTAATTTGCAATAGGAACAACTTCATTGTGCTAAACAACATAATCGTAAAATTAACCAACAGATTATTTGGAAAATGTGACGTTAATAAAGAGTTACACGGTACGTATTATTCGACGAATTCCTATAAATTCGACTGCTGTTGAACTTGGAGCACATCAGAAAATGTAACATTATATTCGAAATCTCTCCTTCCAGTGATCTAGTTACAATTACATGGATATGAAAAATGGATGTAACAAGATATAGAGGATATAATATCATCCATCGTATCTAGTTACATCCAGATCTATAATGTAGGATGTAGGATATAGGAATTAGGATGTAGGAAACAACGACGACACTTCTGTTAACGTTCAAATAATAGATATTACAGTCTTCATTATACACCACCTGCTCAAACCTTCTACACTATAATCTAATACCTACCACTATAGTGTACAATGCACTATACACATCATCAGACTCAAGTTATAGCTATAGTGATACACTTAAGTTGTGATATATAGTGATACACTAAAGTTGTGATTATATACTTTGATAATATCATATTCCGGACATAATTAGAAGATCTCATTTGGTTCATTACCGTCCCCTACACATCACACTGTTCATTACATTCTTACAACGGTCTACTAGTCACTGCAACGTGTAACTGAGGATATCATCTGTGTAACTTTAGATGGTATTAGGGAATAAGGGAAACACTCTAAATATTACCAGTGTAACTGAAACACTCTAAAAACACCCTAAAAACCTGCACAGTTTAACTGAAAAACCTATCGACACATGAATCCAGCCAAGTTCCAGAAGATAAGAGGTGTAAAAAACGATCTCGTGTTTATTTCTCTCTTCCTCTTTAGTACACAATACACATTGGGAAGTCACCGTATTCAGTGAACAAGGGATAGTAGTACAGTGAACAAGGGACAGTACAAACCGCACTGTGTACAGTATACAAGTCACGTGATAGATTTACTCCTTCATCACACTGATATGATTAATATGAAGCTAGAGTTGTAACAATACACAGTCAGCATTATCACGTGACTGGAACCCCGCCCACTCGTAACTCAACCCTGTATTTTAGCAGGGTGTGTGTGATATCACGAGTCTTTATGACACCCTGACTGGGTGCCCAGTGTTTTCAGGTTCAGTGTCGGGGGTGAATAATAAAGATCGTTAGCAGGACCGGACCGGACCATCCATTGAACATAGGGTAAATGTGAACTAATTACTGTAATTATTAAGGGTGCTAAATAGGAGGGCTCAAATTTCTTGTGTGTAAGATAAGAGTTGAGTAGTAACTAGTAGTAAACTTGGTAAAATACCAGCGAGTTGTTTTCTGCTGAGTGAAAATTAGAAAATTCCTACATTCTGTAAAACATGCGAGACAGAATATCATCTACTCGAATATCTAATCGAATATCTACTCGAATATCTACTCGAATATCTACTGAGTAGTGAATAGTAAATATGGTTTCAACTTAAGGCAAGTTTCCATAAACGATATTTTATGATCGGCGCCGATAATCGCTTATTGAGCGCTTTTTCGGCGCTTTTTTTTTTAAAAACCGTTTACAATCGCTTTTTTTACGATTATAAACGGTTCAAAAAAAATCGCTTATAATCGACTATAATTGGTGTCATAATTCAAAAAAGCGCTTTTTTGAATTTAAAAGCGCTTATAAGCGCTTTTAAGCGCTTACTAGCGTCGCTGAGCGATTTGAAAGCGGTTTTCCAGTAGGATTGGCGCCAAAAACGGGTGGATAAGCGGTTGGCCGGATAAGCGATTCGTAGGCGCTTTTTTGAACCATTTATAAGCGATTATAAGCGCTTATAAATGGGGTGCAATTTAGCTGTTTGTAAAGCGCAAATAAAGCGCTTATAAGCGCTTTTAAAATTGAGTCAGGAAAACGCTATATTACATCTTATAACCGCTTATAATCGATTATAAGCGTTTTTTTTGAAATCGCTTATTACGGCTAATTCATCGCTATTACACCGCTTTTACCGCTTTTCCTATCATCCATGGCCAGGTGAGCAGGAATTAAAAAGCGCTTATAAGCGCTTTTTCGATGCTGCCCCTAGCCTGGTCGGAACGGGGTAGTGCCCAAAATTTAAAAGCGCTTATAAGCGATTTCTCAATTCCCCTTAACCTGGTCGGAACTTGCATGTGCTTTTCTGAGCAACCTGGGGTGCACCGGCAGAGTCAGGATTTAAAAGCGCTTATAGGCGCTTATGATCGCTTTTCTACCACTTTTCCTATCACCCATGGCATGGGTTGGCAAGAATTATAAAGCGCTTATAAGCGTTTTTCAATGCTGCCCCTAACCTGGTCGGAACTGGAAATCAGAGTGCCCGCTTTTAAGTGCTTTTCTGAGCAACCTAGGGTGCACCGGCAGAGTCAGGATTAAAAAGCGCTTATGATCGCTTTTCTACCGCTTTTCCTATCACCCATGGCATGGGTTGGCAAGAATTATAAAGCGCTTATAAGCGTTTTTTCAATGCTGCCCCTAACCTGTTCGGAACGGGGGTGTGCCCGGAATTAAAAAGCGCTTATAAACGATTTCTCAATTCTCTTCAACCTGGTCGGAACTGGAGAGTGCCCACTTGCATGTGCTTTTCTGAGCAACCTGGGGTGCACCGGCAGAGTCAGGATTTAAAAGCGCATATAGGCGCTTATGATTGCTTTTCTACCGCTTTTCCCATCACCCATGGCCTGGTTGGCAAGAATTATAAAGCGCTTATAAGCGTTTTTTCAATGCTGCCCCTAACCTGGTCGGAACGGGGGAGTGCCTGGAATTAATAAGCGCTTATAAGCGATTTCTCAATTCCCCTTAACCTGGTTGGAACTAGAAATCAGAGTGCCCGCTTATAAGTGCTTTTTTGTGCAACTGCAACCTGGGGTGCACCGGCAGAGTCAGGATTTAAAAGCGCTTATAGGCGCTTATGATCGCTTTTCTACCGCTTTTCCTATCGCCCATGGCCTGGTTGGCAGGAATTAGAAAGCGCTTATAAGCGCTTTTTCAATGCTGCCACTAACCTGGTCGCAACGGGGGAGTGCCCGGAATTAAAAGGCGCTTATAAGCACTTTTTCAATGCTGCCCCTAACCTGGTCGGAACGGGGGAGTGCCCGGAATTTAAAAGCGCTTTTAAGCGCTTTTTCAATGCTGCCACTAACCTGGTCGCAACGGGTGAGTGCCCGGAATTAAAAGGCGCTTATAAACGATTTCTCAATTCTCTTCAACCTGGTCGCAACTGGAGAGTGCCCACTTGCATGTGCTTTTCTGAGCAACCTGGGGTGCACCGGCAGAGTCAGGATTTAAAAGCGCTTATAGGCGCTTATGATTTTTTTCTACCGCTTTTCCCATCACCCATGGCCTGGTTGGCAAGAATTATAAAGCGCTTATAAGCTTTTTTTCAATGCTGCCCCTAACCTGGTCGGAACAGGGGAGTGCCTGGAATTAATAAGCGCTTATAAGCGATTTCTCAATTCCCCTTAACCTGGTCGGAACTAGAAATCAGAGTGCCCGCTTATAAGTGCTTTTCTGTGCAACCTGGGGTGCACCGGCAGAGTCAGGATTTAAAAGCGCTTATAGGCGCTTATGATCGCTTTTCTACCGCTTTTCCCATTACCCATGGCCTGGTTGGCAAGAATTTTAAGCGCTTTTTCAATGCTACCCCTGGTCCCCTAACCTGGTCGGAACGGGGGATTGCCTGGAATTAATATGCGCTTATAAGCGATTTCTGAATTTCCCTTAACCTGGTCGGAACTGGAAATCAGAGTGCCCGCTTATAAGTTCTTTTCTGTGCAACCTGGGGTGCACCGGCAGAGTCAGGATTTAAAAGCGCTTATAGGCGCTTATGATCGCTTTTCTACCGCTTTTCCTATCGCCCATGGCCTGGTTGGCAGGAATTAGAAAGCGCTTATGCTTATAAGCGCTTTTTCAATGCTGCCACTAACCTGGTCGCAACGGGGGAGTGCCCGGAATTAAAAGGCGCTTATAAGCACTTTTTCAATGCTGCCCCTAACCTGGTCGGAACGGGGGAGTGCCCGGAATTTAAAAGCGCTTATAGTTATAAGCGATTTCTCAATTCCCTTCAACCTGGTCGGAACTGGAGAGTGCCCACTCGTATGTGCTTTTCTGAGCAAACTGGGGTGCACCGGCAGAGTCAGGATTTAAAAGCGCTTATAGGCGCTTATGATGGCTTATCTACCGCTTTTCCCATCACCCATGGGCTGGTTGGCAGGAATTAGAAAGCGCTTATAAGCGCTTTTTTAATGCTGCCCCTAAGGATTTGAAAAGCGGTTATAAGTTATAAGCGATTACAATCACTTTTTATTGATGGTTTTTACCGATTTATCTATCATTTATCAACATGGATTTAAACATAGTTGTTTGACTGGCGATCTAGAAGCCAAGCAAGAAGGCTAAGTGCACGGCGCGGCAAAGTTCTCCGACAATAATTGTCAAAAATTGTAAAGCGCTTGCAAGCGTTTATTTATATGTTGTTAATGGTGGTAGTTCAACTACCACCATGATTAACAACATATAAATAAACAACCACTGGTTGTCCTGGTGGCGGTCGATGCGCGCTGCGTCATCAGTCATACACACTTCACATTCAGAACTTGCAAAAGAAAAATATAGTATATGAAATTAAATTATTGCGCTGGGCCACGCTCAGTCTGTCAACGAGTATGACAGGCCTGTTTATGTCATTCCAAGGAATCTCTAGTCGGGCTGAGCGAATCACGACGTCTGAAAAAAGTGCTCATTGAAAGTTAGTGTGTGCGTGACCAGCATTCACGTACTTGTTCATAATCAATCGTGGACATAAAAACAAGTGCACGCTGAGTACCAATAGGAAAAAAGTAATGTATATATACGCTAGTAAAGCCGTGCGCGTGCAGGCGTGCTGAGATAGCTTGTAAAATTTGGTTATTAGATAGTAAAACTGCAACAAATAAACCGCGCCAGATTGCGCGTTTGAATCGCTCCTACGAAATCGCTCGCCCAAATTTTAAGAAAATTCTTGTGAAAAGGCCTTTGGGTATGACATTGATCTAAATCGCTATATTTTTGGACGCCGATTCCGTACTACCCTCTTGCACTGAACATGATTGATAACGTAATTACCACAAAGCCGATCAAATCAAAATGTCGCCCGCAAATCTGTGATCACTGTTCTAAGTAACAACCCTCAACCCTCGTTGCCATGGTTACACTTACTGGTTACTTTGACGGAGTTACTCGTCTAAATTTCTTCGAAGTAGCGTGCGCCGCTTTCTGCTCGATGGCAAGTGCTATATACGACGTAGCGCTCCGGGCCAGAACATTAACAATGGTCAACTGGTTACTTTACTGGGCGCTCAGCCTGTCATTCCGCCAAATCTTTATTCGTTTATTATGTTTATGAACATAATAGCCTGGGGTCCCCAGGTAACTGGTTACTATGTGCTATGGATGACAACCTTTTGCTTTTTACCTAATTTGCACGTAGGCAATCGTGCATACATACTAAATACAGAGTAATAATAATACAATAATAATTAAAAATGCTTTAAATTATGATAAAATTAGTATAGATTTTGGACGCTTTTAACGGGTGATACTCGTAATATATTTGTTTCAAGTATTAGGACCGTCGACGATTGACGGATGTTACTCGTCTAAATTTCTTCGAAGTAGCACGCGCCGCTTTCTTCTCGAAGTCGATGGCAAGTGCTACGAAGTAGCGCGCGCCGGGCCAGATCATTAACAATGGTCAACGTCGACGAGTCCAACTCGGCGCGCGCCCTGGTCACTGGTAGGTTATTAACCTACAAGGACGCTTCAATTCCGAATCACCCCTTATGGCTGTATTATATATAGTTATAATAACCATAAGTTTGTGTGTTTATAACCATACAAGACGTATTTATACCATGCAAAACGTATTTATAAGCATGCAAGACACTTAATTGTCGCCGGTCTAATTGCTTATATTTGTGATAAATATTTTAAGAGTATTACTTGACCATTGCATGTTACATGTTACTGGTCTGGCCCGACATAGCACGTGCCATCGTGGCATTTCGAGAAGAAAGCGGCGCGCGCTACTTTAGACGAGTAAGTGTAGCGGGCACACTGATTTCCAGTTCTGACCAGGTTAAGGGGAATTGAGAAATCGCTTATAAGCGCAGCATTAAAAAAGCGCTAATGAGCGCTTTTTAATTCCGGGCACTCCCCCGTTCCGACCAGGTTAGTGGCAGCATTGAAAAAGCGCTTATAAGCGCTTTCTAATTCTTGCCAACCAGGCCATGGGTGATAGGAAAAGCGGTAGAAAAGCGATCATAAGCGCTTTTAAATCCTGACTCTGCCGTGTACCCCAGGTTGCTCAGAAAAGCACTTATAAGCGGGCACTCTGATTTCCAGTTCCGACCAGGTTAGGGGCAGCATTTAAAAAGCGCTTATGAGCGCTTTTTAATTCCGGGCACTCCCCCGTTCCGACCAGCACTTAAATAACTATAAGCGGGCACACTGATTTCCAGTTCTGACCAGGTTAAGGGGAATTGAGAAATCGCTTATAAGCGCAGCATTAAAAAAGCGCTAATGAGCGCTTTTTAATTCCGGGCACTCCCCCGTTCCGACCAGGTTAGTGGCAGCATTGAAAAAGCGCTTATAAGCGCTTTCTAATTCTTGCCAACCAGGCCATGGGTGATAGGAAAAGCGGTAGAAAAGCGGTAGAAAAGCGATCATAAGCGCTTCTGCCGGTGACCCCAGGTTGCTCAGAAAAGCACTTATAAGCGGGCACTCTGATTTCCAGTTCCGACCAGGTTAGGGGCAGCATTTAAAAAGCGCTTTTTAATTCCGGGCACTCCCCTGTTGCGACCAGGTTAGTGGCAGCATTGAAAAAGCGCTTATAAGCGCTTTTTAATTCCGGGCACACCCCTGTTCCGAACAGGTTAGGGGCAGCATTGAAAAAACGCTTATAAGCGCTTTATAATTCTTGCCAACCAGGCCATGGGTGATAGAAATAGCGGTAGAAAAGCGATCATAAGCGCCTATAAGCGCTTTTAAATCCTGACTCTGCCGGTGCACCCCAGGTTGCTCAGAAAAGCACATGCAAGTTCCGACCAGGTTAAGGGGAATTGAGAAATCGCTTATAAGCGCTTTTAAATTTTGGGCACTACCCCGTTCCGACCAGGCTAGGGGCAGCATCGAAAAAGCGCTTATAAGCGCTTTTTAATTCCTGCTCACCTGGCCATGGATGATAGGAAAAGCGGTAAAAGCGGTGAAATAGCGATGAATTAGCCGTAATAAGCGATTTCTAAAAAAACGCTTATAATCGATTATAAGCGGTTATAAGATGTAATATAGCGTTTTCCTGACTCAATTTTAAAAGCGCTTATAAGCGCTTTATTTGCGCTTTACAAACAGCTAAATTGCACCCCATTTATAAGCGCTTATAATCGCTTATAAATGGTTCAAAAAAGCGCCTACGAATCGCTTATCCGGCCAACCGCTTATCCACCCGTTTTTGGCGCCAATCCTACTGGAAAACCGCTTTCAAATCGCTCAGCGACGCTAGTAAGCGCTTAAAAGCGCTTATAAGCGCTTTTAAATTCAAAAAAGCGCTTTTTTGAATTATGACACCAATTATAGTCGATTATAAGCGATTTTTTTTGAACCGTTTATAATCGTAAAAAAAGCGATTGTAAACGGTTTTTTAAAAAAAAAGCGCCGAAAAAGCGCTCAATAAGCGATTATCGGCGCCGATCATAAAATATCGTTTATGGAAACTTGCCCAACTTAATATGGTAAATATGGTAAAAAAATTGTTATATGAACACGTCTTGGTTGTAATATACTCTGAGTTCAGATTATTTCTACAGCATTCAGCCTGATAGTACAGTTAGTTTTACAGGGCGATAAGGTGATGAGTGATAAGCATATAATCAGTGCAGTAAACTTACCTTGGAAGTAGTAACATAAGTTGGCGTTAAGTTTAATTAAAGTCGCCTTATATATTAGAAATGCGTGCGACATTAATTTGAAAGCGCTAATCGGCTAAGAGTAACCCGGGCTAACTCGAAGTAATTTTGGCAACTAAGGTGATGACTTGATGAAAACCGTTGTTAATAATACTTCAGCTACATAGCTTCAGTAGCTAGGCTATCCAAGTAACATTAGAAGAATAACTTGTAACTCAACGAAATAACTCCAAGTTGAAGATAAAAATGCAGACATTAACTGCACGAATAAAAATTAGTTAATTAATTATTAAACTATTTAATAACTTACTTAATAAGTTAATTAGCTGACTTACTTTAGGTATGGTGGTAGGATGAGGAGCGGAGATAGTGACAGTATTGTCATGGAAAGCACTGTTACCTAGCTCCCAACTTGTAGTGACCACTGTGTCGTGTACTTCTCCTCCACTCACTGAAATAACAGTGTTAATACACAGGCAACGTGTGCTTCTAGTGTGTGCTTCTAGTGTGTGCTTCTAGTGTGTGCTTCTAGTGTGTGCTTCTAGTGTGTGCTTCTAGTATGTGCTTCTAGTGTGTGCTTCTAGTGTGTGCTTCTAGTGCATGCTTCTAGTGTGTGCTTCTAGTATGTGCTTCTAGTGTGTGCTTCTAGTGTGTGCTTCTAACTTCTAAGGGGTGTGCTTCAGTGTGTGCTTCTTATGTGTGCTTCTTGTCAACATCAAATATTATTTGGGGTTCCCTAATCCTTTTAGTACATCGCCCTTCTTCTCATTTTAATATAAGTGAACTAATGCTTTTTAATTTAATTTTGTGTACCTTACTCGGGATTATTATGACCGGGATAAAGTGGTGGGTTTAGGGTAATTTCGCCATATTTTTCCCGAACCACATTTTCACCGGTCGTTAATAAACCCGCCTACTCAGCTTTTAGGGTTCCCAAGGGGTATGGGTGCTCATATTTTAATCGTTGTCTTATATTCACTAAAGAAGACTATTGGGACACTTGTTGTAGGTTTTTCGAATTCATTTGGCTAAAATTGCAAAAAATTCACCTTTTTGCCCAATTCTTGTCATATATCCTTATTGTCAAATTTGATTTAAATAGGCCAATTTTTAATTTCTTAGGTATTGACTATCTCTACATAATGAAATAGGACTCAAAGTAAAAGTAACAGTTAAATTAAAACTTGAATTAATTAAAACTGATGAAAGGGATGATCCAGATGAAGATAACGAAGATGATTACAACTTATTGGAAGACTAAACAGCTCTCCCTTTATCTTAATATCGATCTGGTTGTTACGCTTCAAATGTTTAAAATTATTTTCCATCTAGTTTGATTAACCACGAGTCATTATTTCTGTCTACTTTCAACAATTATTGATAATTCGACTTGTTTCACAAGTTTTAGCAATGCGAAAATTTCTAAACTTGCTTATCTCTAATAAGGAAATTTATATCTGAGATAAAATTTTTGAATCTAAAATTGAAAGGTTGGACACCGGTAAAATGGCGACCGGGAAAATGTGGTGGGTTTTGAGCAATTTCGCCATATTTTTCCCGAACCATATTTTAACCGGTCGTTAATAAACCCGTCGTAATAATCCCGAGTAAGGTAAGTTTTATTTTGGTTTTTGAATGAATAAATGATATTCGCTCCCTCTATCCTTGTTGTTACGATGACTTGACCTTGTATTATAACATGATGCCAGAGCCGAAGACAAATACTTTCATCTTTTAAGTTAAGAAGTAGGGAGAACATACAGGGTGGGCCATAAGTCAGTACCCATACGTTGGCCTTTATAGCTCAGTCACTGAGTGCCCAATTTAAATACTTCTTTCTGGTATGACTTAGTACCACCACTGGTTCGAGGAATTTGTCAACTCGAAAAATATTCGCGTTCATTTTTTTCAAATGGAGGTTCATTTTCACATTTATTTGATAATTTGGATAGTCGGATCAAGCTAAATGTTATTGAATTGTGTTTGGCCATTCGAATTACGTTTGTCCTGAAAGAATTAGAACTGTACCTTCTCAGATGACCGAGATATGAAGCATAACGAGTTTATTCATTACGTGTGATCAGGTGATTGGTTTACCTAATTACGTGATAAGGTGCCCCCGTTAACTACCCCGTTAAACATTATGGGAATTGTTAAGGGTGCCCAATTAAGGTGTCGTGTCACGGTGTCACATAATCACCCAGTCAATATTGTTAACGAGATACAGAAAATGCTTGATAACTTCGTCATTTCTAATCCGTTTTGCCTCATGTTTTTAGATCATATGCAACATTTGATAATATACCGTCTCTGAAAAAATTAGGCGTTCAGCATGTTCAGAGAAAACAATATAGGTGTTTTAATATTGAATGGGCGTGGTCTAAAATATTCGAATTTTTAAATTTTGACGACGGAATCCTCGAACCAGTAAGTACAGTATGCCATCTGCAAAGCAACAGCTCTCAAATATAAAACACGGCGGAGCTATTAAGGCCAACGTATGGGTACTGACTTTTGGCCCACCCTGTACTTTAGCAAACTATTGCAATCGCTATTTATAATAGTTCCTTTCATCCTGAAGCCGGAGCCAACGATTTTTAACAAGGTGACTCCCCCGACCTCCATATATTATGAAACTCAATACTCTGATATAATCTTTATACTGGTACTAAATTCTCATGTTCGTCTTACACACAGCGTGACTTTGTGAAGCGTGGCACGACAAGGCGGACATGTTGTAAACAGTACCAGGTGTTTGGTTGAATGAGGATATTAGTAACTTTAGTTATCTAGTTATATAGTAACCAGTTATCTAGTAACCAGTAACCTAGAAACGAGTAACCGGTAACCTAGTAGTAACTTAGTAACGAGTAACCTAGTGACCAGAACCAGTTATCTAGTAACCCGTTACTTAGTGACCAATAACCTAGTGACCAGTAACCTAGTAACTAGTAAAGTAGTAATCAGTATCTTAGTAACCAGTTACCTAGTAACCAATAACCAAGTAACCAGTAACCAGTAAGCTAGTAATCAGTAGCCTAATTTTTGTGTTTAGTACCAAGTGTTTGGGTGACCTAGGAGCGACATTCCAACCTGATCTACCCATCTAGGGTGGAATATTTTCACACTTCCCACTTGAAGTGCTTTAAAATATTCCAGGAATTATGGGCTGTAAAGTGAGTGCTCTCTGCAGGAACCCCCTAGTGTCACTAGTGTGTGCACTAATAACACACACATAATGCAGAGGGTGGTGGCAGAGCAGGATGTTTTTATTAAAAGTCAGGGTTGGTGGCTGTATCTTCTCTAGATTGATAGATAATATATAGCTAGTATCATAACCTGTTACCTGAGTACATAAAGTTTTAGTGAACAGACAGATAAGATGATGTGAGACATAGAGTGCTATTAACACATCAGGTCGTCAGATTGCCATAAATACATCAGATTGCCATAAATACTTCAGATTGCCATAAATACATCAGAGTTCATGAATATATCAGTCATGGCAGCTTTTTTTGTATGTATTTTTTCCCGATCCATGACTCAAAGTGCCGAAGGCACAAAAGAGTCAAGGACAAGGGTTAGCGATCAAGGTTTTTTTAAAATATGGTAGCTTTGCGACCGTGCGAGTGTGCGACCGTACGTGCCTGCGAGCACTGTTATCGCCCACGTGACTACCTGCGCAAAGTTATTTTGCGTGACAATCTCAAATCTGAATTATATAATTGTTGGCGCGCGGCGCTGAACCAACCAAGTACATTATTAATTTCATCATGTACGTATCCCACTAGGCACTAATTAATAGCATTGCATATTATTATTATTTTGAGTTAGTATTACTATTTTGCACAGATCCGTGTCAGGTTGCATAAACAATAAACATATGGTTACATAGAAGTATACACGATTTTCAAATTCAATATAGAATTATATCCACCAGCGTGCGCTTTTTCGCATAGCGGGCTCTCACCAGCCCGCTGTCAAAGGGCCCGATATCTCTACAGCCCGCTCATGATATAGCCCGCTAACAAGTGACATTTAATTTGACCAGTAGCAATATAGCCCGGAGTTCTCTAAAATATTTTCAGTTTCTGTATCGTCTCCATGTGAAATTCCATAAGACAACAACTTACAAGTTACTTAGAACTATAGTTAAAACCGGTTTAATTCATTAATGATGAATTCAATTGCAATAATCGTACAGTGAGCTAATTAGTGTAGTTTCTGTTTCTAAATTCCCACGGCAATATGCAGTGGATGTAAAGAATGTATCAACTGTAAACTCTGAGCGCACCCTCTATCGGACGCTATATTAGTTGTCACGCAGTTTGCCATGATTGGCTCATAATGAACACGTGACACTGACACACTGTTACTATGGTTACCAAATTCGTGGAGACGTCCAGACTAAATTCTAAGCCGGTGATCTCTATTATAGTATCGATAATTGTTTTGTGTTTACCATTTCAGTTGTGTTTACCATTTTCATTTCACTAGTTCAGTCGATAAATCTTGAAATGTAGGCCGAAATTTTACGTGTTATTCTATTGTGTTCCCGAAAGATATTCTGCCCTGTTTTTGTTTTGAAACTGCCATTTAAATTGATGTTATGAATTTGATCTTTAACTTTCATATTAAATGTCCATGATCAGACTGTGATCTCGAGCTCTCTGGGTTACTACTTTGAAGTGTCCAGCCACTCAGTAGCTGCTACAGAAACTGTAGTAACTGGTTACCCGGGTAACCCTGGTTACCCAGGGCTGCTTTGATAGCAGCCGGTTTTTCGTTCTATAGTCAGTCATTTTGGCCTGTTTTACATCTTAAACCAAAAGCAACATGATTTTTTCGTAACTTTTCTGAAATCTTGTACATTAATTTGCTGTGATTGTTGCAAACTGAAGCTTCGTGATAAACGCCCGCTGATGGATATACACGATATCATTCCTCGCCTCGAGGGCGGAACTATCGTATTAGAAACATGTTGAAACTGAAAGTAAAAGTGAAACTAAATTAAAAACGGATCTCTTGAAGAAACTAAAGTAAAAACTAATATCTGTAAGAAAAAGCTCACGCTGGTGGATATAATCCACATCACCTCGACCCGCGGGCGGAAAAATCGTATAGCACTCGGGCCCGATGGGCCCTCCGTGCAATATTTCATATGTCCTCCTCGGGCTAGCGCCCTCGGGGACATATGAAATATTGCACGCGCGTGCGCGTGCAATATTTTGTTCCGCCCGCGAGTCTCCGGTGATATGTATATATATTAACTGGGCGGCGCTCGGCAGTCGGCATGTCACTTCGCCATATTTGCATGTTTATATAAACAGTAAAGACTGGGCCGTCCCCAGGTTGTATGGAATTTGATAAATACGCCATCACAGATCGGGAAATTGAGCGGCCATCCACAAAAGAAAAGCGGCTGCATTTCTTGTTTATTTCAATTATTTCCTGAATTTCATAAACTTAGTCGTGAATAACATATATATATATATAACTCATACAAATCCTGTTCTTAGATTCTTAGAAATCATATAAATTGGTAGCAAAACACCTGACCAAATTTAACTGCACTTACTTTACAATATTAACATTTTATTATAAATTATTATATAATTAGCTGATCAGTGTGACATATTCCTTTACTTGATGTTATAAGACAGCTAAAATTTAATTTATTTTAAATTAGTTGAATTAAAATAGTGCAAGTACAATATTATATACAGTAATAATAACACATAATAATAAGAACAGCTGATATTATAGGAGCAGGTAAAGTACAGAGCAGCTATACTACTACACTCTCACAACACATACGTTGACGGCTCTTGAAGCTGTTCTTCTTGCCAGTCCGTACTCTGGCGCTGTGAGCTGGTCGTTCCGTGCTGGCTGCTGCTGACAGTTGGTGGTCAGACAACTGGCGCTTTACCCTCCGTGTAGGTGTCACTGTAACAGTGGCTGTCACAACATACATACACGCTACTATATTACACTATCACACAGCTGTATTATAACACAGTGACACACTGTTTAGCAGCTAGTCACAGAGGTACAGCAAGCAGTTTGGATCAAGGTAGATAAGAGCAGCGTATTTACTAGATAATATCTAGATAATATCTAGATATTGCTTACGTGGTGTTGATTCTGAGGTGACAGCTACGGAGTAGGGCCGGGGACTGGGTTCCCTCTGGCCCTGCCTCATAAACATTTCCTTTGGAGTGGAACCTGGGAAATTTGACTCATTATTATCGTGATAGAGTTTAGTTAAAAGGAGTGACTTCTCCGTTTTAATCGGCTGTTTTAGAGTGATAACATGAAAAAGTAAATCGGAATGAAATCTTAAAATAGATCTGGTACAGCATTCTGCATTTATGTTGCTTCATAAGTCGCTATACAAATGTGGTCAAAGTTTACATATTTTGCTCCTGCTCAGTTTTATAGCTTTATCTCTCCGTAACTAATGACAAAGCTTAAAAGGGCTTGCAGTGAAGGTGGGGGAGATATGCCCTGAAGGGAGAACTTACCATTAACATGGCTAGGAGTGAAGGTGGGGGAGATATGCCCTGCAGTGGGAACTTACCATTAATATGGCTAGGAGTGAAGGTGGGGGAGATAGGCCCTGCAGTGGGAACTTACCATTAACATGACTAGGATTGAAGGTGGGGGAGATATGCCCTGCAGGGGGAACTTACCATTAACAGGACTAGGAGTGAAGGTGGGGGAGATATGCCCTGCAGTGGGAACTTACCATTAACAGGACTAGGAGTGAAGGTGGGGGAGATATGCCCTGCAGTGGGATCTTACCATTAACAGGGCTAGGAGTGAAGGTGGGGGAGATATGCCCTGCAGTGGGAACTTACCATTAACATGGCTAGGAGTGAAGGTGGGGGAGATATGCCCTGCAGTGGGATCTTACCATTAACAGGACTAGGAGTGAAGGTGGGGGAGATATGCCCTGCAGGGGGAACTTACCATTAACAGGGCTAGGAGTGAAGGTGGGGGACATAGGCCCTGTATTGACTGGAGAGGCCGAGGGACTACTGTGTTTTCTGTCCCGTCTTGTATTCTCGTTACAAGTTGTTTGTCCGGCTGTTTGGTGCAGTTTCAGAGGTTTCTCCGGTCTTTTGTTTTCTCCTCTGTACTCCTCTCGTCCTTTACCTGGTAATAAGTATGTTATATGTATAATATACATGATATATAATAAATGTGCGTACCTCCCACAACATATTGAATTTAAGAAGTACAAGTTGTGGTTGCTGTGTATTATGAGCTGGTAACTGAGAAACTGGCGAAGAAGCACCGTTTGCGCCAACAGCTAAGTGTTAAAACAATTGTACGAAACAGGTCAGATATTGTAACACTGACCTAACACTGCCACCAGCATTTAACAATTAACATACAGTACCTAAGTTAGCGTAGTAAGGTGAAGTGTTATCGTGGCTAATGTTGCTGTAACTGCTGTTGGCTGCCCCAGCATTCACTGTCTTTCTCAGCTCTTTTGATGATGTCCCTTTTGGGAGAAGGGATGCGTAGTGTTGCTCTTCGCGACGTACCTCACCGCGCTGTCCCGGCTCACTCACCCTTCTTCTTATCGGGGGTGTTTGCTGAAAATAAAGTTATGTTATAAGTTACAACTTTCAGGCCACGTGATGTGGACACGTGATGTGGTGTCAGATTCAGATAAGAGACCTCGTGAGATAACAACAAAATATAGGAAGTCAAAGCCAAGTAATATTGAATAGCTTTCACGTGTTGTTTTATAAGGGAAACCTGATATTATTTATCATTATATATTAGATATTGTCACGCAAAACGCTTATTAAATTACAATTCTAGATAATTCAGAAGGAAGCTAAAAGGAGTACCTATTAAAGATACTGTAATTAGATGCTACGAGTTGTATTTCTTTATCAACGTTGAATATTCTGTTTACTCAATAGTCTTAGGTCACATGTACCGTAACTTGAAAATTTGTGACATTATTTATTATATTGTTTGATATAATTTCCAGCTTAAAAGATTAGCTATTTCATGATAGCAGATCATGGCAATCTTTCCTCCGGAATGCCCCAACTATACGGACCCAACGTTTGACAGTGTTATGAACTACGGCAGTGGAGCAGTCCAGCAGTGTTATCTCTCTTCTTCAACGCAATGGTGTTTCATGTCAACTTAACACAGCAGGAAATGGGAACAGCTACATTCCTCTTCCTAGTGCTGGCCAGCTCTGACTTCCTCTACACGATAGTAAGAGTGCCTTATGTCACATATAATCTTGTCAACCCACATGTCCTTCCTAGAGTTACAAATTCTAGCCCCAACGTACTACAGAGGGTTGCAGGCGGGGGAGGGTGTCTGGCCGCTTACACTTCTATCTGTGCTATATTTGGCATCTCAATAATGAGGTTCATTAAGTTAGGGTACCCACTCTGGGCAGTGTCACACAGGACAGCAACCCAAGTGATGGCAGTAGTGCCTATGGTTGTTACAGTACTGTACAGCGCGGCGCTTGAGCTGGCGCAAATCTGTGATGCTTTTAACAGCAGCTGGAGTAACACTGCCCAGGATGTCTTACTGGGGTACGATGCTCTTATCCTCATCAAAATGTGGACAGTTCTAGCACCAGCGGTTCTTTCTTTCTTCCTAGCTCTAGCAACAACTGCAAAGCTTTATAGAGACCAGCAGCAGAGCTCGCAGATAAACAGGTACAGCATGGTAACAATACTGCTACTCTCTGTTGGCAACATCACCTAGCCTGGACGACACAGTGGTCAGTTACAGCGGCACTTGGGGAGGCTTACTTATACTTACTACTTATTATAACCAACATTGCTTATATTCTGCCTTGTAAACAAAGAGCAAATCTTCTTAATGCCTTCTTCCTGTCCTAAAACTAAAACTTCATCCTATTAAAGTAAAGGCCAGTTGTTACCACAAGCTATTATACCGTCCCTCTCAAAAACATGCCTCAGCCTCCATCAAAAACAATTTTAGTTTTCAGTCCTTCTAGTTTCCAAAAATCTACCGAGCTAGTGTTCTGGTGTGCACAAAAGCCCCTAAGCCCGTGCATTCCTTGCCCCGCTAGCTGCCAGTCCTTGACAAACTTCCAATAGCAAAGATCAACTAGTCATTTACAAATTGAGCACTATACAATTTTAATTGTTTTAAATATTTGACTTTGTAAAATGAGCTAAAACATTGATTTATTAGTTTCATTATTAGTTTCATTGACTTCTTCAACAAGACCACTAGTTCAATTAAAGGTTCTGCGTGTCTGATATTCATCTTTTATGTGATGATGCCGAGTGTAACAGCGCTGTACAATCCACTGGTGTTATGTATCAGAACATCAAAAATGAGGACTGCATTGAGAAACATAGCCAGACACTTTGGAATAAATACAAGTGTAACAGGGTATGAAAGAATGGATTAACATTAGTTTTAAGGAAAACATTTTGTTGTTATTGGCTTTGCTCATTAAGATAAGTAGTGCATAATGTATATATTTGATCCACACAATAAATTTTGTTTATGTACTTTTGACAGGGAGGTGGAAGACAGTCATATAAAAACTCACCAATTCATCAGGCTTTTTCCACTGACTAATTTGAGTTTTAACATTGAAATAGTAAGTTTTTCCGTTGCCGTCCTCATGAGACATCCAATCAGACTTTGGATCTTCCTTTTTTGGCATTGGTTCATTTTTCAGAAGATTTTCAGAGCTAATAGAAGCAAGTTCTGCATCAGAAGGAGGTGGCGGTAAATCCTGTGAAAATGTATCATTTCATGATTTGTAGTACAACAGTTTGTTTGTTGATTTGTTGTTCTAACAGTTTTAAAACATATTTTTCAAAATTTGCATATTATTGTTTACAACACAGTAAGTTGAATGATCTTTCATTCATTAAAATAGCTATATACAATTACAGCCAAAGTGAATTGATCAGTATTTGAAGAAAAACATTCAATAAAAAACAGGCTGACAAGTAATCATAATAAAACAAACTTAAACTTACTGGGATATTTTCATCCTCGTACTTCTCCACATATGTGGCGGGAACGTAGATGTGTTCAGGGAGTTCCTGCTCCTGCCTACGAGGAAGAGTTACATGCCACCAGTTTGGATCTCTGTCATCGACCAGCTCAAAGGTGTCCCCTTTGACAAACTGAATCTTGTGGTCAGATGACCCATTATAGTCAAATATAGCCCGAACTATCACCATAAATACTTCAGGTAGACATTCCTAACAAACGGAGTTATAGTTAATCTTTGTCTATGTAATTATTATTATTGTCTATGTTAACAAACTCAAATTCGACTCCTTTTAAGGTAAAATTCGAATGCATTGAAAATTCATACTTAAGACGTTTACGAATTTGAACGTCTTTTTTGCTAAATAGGGTGAAACCACAGATAATCATTTAAATGAGATCACCCTTGTTTGCCAAAAAATCATCTCCTTTGATTCAACCTATCACCTCATCAGACATTTTCAATAATGATTATCATAACAGATTCCTTTTAAAGATACAATTCCACTTGAAATATTGTAGCTTTATCTTTAAATTATTTACTCTACTAAAGAATTCTTCACATCTATTCCACAACTGCACACAATATTCAAGATTTGGTCAGTGGTCTTGTTAAAGATTTGTAAATTGCTAGTACATAACAGTTTCTAACAATGAAATTCTTGACTCTCCAACATATCATTTGGCAGAGGCAGCTCGTGGGAGGTGGCTGGCAGTTTGGTTGGGTGTCCAATCGACGGACTGGGGAGGGGAGGGGTGGGGGACTTGGGGCCGGCCCAAGCTCCCTCGAAACTTCCGATTACATTACACACAGGGCCTCACTTCACAGACGACAGCAAACAAAAACAAAAACTTATAATATGGTTGAAACAAGACACCACACATGCAGTGGCGTAACGGAAGGCCCTGCTGACCCCGCTGTGCAGGGGGGCGCCGTCTTAGGGGGGCGCCAAATCGTCGTTTGAATGTGGGACAATTTTGAAAACTTAACTAAAGTACTAGCAAAACTGCGCGTTTTGCTCTAGATACACACTTTTTTAGAGATTTTACCGGCGTATTCTTTAAAATCACCTAATTTGTTCAATTTTAGGGAGGGGCACCAAAAGGGGAGGGGGCGCCAACAGGGGGGCGCTTTTTTTGGCAGGGGGGCGCCAACAGGCAACGTTACGCCACTGCACACATGTATGATCTCAGCCGCGCAGTATGATAGCAGTTAATAGTTCAAATTGCAAGGTGTCCTGGACGAGCAAATCATAAAGATTACCTGTAGTGGATGCACTTGATGTGCTTTGAACCCGTTTACAATTAACTATGTGTTAAAACTGTGCGGCTTAGTCGTCCAAACATAGGATTGGACGGCCAACAACACAAAATTTCACAAAGATCATGCGTGCGCTTTCATTCGAACGTTTGAGTAAATAAAGAGCTTTATATTGCGATTAGACAAGGAAAATATTCAAACAATATACACATAATATAGCAGTGACCCTATATAAAAATTCTGTAAAAATTGTACAAATTTAAAAACTGAGGTAAAAATAAAACCCTTTGTAATAATATATATAAAATCCACTAAATCACATCACAACAAAAAGCAGTTTAGACCCCCATCCAACTAGAGCACTCCATGACCTTTTAGGGTTTAAGGGTGTTGATCAGGTTAAGGTCCAAATCACTTATTGCCGTGGGTGGAAGGGTTCTGTACCCCCTATTGCGATTAGATATTTCCGAACACTATTACCAAGAACTATTTCTATTTTTAAGCACCAGCCACCAGATGATAATTTTAGGGCGTCCACGGACGCCTCTGTCATTTGGTTAGCTTTAGATATAAATGCTTTTGTCTACTCATTCCATTTCAGTGACATTATATGTGCAGTAAAAGTAAAAAAGTAAAAAAGTAAAAGTAAAAAAGTAAAATGTATGACATCACATCATCACACATGTCTACAAAATATCATCGCACTGCACTATGTGAATAACATAAGTAAAACAAAATTTAAGTAAAACAAAATTTAAACTTTATTGCCATATTATATTACAATGAATACTAATATCATAATAAACATAGTAAAACTTGAACATCCGATAATAAACTCATGAAAATTAGATATGCTATGTAAAATATGCTTTTTACTACATATTACTCGAAATTTCATCTCAATCATAAATTTCTATCAGTGCGCAGCTAATCATTTATTATAATGACGGCGCTGAGCCTTGTATCACGTTGCGACCCCCACGGTCGTTTCACTATGGTTGTCCTGACGTTGATTGACGATGTCAATCCGTCGAGATCGTTGCTCTGCGAAGCAGAGCAACGATCGTCGACTTCGATGCGACTTAGATGCAACTTCGATGCGACTTCGATGCGAAGCAAAAATGCTAGTTCGCGCGGCGCGTCGAAGCGGCGAAGTCCTCCTTCTAAAAATATTTCATTAACTGACTTCTATTCTTAATGTTTAAATTTTACAAATCGATAGTACACAAACGCTTATTTGCCGCATAAGGATGAAACCAAAAGATACTCATTATGTTTCTTTTTATTACTGACATAACTGGCTCTCCCATTTCTTACTAAAAATTGATTAAAAACATTATAAATAAAGCAATCATTTGTAATACTTTTATTTTAGAAATTATATCTTTCTTAAATCCTTCTAATCTTATTTAAAAGCCTAAAACTGTCACAGAGTTCTTATCCGGAGGGAATTTGTTCCAATTAAATATGGACTAACTCGCTCCGGGAGAAAAAACTTCTAGATATTTTTGATTTTACTTAACACTTAAACTTCTGCTACATCTATTGCTTGAAACAAAATTAAAACCGGATCTGCCAATTCTAAACATCACCGATCGATAATCAGTCAAACCACTAGTTACTTTAAAAGCTTTTATAACATTTTGGATGACTTGCCGCTTCGACGCGCCGAGCAAACTAGCATTCTTGCTCCGCATCGTCGATTGTTGTTCTGCTTCGCAAAGCAACGATCTCGACGGGTTGACACCGTCAATCAAATGACATTTGAGGTCCTCGCGTATTCGCCGCTCTACCAGCGTTGTCAAATTAAGGATTTCAAGTCTACGGCGCGGTTGTATGGAAGAGTACCCACCTCATCTACCAAACGAGAAAACCGCCTTTGGACGCTCTCCAGCTCCGAAACAGTCCCCCAATTTCCATGAGCCGCAGGTGGATTCCACAATTAGACACAATACTCAAAATGAAGTTTCATTTTGTTGTTTGTCATAAGATGTATGACCCACCGCGCACGAGTGCGCGGCTCCCACTGTATTGTCAGGATTCTATATAGTGAAACGATCACGTGGGGATCACGACTTGATACAAGTTTTATTAAAGCTTTATATATAGCAATCATAACAACTAGAACTTTATCTCTGCTAATTAAATTCCTTTTACCTGGGGATAGGACCTCAGGCTATCATGTTTATAAACATAAATAGAGATTAGGCGGAATGACAGGCTGAGCGCAGCCCATGAGTAAAATTCCTTACAATCCAACAAATCATACGATTTGCCTTAACGATACATGCTTTGATGTATATGCTTTATATTTTATCAAGGTCCCATACTCTGGCCTTTTTATACTTCACATTAAATTGATTCACGATGTCAATCCTTCGCAGCTCGGCGAGGCCCATTAGTGCATCTCGCCGATCTACCGAGCGATTTGTGGAAACAGTCCACAGTCCAGTCGCAAGTGTTTAAAATTAAAAAGTTTTGGATTATTTGGCAAATATTGTAAAGTATACCGTTAAACATATATTGTAGCCTTAATTTTTTACCCCGCGCACCTTTTCCATCTGTATAGTTATATTGTCTTCAATCAATCGCTATACCAATTTAGAATCGAGCGCCACGAATTAAATGGTACCGTCGTTAACATAAAATGCTGTAGATGTAACAATGTTTATAAAAATGGCATGTTACATTATTATATTAGATAGCTATAGTTTTTACCGTAGGATATCTACAATGGGATTATTAATTCATAATTATAAAGATCCTGTAAACATCTTTCAGTTTTACTACTAACTTTTGTTTTAGGTCGAAATGAAATTCAAAGAGTCGTAATTTTTATTACTTCTTGTATTACACATCTCAGCCTTTCTTAGTTTTTATCACCCTAACTCCATCTCGTTATGGCTCATCTTTATACACAAGATAGAGAATGATGTGATTTAACTGCTGACACAGCTTGAATACAATAATTAATTGTTCTAGGCTACCCAAGTTTCAAGCGTGCATTTGTCTAGCATGTGACTGATAATTCCTCATTTATATGATTAGATTAGATTATATTTCGATGCGAATTCTGGTTATTTACGTATCACACCATTGCCTCCAATAATTTGTTAGGTCGCCAAACCTGTAATAGAAAACTCGACTTTTTACATGTACTACTAAATTACAAATTGTAGAGCTCATGTGAATGCTAACTCATTAGTTCATTTGCAATTTATTTCAAGTGAGTGGTCCTGCTTGAGTGGTTTTATAATACATTGTGTATTTATTGACTACTAGTATTGACAAAGAATAACCAAAGGATGGTGATTTAAAGTATATTTTAATTGTACAATCTCTTCCTCTTTTAACCGACCAGCATCATTGCTCAAGTATACTTAAGGGGGGGGGGGGGGGGGGGGGTTCACCCTAATTTTTTTGTGAAACTTGGTTTCGAGATGGCAATTGACCAACAAACTAGGACCGGTGACTGAACTTTTGAGGGGATCCCGAACCCCAACCGCCAAACGGTGCCCGCAAAAAAATTTGGCGCCCAAATTCTGAATTTTGTATTGCAAATTTTGGAATTCGGCCGCCAAATTTTTTTAAAGGCCTAACCCAAAATTCTGTCCCAAAACTTAAGGTCGAAATGCGATTCTACGTTGATTCTGAAAATTTCGTGTAAAAATATTGAAACCCTATTGAGTTCTATTGTTTTGAGCGAAATCAGTTTTGCAAATATCGCGAACTGAGATATGGGCAATTTTGTTCATTTTTTGCGATTACTGGACACAAAATCCACAGTTAGGTTGATACTGAGCTGATAATCATATATAATGTGTAGTATAGTCTTACCTTCCATATAAAGTTGGTTTCATTCAAAAATATTGATATTTGACCAATTTATGGGCCAAAATCGATCAAATTTAATGCGTATGCCCAAACATGGTCATATGGTTTTTGGATCATAACTCAGTCATTTTTTGTCCAATCTTGATGAAAATTCATATACGAGTTCATGGGACCACTAGCTACAAGTAGAGCACCTAAAATCTGGATTTTGGACATGTTCAGGGTATTTGGCTAGATTGGGCCTAATTTGGGCCTAATTTGGACCAGATATGGGCGTGGCTGCCCCGCGGGCACCGTTTTGCGGTTGGGGTTCGGGACCCCCTCAAAAGTTTGGTCACCGGTCCTAGTTTGCTGGTCAACTGCCATCTCGAAACCAAGTTTCACAAAAAAATCAGGGTGAACCCCCCCCCCCCCCCCCCCCTTAAGTATTTACATTGATTTATATTGAACACGATTTTTCTTGCAAATTCAAACATTATTAGTATCATCTTAGAGAGTAGTTGTGCCGTTTTATTTCGATGCTGTCCCATAACGTTAACTTGCTTGAGTTATGTTGATTATAGTGCACTGTGCTATACTATCCAAGTTAATATTTTGATATAGTCTGATATAAATAAAACTGTGATCTTAATCTTCTTAACTGACTATTGAGATGGTGGTCTGTCAAGAAGTCAAGAATGTGAAATCTTCATCATCTTCAACACTTTCCACTGAAAATCGTACTGGTTTTTGCTTTAATTAGTACAGGGTGTGGTAGAACTATAGCAACTTTATTGATTTCCGCGGTATTCTGATCAACCACCACTTCAATTGAAATTGTATCATGCCTGTTAAAAGTCTCATTTTTCCTGAATTACATTTGAACTATTTGTATAGGACATGATCCTTCAAGAGGAATATTTCATTATGAACAATTCATGAGATTCACAATTTGTTCCAGGTTGACCGGAATGGCGGGATCCATTTCTAACCTCAATAGCTACTTGGCCTCTAGGAGCTATATCAAAGGCTACCATTACACTGCAGAGGATGACCAACTCTTGAAAGAAGCTCAAGTTAATGCAGATGGTGCACATGTTAAAAGGTGGATATCTCACATCACAAATCTTCAGCAAAGCTCCGCCAAGCATTATGCTCCCAAAGTCCCAACAACAGCATCTGAGATAAGGAGGTCATTTATTGACTTCTTCAAAGATAAGTATGATCATACTGAGGTGCATTCATCAAGTGTGGTTCCACATGATGATCCCACATTGCTCTTCACCAATGCGGGTATGAATCAGTTCAAGCCTGTCTTCATTGGAACTGTTGACCCTAATAGCGATATGGCCAAATGGAAGAGAGTGGTGAACTCCCAGAAGTGTATCAGAGCTGGTGGAAAGCACAATGATTTGGATGATGTTGGTAAAGACGTTTATCATCATACCTTCTTCGAAATGATGGGCAACTGGTCATTCGGTGATTATTTCAAGAAAGAGACAATAACCTGGTCTTGGGAGCTGCTTACTGAAGTGTGGGGACTAGATAAAGACCGTATGTATGTTACATATTTTGGAGGCGACGAGAAACTGGGAGTACCTGCAGATGATGAGGCCAAACAGATTTGGTTAGATCTTGGCCTGCCAGCCAATAGAGTTTTGCCGTTTGACTGTAAGGACAACTTTTGGGAGATGGGAGATACTGGTCCATGTGGTCCTTGTTCTGAAATACATTTTGATAGAATAGGAGGAAGAGAAGTGCCAGAACTTGTTAACATTGATGATCCAGATGTTTTGGAGATTTGGAACTTGGTGTTCATGCAGTTCAACCGAGAGCCTGACCAATCTTTGACAACCCTCCCTGCAAAGCACATTGACTGTGGTCTTGGATTAGAGCGAGCAGTTTCTGTCTTGCAAGGCAAGGATTCTAACTATGATACTGATTTGTTTACTCCATTATTTGATGCAATTCAAGAAGCAACAGGTGCTAGACCATACACTGGAAAAGTTGGAGCTGCAGATGCTGATGGAATTGACATGGCTTACAGGGTGCTTGCTGATCATGCCAGGACTATCACTATTGCTATTTGTGACGGTGGTATGCCTGATAATGTTGGAAGAGGATATGTTTTGAGGAGAATTTTGAGACGTGCTGTGAGATATGCAGTTGAGAAACTTAATGCTCCACAAGGCTTCTTTGCCACATTGGTGCCTATTGTAAATGAAACACTGAAGGATGAGTTCCCTGAACTGCTTAAAGACCCTCAGTACACCATGGATATTATCAATGAAGAAGAGGCACAGTTCTTGAAAACTCTTAAATATGGAAGAAGGCTCTTTGAGAAAACAGCCAATTCCCTTAATGCATCAACAATTCCTGGAGATGTTGCCTGGAGGTTGTATGATACATTTGGATTCCCACTTGATCTAACATGCTTAATGGCAGAAGAAAAGGGATTGGCTGTTGATTGTGAAGGATATGAGCAGGCCAGAGCCAAAGCAATAGAAATGTCCCGTTGTGGTGGTGTAGTTGATGACGATAAGACTGACATAGATGTTCATGCTATCAGTGAATTGCAGAAGTCAGGGATCTCTCCCACAAAAGACGCTTTCAAGTATAGTTACACAGCAAAAGATTCTGGAGACTACACATTTGAAACCATCAGTGCTACTATTAAAGCTATTAGATGTGGTCGTCAGTTTGTGCAAAATGCCGAGTCTGGGGAGAGAGTTGGAGTCATTCTTGACAAAACTTGCATGTACGCCGAACAAGGAGGTCAGATTTATGACACTGGATATATAACCAGCACTGGTGATTCGGGTATACTTGTTAATAATATCCAAGTTAAAGCTGGTTTCATTTTGCACAAAGGTATCGTAGAAGGAAAAATTGCAGTAGGGGACGAAGTTCAAATATCATTTGATGAAGGTAGAAGGAAGAAAATCATGAACAATCATACCGCAACTCATTTGCTTAACTATGGTTTAAGGAGACATTGTGGAGAGGCAGACCAAAAAGGATCTCTTGTAACTCATGAAAGGCTAAGATTTGATTTTACTTCCAAAACTCCACTTACCACAGAACAGCTGGAAGGAGTCGACTCTGTTGTGGCTGAGTTTATAAAGAAGAACGATGTCGTTTATGCACAAGAGGCTTCTCTTGCTGTTGCCAGAGAAATCCAAGGATTAAGAGCTATGTTTGATGAGACTTATCCTGATCCAGTTAGAGTAGTGTCTGTTGGGATTGGTGTTGACAAATTGGTGGCTGATCCAACTGCTCCAGCAGGAAGTACGACTAGTATTGAGTTCTGCGGTGGAACTCATCTTCTTAGAGCAGGTCACATGAACAATTTTACTGTGGTCAGCGAAAAGCCCATCAGCAAAGGTATCAGAAGAATAATCGCTGTGACAGGAACTGAAGCAGATGCTGCAATCTCCAGAGGGAATGCTCTCCAAGAACAAGCCGATTTTCTTATCAACCAGGTGAGTGGTGGAAATTACGAGTACACTAATATCATAAGTAAAGTGAACGCTCTGATCCAGACCAATGACAAATCTACCATTCCCGCCTGGCGTCAAGACAAGATAAGAGATGACATTTCCTCTCTCAAAGCTAAGCTTGATAAAGCAAAAATCGAAGCAGAGAAAGCCCTTGTAGGACAGAATTCCGCTGAAATAATCAAACTTATTGAGAACAACAAAGACAGTGCCACGATTGTAGAGGTCTTGTCAACAAAGGGAACAAGCAAGGGAATCTCAGAGGGTTTGAAAGTGATGAGGAAGAAACTACCAAATACTGCGGCTGTTATCTTTGCAGTAAATGATGATAACGTATTTTTCCACTGTTTGGTCCCCAAGAAGATTTCTACTGCTAAATCACTTCGAGCTGACGAGTGGGTGGCATCTTTCTCAGGTCTCCTCAATGCTAAATGTGGTGGAAAGGATCTGTATGCTCAAGGAAGTGGAACTGGTGCTGGCCAGATTACAAATGCTATCAACCTAGCGAAGAAGTTCGTTGGAGACAAAATGAACTAGGATTCTGTCCATGCATAAGGGATTTAGCCTTTAGTTTGTTTTAGGTTTTTACATTTTAAAAGTTTATCGGGATTCTTTTATGGAATTATAGGCTAATTTATTAAAACCGCAGCGGTATCAAGATTGTTAATTCTCTTGTTTAAATAAGAGATATGTGTAATCTTTTTCTGGTAAAACAATATATTTAAGAGTTCTAAATATTTACTCAAATGTTAGAACCTATCTTTGTGCAACCATGCCTGCAGTGTGAACTTCGATAAGTGTTGAAAGTTTTCATATTGTTCTTTGACTCATCTGTAGCCTTGTTTTTTCAATTGACTTTCCAAGCTGTATTGAGTATTCATTGATCTTAAAAGAATATAATACAAATTATTAAAATGATAACTATAATAATTTTCAATTGAAATATTAGAATCTAATTAATTAACTAGCATGACATGAAGATATTTTATTCAGTCTGTAATCAGTAGTTATAGCTGTAATATCTGGTTCTAACTAATTCACAGTTATGTGTCACCTCTTACCTTCATAGGTTAAATGCCCAAGAAAACAGTCAAAGAACCAACGAAAAGTGGTCAGACAATCAAGAAGAACTCGCTTGAACCAAATGTTACCGTTTATACAGACTTACCGCCTGATGTACACGGACAGCTAAGGTGCTATCTCGTTCTCAAAGTAGACAGATTTACCTGGACTGGTGCCAGATTACAGAATGAACTGCACATAGTTGCTAAATGGTGGGGTGAGCAGTCCCAGGGCACTGTGTTCAAATGCAGCAGGTTTCCTGGAATCGCTAAATATGCCATCAAATGTGGCCCCAGACAGTTTTCTTCTTATCTCAATGACATGCAATCTCTGACACTAGATTTTATTGACTCAAAATCTTATCGTATCCAAGGTGTTGCCAAGGTCGATGTCAGGAAATTATCAAAGAACAATCTCATTCTCAGTGATGCAACAATCAGAGTTCCTTTGTCAGAGCAAGTGATAGGAAAAGTCAATGTCAGTTTAAATATTGTTCAAGCACCAAAATCGTTAGAAGATCAGCCAACCCTGGATAGAAATTCTCCTCTACAAGTTACGTCTGCCATCAAACATCCTCGGACAAGCCCAAGTAAGACGTCTCCTGTGAAATTCCACGATGACAAAGAAAATGTTGTATTTCCTTCAAAGAACGTGCAGAAAGGTAGTGTTACAGATATTATAAGTCAGGTACTTCGAAAAAGTAGAAACCTAAAAGATGAACTGGTTAAAGCACAGATGCAAGATTTGGATCACAGTGATAACTTCAGGGAGGAGATAGAAGCGAACATTGACGACATACCCCCAAACTGTATCCAAGAGGTTGAAAGACAGCAACTATCAGAAACACACCAAGATACTTCACAAGTAGATAACACTATGGACCTTTTCTTTGGTGGTCGGAACCATATTGATACTATGCTCAAGAAGCACGGGTTAGATGTCACTTTCTCTAGTGACTCGAGTTCAAGTTCATTACAAGACGAGTCGCTTATTGAACATCTATTTTACAAAAGAGATCAGGGCCATGACATATCTGCTGTATCCTCTGATAGTGAAGTAGATGAATCTAGAATAGAAAGGCAGGCAGATCAATCTTCTAGAGTGACGTTTGCTTCTCCGGGTAAGAAGAAAGAAGTATCAATTCTTCCTGCTGAAGAGAATCTCCCTCTCAGTCTTAACAAAATCACTGCTCTAGGACGAGTTAACAAATGTAAACTGTTCTTGAGTGATTTACAATTTGATAGTGCTGCTCAAGCAGGCACTTATTTTGTCGAGTACAACATCCCAATAGCTGATGAGGAAGAAACACGAACTTTAACCAGCAGGAAAGTTGAGGATAGATCTGTTAACTTTGAGCACACCAACGTGTTTCCTGTTATGTTTGATGAGGTCCTGATAAACCAGTGGCAAATCAGGACAGCTGGTTTCAAGATATTCTACAAAGAAAGAATTGAGGATGCCCCGGAGTTTATTGCTGATGCCTCTTTGAAACTGAAGAATGTCTTGAGAGCAGAGAAGTTCGAGCTGAGATTTTCATTGCAAATACGGTCTATACAAACAGATGACTATCTGGGATTGTTAAATGGAGTCCTGAAACTGAACAGTGGGGATGTGTCTGAGTTATATGTTCCGCGAACCAACCCTCAACAAAAACCTAAAGGTAAAATATCGTTATGCGAATTTTGTTTTCGTAGTTTGTTATTAATTAATAGTTCTACAGTTATATTCTTCCGGATACGTCGTATTGCTGGAGTTTATAGTTGTATTGTATCCGCCTCGTTATTGAGTTAACGCTTAACGTTATTTCAGCCGTTTCCTTGAACTTGTTAATATCTGTGGTCTGTGGAAAAGCGATACAAACTAAAAGTAAAGACGTGGTAAATTCTTATGTGGTGGCTAGAATGATTGACTCAGTTGAACGTCTCTCTACAGGTTAGATTCAAGTTAATGCGTGTGTTGCTCCCTGAGATAATGTTACATTTTTATCATTTTCTTCTTAGATGTTTTTGTGAAACTAGATGATAATATTTCTAATTTAAACTATCTCAGATATAGTGTGGGATAATCACCACCCAATCTACAACTGCAGACACATAATACCCTTCACCTACACTTCCACCTTCATCGACCGGTTCAAGGATAACTTTATCATCCTGGAAGTGTGGAACAAGTCCGGAACTACAGACGATCTAGTGGGGTTGTGCAAACTTCCAACTAGTCAGTTCAACTTGTCTTTATCTGGAGACAATCTGCAAACGTTTACGGAGGAAGATGTTCCTCTTGTAGCAGTTGATGGTTATATGCCCATTATAGACATTCTGTCCAATGAACGGTGTGGTATCCTCCAGTGTATCTTAGCAGTTGGCTCCCACTCTCAACTCACCCATCTGCTCTCCCAGAAGAACCTACCCCCGGTGATAGTCCCCAAAACCCCTGCTGAGAAGCCGGACACAGTAGAACACATTCCAGAGATAACTTCCAAAACACGGCACATGTTCCACGTGACTGTAAACTCAGTGCAAGACATGGACCTGTTCGAGGGGACTAGTTGGGGTGCCACTGACTGTTTCATCAGCTTCTCTCTCCCAGTCTCCGCTGGTTCCTCCTCTCCAGAGCTGAAGACCTACACCACTTCAATCAGCAGTGCAGCTCCACACATGAAGTTCAACCACCGGACTACGTCCTCTCTGGTGCTGTCAGATGCTGTGTCAGTGCAGCAGTTCCTGTCCAGCACTCTAGAGGACAACAGTGTGGTGTTTGAGTTGTGGAGGAGGTTTTATTACCCCAATGTTAGAGATCAAGTGTGCGCGCGGGGGTGTGTTACCTTGCAGCAGCTCTCTCATCTCATATCCCTCAATCCTGGAACTGAACAGAGTTTTAAACTTCCCTTAAATAGTGTGCAGATGGCTGATGACGTGAGTTTAATTCTTTAGGGGAGGACTTTTAATTAGGAATTTTCCGACTGAAAAAGCAATGGAAATCCGTATGATTGATGATGAATTATAGCAATTAATTTGGAAATATCTAAAGAAGGAATTACCCGAGTTCCAGCTGCACTTTTTAAAACATGATATCTTCATTCAGGAGGGTATGGGATACGTAGTGGGAACTCTGTCCGTATCAGTGGAATACAACCACGACACAGTCACAGAAACACAACATGCAACTAACTTCGTTCAGTTCTGTGTAGGAGTACAGCGAGCGTGCGGTTTGCAGTATGCAGCACAGCGCGCGCTTAATGCTGGGGCGCCTTTAGAGCATGCAGCTACTGTTGGAGTTGACTCTTATGTTGCAGTGAGTTTGTAACTTTACCCCAAATTGATCCCTTATAATGGTATAAGGTGTTTAATCATGTTTCTTTGCTACGAACTCGGTTTATGACTGCATTAAAACCCCAAAATATATCATTATTTCTAAGAATTTACCCGATTTAACCGTCTAACTCTATCAGATTGAGCTGTCGTTTGCTGGTATTGACAGGGAGTCGAGTGTACGAGCCCGGTCCTTCACCCCTAACTACGGTTCCCACTTCTCCATGACGCTACCTACTGTAATGTCTGCTACACACTCCGGTCCTCCCACTTTAGCTGAGAATATCAGTAAGGGTAGCGTACTGGTGTCTGTGTTTCACAAAGTAGATGGTTCTCACAGTAAAGCTAACGATATTCTTCTTTGTAAGGTTCGTACAGTTTTATGCTATACCTGTTCTGGATTATTAATTACTGTCAATTGGGACATTAATTTCATGATAATTTGATCGGTTTTGCTCTTAAAGACTGGAAGCATTACTATTTACTACGCGATCCCCGGAGTTGACCTAAATTTATTTGTTCTGTGGATGATTTGCGAATCAATTATCCATATTATGACGTTACAACTTTAAAATTATGAGCTAATAATCCCAGGCCACAGTGAGTCTAGAGAGTTTGTTACAGAAGCAGTCTGGTCTACATGGCTGGGTGGCACTGCAGGAACCTTCTAAATCTCGTGAACATGTCGGTGCTATCGAGTTGGAGGTTTGTAGAATTGTAGCGTGACGGTGGGGGGGGGGGGGGGGGAGGGAGCGGGGCCGGGGGGAGCTGCTTGTAACGTAGTGAACTTATTATTCGGATGCAGGTTCAAAGTGGCGATTATATAATTACTTAGTGAGTTAGTGTCCAAATCTAACGATCAGTTCACTGCCCAAATGTAACAATCAGTTCACTGCCCAAATGTTCTGTGAGTATCACGTCCCCTCTTCCTGCAGATAGGGTTCAGTGAGCTGACAGAGAGAGAGCAGGTGATACAGGACGCGGGAGGGCGGGGCTGGCTTCCTCCTCCCCTCCCATCTGTAACCTCACCTTATCTGTCACTACAAGTGGGGATAGACAGGGTCTGGATACCGGATACAGTGCTACTCAGGTACAAGGGAGCTCACGATAAGGTGTACGAGGACAGACAGTGCTATCTCAGAATCAAGGTGAGACAGTTGCATTGGTTATGTTGTAGATTTGAGAGGAGCTGTTGAGCCTCATATTTTACAAGGTGCAGCCATCAACTAACAGATCACAGGCGAAACTATTCCAATTCTTAAATCACTGTTGTTAACAATGTGGTTCACCACCCCACCAGTATCCAAGTCAATATTATAATTAGATGTAGAGTGTTGAGCACACGAAAACCATTATCATTCGATACTGAAGATTAATGATGCAGGGTTTCAACGTTTCATCAGGTGCAACGCGTCATACAAATCAAATTGTCGTCTTCACAGCTGGTCGGAAGCCTTAGTGTTTGTGGAACTAGAGTGCGTGACCACAGCTGTTATAGGGTCTAATTACATTTGCAATGCAGGTCTGGAGTTTGTTATCTAATAAACTTGATAATTGGTTTAGTCGTCTCCCCATAGATCATATCTTGGTTTTAATTGCTGATGGATGTGTGAATTTCCTTATCTTAGGCTCGTATATCAGAAAAATTATAACTTGAGGGTTTCATCGGACTATATAATATAAACAGTGAGTATCTCATCATTATTATTTCATTTGAACTCTTCTTTAGTGTTGACCAGTTGATTATAGCTGATCCATCCTCTGTTTGGTCTTGGTTGATCTATCAGCCAGATTGTAGCTCGTGTTTTCTCAAAACAGATAGCTCGCCTTCCTAGGCCTATCAATATTATGATCGATACTGAACTCTGGGAGTAAATGATACATAGGTCACCTACATATTGTCACCATTCTTTCCCCCACCAAAATGAAATTGAGTGTCACCATAGGTCGTTTCATCTGGTAATTAAATCATCGGGCCACGGCGCTCTTAACTAGAATATTTGAATCTGGTTTAGATTGCTGCTAATTGTGTTTATCTTTTAATCTAATTTCTGGAATATTTCATATAACCTGCACTGCTAGTACCTCACGTCCTCACCCTATTTTAATTGTTATATCCCTTCTGTGGACGAAGAAATTTTATCGATATGATATGAAGTTTTAATAAAGATTTTGTTAAGTCCACTGACTAGATACTAACGCTGATCTAGTGCTGTACACTGTTCAGTATTTGTTTGCTGTCCAGTGAATATTCTGTATTTAATAGCCGATTAATCGTCTTTCCAGCCTTAGTTCATCTCTCTAACCGTGTTGTTCCCCATGTTCTTCGTGATATCTTCAATCCTCATAATTTCAATTTAATCTGAATCGGTAGATTTTAGAATACCCATTTTCCCATATTTAATGATGATATTATAATCATAGTTATTAGTTATGAACATTACTAAATTTCAACTAACATTTTTATGCCCACTTGCACTTGACATTGAAACTTCCTATAAACAGGATGAGGTTTGTAGTTGGTATACTGTGCTGTCTTGCCCTTACTGCGGCTTTGGAACCTAATGTGACTCAGGAACTTAGTGTGTTTGAGAACTTTGGGGTATCTATGATTGATGGTATGACTGGCATGAAGGTCATGGCACGTGATTACCTGAGCGAGGATGGTTCGTCCTTCACCCCGGATATCAGGGAGATGCTTGGTGTGTTGGAGGCCCAAATCTGCCCACAGGAATCACGGGAGTGTAACCCTGGTGCGAACTGGCTGTTTGGCTGCAACTGTCGTAACGAATTCCGGAAACTGGGAGAGTGCAAGAATAAGCCCTGTCAGCTGTTCAGGCACTTCCAGGATAATGGCCCTGCCTCCTTGAACAGATTTATTGATGCTAAGTCTTTCGAAGAAGCGCAACAAACCATGGTTGACTACATTGTGGTCCCTGTATCCAACGCTCTCTGCGAGTGTTCTGAAATGATTGGAGCTTCTACTCGCTGTGCCAAGGAATACGATGGTAAGATGTTTGAGATGCTAAGTCTGCATAGTTATAAGAGCATGTTCAATAATGTTGTGGACAATTTTGACTGGAAATCATTGAAAACGGTCCTTGGTGGATTTGTAGAAGCAGGGTGTGGTGTAAAGAACGAGAAACACTGTGTCTTAGAATTGGCCAAGATGTACTCTATAGGCGGCAAAATATTGGATAATACCCTCAAAGGAAACGATGTATGCCTTTCCTTGATCAGAGTTGAAAAAGAAGTCACGAAATTCGTTACGGCTATAGCAACCATGGATCTGGAGAAAGAGTCGATGACGTCTATCATTAACAGAGTGATGGGTATATATGTGGATTTGGAAAGAGAGGCTATGTGTTCTGACTGTGCCCCCGAAATGGGTGGTGAATTCTACACTTGTTGCAAAAAGCACGCTCTGGAAGCTCTCAAGACCAGGGAAATGAAGAAATCGTACGGGAAACTGTTCAAGAACATGTGGAGCCTGTTTGCTGAAGGAGACCCTCCCAGTATTTCTAAAGCCATCAAAAAGTTACATAAAATATATGACATCGAGAATTTCTGTGGAGAGGATATCGACGTTTACAGAGAAAAGAACGAGGAGTGCGAGGCTCTAGGATATTGATGGAGTGGACAAGGGACATGATTTTTGTTTATAAATTTGATTAATATAAATTAACGAACGATTTGTTGTTTAAGAATTCGACTCCCGTATATTTTTTAAAATTCTTACATTAATTTCATATCTCAAGGCTTCTTTAAAGGAAGAAAATAGAATAATTTTTAATTAATAAACGGCACAAATACAATTACAGTTTTTTCTTTCTTATCTATACTATTACAACGCTATATAACGACACTGCTGTCGCAATGAAGTGTTGTCGTTATAAATGCAATTTGCCCACTGTATATTAACATTCAACAAGGGTATTATGATTCTCTTCAATAACAAGAATATAAGATATCATTTCTATTAATTATATTATCATTGAAGTTTAAAATCATCTAAATGTTCGTATTAATACTCTCACATTTTAAATTAATATAAATAGTTCAAATTAAAATGTTTGTAAATAAACTCACAGAACATAAACCTAAATCAGGAGATTAGTTAGGCCATACTAGGTCTCCTCCTAGTCGTTAGTATGGCCTGTATTATAAATATAACATACTCTTGTACGACGTAACAAGTTTCTCCATTGCACTCGGTTCAGTGGTAACTGTCGTACTGCACCTCGGCCAATGTTATCAGAATCTGTAACATTAGCAGCATACTCGAGTAGACATGCCTTTTTGGGGTCGTCTTCGTATCGTCTTTCCACGGCTAGAGTTCCACTTCAGCAGACAATTCGGGAATCTGGTCTCCGGTATTGTAACAACGTGTCCGTACCACCGCAGTCTAGCAGAACTGATGAAAGTTTCAACAGACTTAATATAACACCTTCCTCCTGGTAATGGTAAAACAAGGTCTTATATCTCATCAGAAGGTATGTGCTAAATGAATAATATCTTGTAATTTCAGTTCTACAACAGTGAGGCGGTGTGTTCGGAGTTGATAGACTTTAACGATGTAGCCCTGGACAACAGATCTTACAGTGACGTGGACTTCAGAACTACTTTCAACTTCACTGTCTCTACTAACTTAGTGTGGTGTCTGAGGGAGGAACCTCTAGAGATACAGGTCAGCTTTTTCATCTTTACTTTTATTTTTAACTTTACCTTTCATTTTGAACTTCCACTTTCTAGCACTTAACTTTCACTTTTAACTTTACTTTCACTTTTAACTTTACTTTCATTTTAAACTTCCACTTTCTAGCACTTTACTTTCACTTTTAACTTTACTATTATTTTAAACTTCCACTTTCTAGCACTGTACTCTTACTTTCAAGTTTCAACTTTACTTTCACTTTCAACTAATCCTCCGCAAGACATTCAAACGTTTTCTAACACTCCTTCTCTGACAGGTATGGCTGGTACCGCGAGGTGGTAAAGACGATACAATAGGAGATACTATCCTGGGATGTGGATACGTATCTCTCTCTGAACTGCTGGCAGCCAACCACTCTCCTGCTACTGCTGCTCAGGTAAACATTGGGTAGGTCACGTGATTATAAACAGTGGGGGGGGGGTTGAGAATATCGTGTACTTGCAATGTTATACTTTGTAGCAACAACAGACAATATCAGTTTTCAAAAAGCCACCTCACTACACGTCATCTAGATAGATCACGTGACCTAACTTTTTAAAGATTGTCACGTGACTTTTTATTCGGGGTATTAAGACAGGAAGTGTTAAGTGTGACTGAATGTGAGCTTTGTTAACTTATTGAACCGCACCTCCGCCATTGTGTAGTGCAAGGCAGAATATGACAGTGTACTCCAGGTTTAATATGAAATGGTAATTCAAAAACTGCATAAGGTTTTAGTGAAACTCAGTTGTAACTTTGGTTCGATAAGTTCAGTTCATGAAATTCAATTCTGCCGTACAGCGTTATCTTAACCTTAAACTCATCTGTATCGTGTACAATGCCTTTAAATGTATTTAATGTATGACATATTGAGTGGCGCCTACTAACTTTACATTGCCTAAATACTCCCTGCATAGTACACGGTCTGTATACTAATTAATTTGTTTACCCTCCAAATACCCCTCCTAACAACACACCCCACAGGTAGCCCCCCTGGTTAAAGCTACTAGTCCCAGTCTCGGAGGAGCAGGGTTACACATCACCACAACTCTCACTAAACTACAGGAACTACCGGTTGTGGAACCCTCTGAACCGGTTAAACCGGTTCTGTCACTTGCTGTTGATCTGGAACAGTCTGAACTTGTTGAGGTGAGAATTTAGTGTTTTTTAGTTGTATAGTTGTATGATTGTAGAACTGCATACTCTACTCCACAATTTAAATGAGAAATGTATGGCACATCACAAATCAGTATTTCAAACCGAGAAGACGGAATGTGTTGATACTATCACGATTATCAGATACTAAATAAAGTTGATAAAACTTTAGAAAACAACATTCACATAACCCTGTGTTGTGTCAGGAAGAGACAGAAGAAGAAGGTATCGCGTTCAGAGTGACAGTGTCCCAGTGTAACAACCTCCCCACAGACCAATACGACACCTCCTCCCTCTGTGTATACTGCTCTGTCCTCTGTAAATCACACACCCTCCTCACCACCCCCTACCACGAGTTCTCACCCTCAGTATCTTTCAACTGTACCCAGGACATCAAGATACCCTACTCTGTGCTCTCTGGATCTGATAATACTGTGAGATGTGTGTTGTCTGCTCACGAGCTCACCTCACAGACTGATCTGTGTGTTGTTGGTACTGCCACTGTGGATCTAGCTCCTCTTCTGATCGGGTTTGAGACTGTAGAGGGCTGGTATCTGGTAGAGGATGTTTACAGTAAAGATACTTTTGGGACCATTAAAGTGTCCTTCACTCCGCTGGAGCTATTAACCAAGGAGATCATCAGGTCTAAGATTCAGGAGCTGGAACAGAGTTTAGTTTCTGAACTGAACATGCCAACCAATTTTCTGAAGAAAGTAGTTGTCAAACGGTCTGATTACTTGATACCGAGTAGTGAACAATCGAGCAGACCCGAACCTCCGGAAAACAGCGTGAAAATAGAAAATGTATTCAAATCATTAGCTGACATAGACAATTTGATTAAGAATATTGGGAAGCCTAATTCTAGCACATTAGATGAGATGCGGACAGAGCCTGGCATCACTGTGGTACAAAATGAGCCACTAAAAATATCATCAGTCTCCCAGACTTTAAGGTCATCATCAAGTTCTTCCTCCTCCAGTTCATCTAGCTCCTCTAAATCTAACTCTCTGCGGTCTGAAGAGAAATCTTCAAAAAGCTCAAAATCTCAAACAGAAATAAAAGAATCGAGAAATCCCACCCCAGAACCAGACTACGATGCTATCTCCCATCAGGACACCCAGGAGGAGAAGGAGGAGGGGGATCCTGACCTATTTCTCGACACATTTGATATAACAGTAGATACTGACTGCCTATCAGATACTATCAGTGACATAGCCCAGTTGTTACAGGACGTTCAGAAGCAGACTCAGAACATTGACAGTATGTTAGACTCTGCCTCTCAAGAGGATCCTGATGCAGAGCAGGAGGAGCTGCCACATCTTCTACTGGAGAGGGAGGAGAAGTATTGTGATGTAGATGATGATGATGATGTGGGTGTATCAGTTCTTGAACCTGAACAAGTTGAGAAAGAAAAGACTAATGCTGCACCGGAGATGATGCGATCTTCTGAGCAGGTTGCTAGTGATCCTACAGAGACGGTTCCAGAACCTGCTCATCCTGTGACAGAAGTACAATGTGTTGATGAACTAGCTCCTAAAACCCAGCCTGAGCATGACATCAAACCACCTTGTTCAACAGAGGAGATTAGAAATAAGGTGGAAGAAGTGGAAAGTTCACGGACTGTAGCCGAGTCTTCTGATCAGTTCCAGGACATGCCTCGTGCCCAGGAACAGGCAGGAATATATCCTAGAGCCAGCAGGAACAGAATCGATCAGTTTAAACGTAAGCTTATTTTATTACTTAGGTTAATTTCTCCAATGATATTTAAATGTAGATTTTGACTTGAATGTCTTGAGGACATTCTCAATTCTCTCAGCTCAACATGATCGTGTTCTGTAGTCTGTACACCTGATTGTTGTCACTCGTTACTAATACACATGTTACACACATGTCAGGTAGGCTACTTATACTGTCCTAACATGTTTATTGTCAGGACCTTCTGTTCCGGACTTCTTCATGGCAGCAAAAGAGCTGTCCACTACTATAAACGAGCTGAAGCAGCAGAGACAACCCTCAAGGTCCAACGAGTCTCAAGAAGCAGATGTGAGGTAATTAACCAATTAACTAATTAATGTGAAGCAATTAACCCCAGTCTAACTATGATGACAGTATGTGATACTTGTACGTGTTAAAAATAAAAACACTGATTTAGCAAAATTAAGTTAGGATACTCGGGTAATAAGTGTCAAAAATCACGATTAAATTTTAAACAATTGCACATATTTAATTGCGGCTTTTGCGTTCGGAAAGTTAGATCTAAAGCTTGGTGCAAGTTGTTTTATTGTTGTCCTGGACACTGCTGGGGTTGGCTAACTCAGCATTCGGGTAAACTACAGAAACTGCTTTCCTTTCAATTGCGGAACCTGCCAGGCTTTTTATTCGTCGTTTTATCTGTGGAGCAGTAACCCTGTTTGAACAACCAGATGCAATCCGTCTTCCTAGCGAACTGTAATAATCATCGTATATAAGGGGGTTTATAACAGAGTTAATGGGTAGAATTACTATCGAGAAGATTTCGTATAACGAAGATCCGTCAAATACTCTGAAGTAGTGTAGATAACAGAGGATAATAAACGGGACCCATGCTAAGAAGTCTGTTACAATGATAAAGCTGATCTTTCGTTCTAAGTTACTTGATTTCTTGGTTCCTACTGTGTTCATACTTGATCTTGACAAAACGTAAACTCCAAAATAAGAAACTGTGATCAAGAAACACAAAAAACAGTTTATTGTTAAGATAGCTAGGGAGAAGACTCTCTGAGGATCTGTTTCACTGACAAAGTACTTGAACAAACAAACCCCAGAGTTCCCGTAGAACTTCCGGTCAGATCCTGATATTCCGCCATGGTCGTTTGTGAACATCTCTTCAACAAGCCTCCTCACCACTTTCCACGTCACCATGGAATCCTTCAGTCGACCGTAGTACTGCTCCAATATGATGATGTGGTCTTGTTTAGAGGGTGCTCCGATGAAAAGTTTTACATTACCATAGTAAATCCCGTTTAAGAAGTAGTCCTCAAAAACTTCAAACACAGGAATAGAAACAGTCCCAGCAGCAAGAACAAAGACCACACCAACAATTATAACAACATAAACTTGAGATTCCCGGGATATCCCACGGGACGAAAAGATGTTCCTGATGCTGTGGATCCTAAACATGCTCAGACATGCCATGGACAGGAGTGATAGAGTAGATCCAGCACTGCTGAGGACCCCTAGCGCTGTACAGTAACCACTGTTCAGCCAGTCAAACCTAGCTGAGCAGTAAGATGAGGAGTAGATAGTATCCGCTACAGATAATCCAACTAGATACAGACCCACCATCGTGTCTCCAACACCAATACAAATCACAAACACTGAGTTGAACAACGTGGTCTTTGTTTCCACACCCCGAAGAGTCCACACTTTTCGGGAGACCACGGTGATGTTTGTGATGGTGGCCAACACGCCAAAAACCCAAGCGCAGACTTTAAGGAAGACGTGATCTATTATCTGAAGTTGGCAGTGGTCATTGCACTCGTCTGACAGGTCGAAACAGTCCACATTACCGTCACAAACCGCAGAAAGAGGCAGGAACTCCTCTGACTTGTTGCACTGGTAGTTGTTCACGCAAGATTCTTCATCACTTCCGTCTCCACAGTCGTTAGCCAAGTTGCAGACTTTATCATACGTCACGCACCTTCCGTTTTTACAGGAGAACAGATTGTTTTCATACCTACCATCCTGTTCGTGTGCCACTGTTAGGTACTGTTGCAGGGTTGAGGGGTCCTCTGCGAAGGTGATGGCCTTGTCTGGAAGACCAGAGCAGGAGTGGTAAGATAATGAAGAAAGTGGGCATGAGGCATCTGAACACAAGTCATTGCAGCTGTGATACACGTACAACTCTCCGAAGTAGAATTTACAAGACACATTTACATTAGAGGAGGAGTATTTGAGGATCGTAGGAGCTACCCCGTATAAATTCTGATCAGGAGATTTGTGACGTTTAGTTAAGCTACATGTACCCTGCATCCCAGGCAGACATTGATAGGACAAGAGTTTTGTTGTTATGTTAAGAGCTAGTGCTACAGATAGAACGTCCTTGATACCGCGACTGTGCTGGCATATTCTGTTTTCTCCCGCGCATTCCTCTACACTGTCACATAAACTCTGGAGTCTTGAGAACTCTCTGTCAACTCTTGGACATCTAAACATCTCGGAGCAGGAGTCTGTTTTCTCGACACACCTGATCACAGTCTCCTTGCTCCCACACACATTCCAGAAGCTGAGATCCTCATCACTTCCATCAGAACAGTCCACTATGCCATCACACAACCAGGAGTAAGGAAGGGGTTTATCTGCAGCTGTACTAGTCACCACTCTTCTCACACACTTGAAGTTAGAAGTTACATCTTCACAGATAGCCGCCATTTCGTCTCCTTCGTAGTCACAGTCCTTAGTGCCATCACAGAACTGGTGTTTGTGAAGGTAACAGTCCGTCTCTGCCAAGGTGCACGTGTCATCAAACCCATCCGCGCATTGGTGGTTACCTAAACAGAGCCCGTAGTTGGAGATAGTAGTTGGATACCCATCTACTTCACATGTTAGAGCTACATTAGTGCAGTTCAGTTGATCTCTGCCATCAGTACAGACTTTGTAGTCCAGAGCTTCTTTACCCTGCGTGTGGTAACACATCTGGGATGGTTTGATGTACCTTTGCTCGAGGCCAGGACGACTCTGACACCACCTGCCTCCTTCGTGAATATCACAGTCCTGGGTATCCTCCCCATCTCTACAGATATTCCACTCCATACATATGTAGTGAGGATGGACCCACACTGTATCTCCCTTCCTATCTTTACAGAATAGTCCTGTTTTATGATGACACGAACCGTTTTCATCGTCCCCTGCGAGACAATCGTAAACACCGTCACAAAGTTTACTCCTTGGTATCTGGGTGCCGTATATAAAACAGGTATATTGGGTTTCAGGAGTTATACCATCACATCCTAACTCATCCTCCCCACCCTCACATTCAACCTGACCATTACATTTTATATAAAGATCCAACAGACTACCACTCATGTATTTTCCCGTGTTTTTATACCGGAGGTCCTGGCACACGTAATAGGCGCACAGGAACTGCGCGTCGTATTTCCTCTGAGAGATGTCCTCAATGACCCCACATACCTGGTAATGGTATGTGTCATTCTGACACGCTCTAGAGTACACCTGTTGTCGGTTATCAAAGACTCCGTCTAAAGCTTGGTAGTAACCATCTCCAGAGGGACACTTCAGTACGTTAAACTGATAGCCGAATATTTTATCGTGCATTGGAACTTGAGGAACCCGTTCACAGTCACGTATTTACACGTATCTGGATCTGAAATAGTTAGCGGCTAAGCCAGTTTATTGCTCCATCTTATCGGGTCAATTTTAGAACTGACTTCAGAGGAAAACGGGAGTTTCCTTAATTTAGAAAAAATAACTGATCAACTGCAATACCTGGAATTTTATCGAAGCAGTATGGGGAAAGGTACCCAGGTTTAGAATGGGTTAGAAACACACAAACCAGTCCTGTGAAAATTGCTGTTCATATTTGATGCAGAAACATGAAATAATTTCCCAGCTCAACATATGAGATTTATATAAAGTAAGCAAGATTAGTAAGATAATGTACCCGAGTTGGATTCCTGGCAGAGTTTGCAACTTTTCTTACAGTTAACAGCCATCCACGACCATTGATCTGTAATTGTTGTTGCTTTCCTTAAAGTCTTAATCATCAATGTAGAATGCACAATTAAATTTATCATCGTATCCTAAATAAAGTAATCAGTAAATACCTTTACAAAGTCCTAGGGACTCCCATTCAGGGCACAACTCGATGTAATTGTCTTGACAGAGTTGCATAGTTGTTGAACCAAGAGTAGCTGTTTCCAGGGTCGTCGTATCTTGTTGGGTAGTTGAAACTTGGCATAATAAAAGGGCGGAGACCATATTGAGTAGATACGTTATAATCGGATGTTGGTCCATCGCTCTAAACAGTAATTTGAGTCAGAACCAATGAGACATGATCAGAGAGAATTATAAAGAGACAAGACATGATCACTTGTAGTTTTCACGTATTGTACCCGATCTTAGTTTAAAACGAATATAAAATCATAGTTAAAGTTTAAAAGGTACTGTTTAAACCTTTAAACAGTGTTTAACAAAAAGTTTGGCAGTGGGTGCAACATGAGAGCACAAGAAAAAGCACTAGCCTTAATGTCTCCTAGCACATTGTCCAGAAAAGGAGGAGATGAATGCGCATTTATTCCATTATAAAGCATGGATTGTGTTCCTTATAAATCCTTGTCGGTTTGTTTATTGATGCTTGTCTTCTTATCACAGTCTGGTGACTAATATATTTTATGTGAGATATGACCTATTGATTGTGGTTAAGTATACTATGGCTAGCCTAAGCACAAATACTCAAATACTGAAATAGATCCCCTCGGCTTTGTCACTGGTCAAACTGTCTAAATGATAGTAACTTTGGCTGTGTCTGCAACCAGTGTCCCGGCCTTAAAGTGGTTATTTCTTGTTCGGAACTGATTTAATACATTTTTCATGCCTGGTACCCCACGCGAATGTCGCACAAATCTAATTCTGTTGAAACTAGCAACTGAAGAAATAAATAAAATAAGCCAGACATTACTGAGCGGGTCTTATGATCAAACAACTGCACTGGTGGAAGATTATCAGTCTAGACCACAGTGAATACAAATTAAAAGCAGATCATTTCATTTTGTCTACAGTAACTACCATTGCGGTAAATTTTATGGATAATTAATTATAATCAAACAACCTGCACTAGTTGAAGATTATCAGTCTGGACCAGTGAATAAGTTTTAAATTGAATTCTCACTTACAATAGATTTGATACTTTTGTAACGCATGCCTCGCACCATATATAATGATATGCATATGTCACACAAATCTATTACTTAATTAAAACTGGTAAAATAACAGAAGAATTAAAATTGGACAGAATTATCAAGAGGGTCAAAAGAAAATCGTGTCAAACCACTGCAAGTTGGTTAAATAATATCAGGCTGGAGCACAGTGATTACAAGATCAAAGCAGGTGCAAACTCCATCTTGCCGACATTAGCCACCATTGGGATAAATTTTGCAGGATAAATTTGAGTAACACGTTATTACCTTAAGAACGACAGATTTAGTCTACCATAAATTCAGTCAAACTTTTGACTAAAATTTCATGAGACTACATTTTTCGGCGACTAATTTTAAAGCAGCATTATTAAGCTAACATCTGATGTTATTGAAATTCCTGAGTAATGCATTGCAGCTTAATCTGTAATGCTCAGACGGGGGTAGACTAAATTTGTCGTTCTTAAGGTACATGGAATGGAAAATGGTCTCGAAAAGTCGAAAAATGTGACTAAAATTGTTGTAGACTCAAAATTTGTGATTAAAATTATGGTAACCAAAATTATGGTAACCAAATTATTGTGAACCAAATTTATTGGCCCTAAGGTAAAAAATCTACCGGAGTTAACCAACAAACATCTGTTGGCATTTGAGTCACAATATATTTTGTCCATCTTTTTACCCCCTTTTTGCTCAAAAAGAGTGCCCTTCTTTTCGATTTAAAAAGTTTGTTCAGTATCATACTACAAACTGATGGTGTAACGTGTCAGAACAAGAATTAGTCCCTATATTGAATGAGGTTACCCAGTAAACCTGAGTCAATGAAAGCAAACATCTAGCTGCAACAGCTGAGTATAGACAACCTAAAAACTATTTGACATCTACCCTCTAATATGTATTTCAAGATGTAAAATCGTCTGATCTATCTGACAATTTCGCGTTAGTTTCTTCCGACCCCAGGTGTCTATCTTGTGGGCTCCCCGCGAAAATACAGGTAATATAATTACGAAAAAGTGTCCGAATAAATACTTTCTGTTGCTCATCACTCAGTCACTCAGCTGGCGCAAGTAAAAGTTAAATAATTTCTAGTTTCTAAAATATAATTAGCAGCTTCATACTGTGTTACACCAAAACGAGATTTTCGTACGTCTTCATTTAGAACCCGTACTGGGTCGAATCAGTGAGTAAATGTTTTAAATGATAAAAGATAAACGAAATATTTAATAAAATATTGGATGTCTTCTGTATTATGTAACCCTCCTATTGCAATAACAGTGTAATAACAGTAAGTGGAAGTACCCTATCCTCTGTGGTCATTACATTACTTCTTTGTGGTCCTGGCTCTCTTGCAGGGGACCATAAAAACTAAACAGTAAACACGTTATCAAGCAAGGGTTAACAAACTGAATAGAATCAATACCGAATAGAGCTGAATCTCGCCTATACAAGAGGGGATAACAAATAAAAAGTAGCTCATATGAATCATGATACTGAAGTCCCTTTTGTGACATGAGAATGAGCCGACTTGTAACAGAGGTATCATAAATGCAACTACTGAAGCGTAATCTGGTAATATCAAAGGCATCTTCAATGTACTGAAATACTATTGTTACAAGAGCTGAACAGCAGGATTGTTCATATTACCACAGAGAGCAGCACTGAACATGACCCATCAAGATGCTGGTAACTGAAAAAGAGCACAACACAATCTAGCACTGAACTAAGAGACACTAGTTTAACAGGTGCTCACGCTCACTAACAATGGACATTATATTCAAACCTTCTGTTTTTATGTTGTACACGTGTCAGGCGTGTCAGCTGCTTAATTTTATATAATAATATTAAAATGTGCTCTCAGTCAGATGTTAACCGGTCCCACTAAATCACATTATTATAGCAGTAGGAAGTTTTATGAGTATCAACCATTGAGTATTTGATGGCTGTTTGAAAAGTGCTGTGAAATTCTGTGTAATGATAATATCCTGATGTGTAACGATGTTTTGTTTCAGGTCCAGTACTCCTATTCTCAGTAGACGAACTCCTCTGACAAGGCTCATGGGACACGGGCCAAACGACGACCAGCGAGCCAGAATAGCTAGAATATTTAGACAGTAATAGACAGAGAATATTTGATCTTATTAACTTTTGTAAGCATGACTTTATCACAAATGAAAATATGCATGTTTTTTAGTACCAGTGTTTTTATTCATTTCTAATAAGTTATGACAAATATATAATATTAACTTAATGTGTATAATACCAGATAAGAGTTGAGCTCTTGTATATGTGAATATGTATCTAATGTTATTTATCATTTGTACATTTTTTTTTGTTATTTTCAGCGTATTTTATTCTATTACAAAACCGATTTTTACTTATCCCTTGTCTTATTTGAGCCGATAAAGTACTTGATTTTACCTATTGTTACACTCACACCACGTCATGTCAACGCATTCTGGACAGATGCCACATTGCCGCCCTCTATTCTCTTGTTCGTTGCACAATTGAGGCACAGATGACGTTGGGCGCCAAAATTGTGTATTTTTCATACCGATAACGTACGCGGCGAAGACAAAACTACATCAAAAGCTAGGCTACCAGTTTTTGAAACGGAATGAAAGTGCGCGGCGCGGCTCAGCGCATGATCGTTCTGAGCTGAGCTGCACTTGCAGCCATGTAATGAGCTAGCTTGGTACAATTAATTTATCGGACGCGATAATACAAGTAAATGGAAACTGCAACGTGTGCAGTGTTGTAAATAGTAAATGGAGATTACTTTTTTAGTCCGATAAAACCACTGTTTGAAACACGCAGGGGGGGGCCAATGGCATAAATGGAGAAAATGGAGAATTACTCATGGGTTTTTCCATTTTCTCCATAGAAAAAGTCTCCATTTTATGCCATTTTATGCCATTTTATGCCATTGAAAACCTGAAAAATTTAGAATTTCGAGAAAAATTATTTTAAAAAAAGATATTTTCGGCCAATAATGAACAGGGTATCATGAAACATGGAGAAAAGTGGTTTTCAGAAAAACTTTGAAAAATGTTGACTTAGAAAATGTTCGGTCCGAGTCATTTTCGATACGTACCTCCCGTATTGAGAGCTCCCGATTCCGTGCTCGTGTTGCAAAGGGGAGGCCTGCCTTCCGAGATCGCATTACCTCGAGTCCAAAATTGTGTATCGAGGGGAAGGTGTGGACTTCGAAAAAATATTTTCGGCAAATAATGAACAGGGTAGCATGAAACGTGGAGAAAAGCGGTCTTCAGAAAAAATTTGAAAAATTTTGACCGAAAAAATATTTTCGGCTTATAATGAACAAGGTAGCATGAAACGTGGAGAAAAGTGTTTTTCAGAAAAACTTTGAAAAATTTTGACTTAGAAAATTACCCCTCGGTACACAATTTTGGACTCGAGGCTTCCCCCTGGTAATGCGATCTCGGAAGGCAATACGAGCTCGGAATCGGGAGCTCTCGATACGAGAGGTACGTATCGAGAATGACTCGGGCCGAAAATTTTCTAAGTCAAAATTTTTCAAAGTTTTTCTAAAAACCACTTTTCTCCACGTTTCATGCTACTCTCTTCATTATTAGCCGAAACTTTTTTTTTGGTTTTTCGGTTTATCGAAGTCTGCACCTACCCCTCGATACACAAATTTGGACTCGAGGCTTCCCCCTGGTAATGCGATCTCGGAAGGCAGGCCTCCCCTTTGCAACACGAGCTCGGAATCGTGAGCTCTCGATACGAGAGGTACGTATCGAGAATGACTCGGGCCGAAAATTTTCTAAGTCAAAATTTTTCAAAGTTTTTCTAAAAACCACTTTTCTCCACGTTTCATGCTACCCTCTTCATTATTAGCCGAAAATATTTTTTTGGTTTTTCGGTTTATCGAAGTCTGCACCTACCCCTAGATACACAAATTTGGACTCGAGGCTTCCCCCTAGTAATGCGATCTCGGAAGGCAGGCCTCCCCTTTGCAGTGCGAGCTTGTTTCGACTTTCGAGGATGTAGGTCTCACTTCTCAGTGCCTATAATTACTCTCCCCTATTACTCACTCCTGCTGTAGCCTGTAGAAATAACTTTACACTAGGCTTGAGTAATTATGAGTTTGCCTGAAGTGTGCCTCTACTAACCTAGTATAAGCATCTAGTAGCCTACTATGAGCTTTCATAAGCTTGTTACGCCCCTAGTAAGCGTAAATAAACATGTTAGGATGTCCAATTTAGGTGTTAAAGATCAAAATTTGAAGACAAAATTCATGGCATAAAATGGAGAAAATGGAGAATTACTCATGGGTTTTTCCATTTTCTCCATAGAAAAAGTCTCCATTTTATGCCATTTTATGCCATTTTATGCCATTGGCCCCCCCCCCCCCCCCCAACACGCACAACGCAGGAGTGATCTGCAACCGCACCGGACAAAATGCTGTTGTATTTTATTTAGGAAAGAAGATCAAAGATATCAGTCTTAGTTCTAAGTTCAGTAACATTAAGAAAATTGGGCCTGATCACATTGTTGCCAACTTCTTTTCCACGACCTACATGACAGATGATAGCAAACATACTCTCTTAGCTCCAATTAAATTTACTGTTATCTAAAAGTGAGAATCTTTCATAACAAAGAAACTAATGTATTCAAAATGTATACAGCAAACATCTTATGACATCATATCACTCAATTGATCAAAATAGATTTTATTTTCCTAATATTATATAATACTTCTAGAATCAAATCACTAGACACTCCACACAAAAACTGCCACTCAACATTCAAGAAATAGAGACGGATCTGACGCATGGCGATAAAGCTCTGAAATAAAAAGGATTTGTCCATAAATTACGTCGGTGAATTTGGCTGATTTTTAAACCCTTCTTATGGATGGCCCGAAACGGCCTTGGGAATGTGAAGGATGTTCAAAAAGTTCTGAGCGTCCTTGGGGGAAGAGGAAGTTGCAAGTATTCTGGGTTCAAGGTAGCACTGTGCTGTATCGTAATGGGTACTGGGTTTACGCTTAAATCTGCTCTTGAACTGAAAAATACCACGTAGTCTCCAAAACTAACATTTAACATATATCCGCTTAAATTGTTTTGATTTAAATTAGCGAATACCGATAATACGAGATTGCCCTTAAAAAGCATCCAGTCAGACTGTAATTTTGAAACCGAAAATGAACTGCTATAAGCTTACCTCGCCAGAACAGTACTCTGAGTCTCCACTTTAGCTTTGTACACAATCTCTATATGATGCTCCTGCAGCTCAGCTCTTGTTATTATACCCTCTACCTGCCGGGTTATTTAGAGTCTTCATTTTCACGAACTGCCTGCGACAAGTTACCAGCTATCACTGAAGATTTATTGTTGAGCTTGACACGTGATCACTGATCAGTAACCTACCTCGCCCTTGTTGTTCACCACAATGAGATGCCTCAGACCGAGAGAGCGGAACAGAGTAAACACTTTAGTTATTGGAGCATGAGGCGACACTGTGTAGGGACAGGGGTTCATGTACTTTGAACAATCCTGAAAATACCTTGTAAGATGGGAGTAATGGTGGTGTTGGGTAAAATTGTTAATAATAAGTGATGAAAACTGCTCATTATACTAGAGTTGATACCCAATCCTTCGTGGGGAGGCATCATTCCAAAGTCTAATCAAATAAATATTGTTACTTACGACTACTTTATTTTGGTCAGAAATAGTCAAAGTAATATCGTCTATGTCAGGGTATCTGGGATAGAACTCTGTCAGTTCACTGTGCGTCAAATCTGGTAACTGAACAATGAAAAATAGTATTAATGACTAACTTGGAGAATTAGGTTGCTAAAATCTATATTTGTAAAAAGTGAAGCTGATAATATTTTTTCCACAATTTGGTTCACAATAGTAGTAGATTACAAACTATCGAGTAGTTGATTCTAAGATGATGCAAAATGTCCCAATGTGCACTTTTTAAGTCAATGGAAGGATTCTAATTTTAGTTTTGTTAAAGCAGAAAAAGAGGGAATTTTTGTCAGATATAGGATAATCAAATTTAAAATGTGAGGGATAATCAAATTCACGTGGTTAAAATTTGAGCTGAATGACCACGCGCTGCATGGTCTTTAATTGAGTAAACAGCGCATCAAAAATAATTTAAATGACATCGCGCGCTACGTTTATAAGTCCTAGTAGACCTTTTTGAGGTATTCTGCATCCTCCTTAAAAATTTCCTTCAATGGCTGCTTGCCAACAGCCTTGTCAAGCGCAGAACCGCTCCATGTGTTTGTAGATAACGTGATACCGATGTAGCGCATGTATTTCTAGATCTTGTATCCAATTACAACAGTCCTTGACATCTCACTTCGCACCTCAAAATACATTTAAAACAGGATCTATACATACACTGTATAGGGTGAACCACATAAAACGTTTTGAAAAAGTATCACTCCGCCTCATTGGCAAATTTTAACAAAATTTAACAAAATTCAACAAAATTTAACTAATTTTGTTGTCCATTTTTGTCCGCTAATGTCCACTTTTGTCCGCCAATGTCCACCTATGTCCGTTTATGTCCACCTATGTCCTCCTATGTCCTGTCCTTTTTGGATTCTATGAGACAAGCGGACATAGACGGACGTGGCAACCCCCCCCCCCTACCCCCCCCCCCCCCCCCCCCCCCCCCCAATGTTTTATGATTTCTATTAAATAGTACGTTAGTTAAACGACGAAAGAAATATATGTAAGTAGTAACCTCAGGTGCGCCTGGGTCAGAGTAATGCTCCTTCTTGAGCAGAGTAACAATCTGGGATCTCAGTATGAGGCCCTGCAGTCTGAGTTGAGATCTCACGTGTACAGGATTTGTCGTTCCAATTTGTTTTCTTCTTAACGTTCCTCCTCCTTGTGAACTGTCGCTGGGAGAATTGGGAGGAGTTAAGTAATATACTGAATATTGATGCTGTTCTAGAAGATAAACAAGATTATTGGTAAAAGTCAAAAGGCTCGAAGCACAGCTAGTCAAAATGAGCAAATTTGAATTTTCTGTCAAACAAGATAAATCTTACGTGTAAACGCAGACAGGAAAAGCAGAATGTTTAGTTCTTTTGAGAATTTCAACTACTCTACCCACATTGGGGTGTGGGTTCAACCACTCAAGATTAGATTTCATGATATCACTTGCTCTTAACCTGAGTGAGAGGGAACTTAAATATTTGATGGTCCTCATTTCAATCTACCCACAACACTCACTACAACACTCACTACAATCCTCACTACAATCTACCTCCTACAAAGTATTAAAACGTATAGAAATGATCACTGATATAGTTGCTAATATTGGTAGAAAATTGAATCATACGTTTCCCAAAGTGGTTCCGCTTCCCATTCTAAAAGTGGCCAGTGTTTCAACTCAATGTGGATATCGTATAATCCTTTGTTGAATATATCTCCAACCCATTTGGCAACCTGGAAATATGGTAAAATCAGGTATTTCCCGACATTCTAACAAATATGAGTTATGACAGGTGACTAGAACAGGATAGGTTTCCACAAACACAGACGGGTTGAATTACATTACACACTGTCTACATCGTGTGTTACATTGGTACAGGACTGGTAGACAGATGATATAATCGACACTTTTAGTGTTATCTTGCTTGCGCAAATTTGTGATATCTTATGACATTTTATCGAACAAAAGCAAAAGCATTGTTGAAGTTTATAAAAGAGGCTATGACGAACAAAACTTTGAAATAAAGTATGAAATAAGTATACAAACCAGTTTCGAAAAGTACATAATAACTCCACAGTCTACACACATAATAATTTTATTAAAAAGAAATTCAAACTTAGAAAACCACCCCAAAAACTTATAAACTGTATCTACATTCTACAAAGCAGTTGCTTTCTGCACAGAATAACTGAAAGCTTTTCCTTGACTATCATTTGATCCAATGGAATGCTCGGAGGCTGGACTTCGTATCACCACATTATCAACCATTCCTTTCCTTGCTGAACGTGAGGTAGAACGAGGAGTGCTGTTTGCTGTGCGAGGAGTGCTGCTTGAAGTAGCGTGCGGAGTGCTACTTGCACCGCATGGAGTGCTCTTTGTTGAGTTGAGCGGACAGTTGGACATTCCTGTGTTAGTGCGAGTGTCACTAGACTGCAGTCAGACTGACTTAGTTTCTTGGAGGTCTCATACTTCTCTCTTCTCATAGCCTTCTTCAGCTGAACGGAAGTAAAAGAGAAGTAAACAGAGATAAGGTGAGATGTAACGACGAGTATAGCCACAATGCTGACACACAGCACCCACAACCCTATACCCTTTACTAGCGCTATCTCATCACACGGGTCACATAGTGTAGATAAGGCTACTTTGTAGTAGTTAGCCCAGTCTACCCCGAACAGATTCCTTCCTTCAGTACTCACATGTGCTATAATAAACGCATTAGTTATAATCCCGACAGTGTTCACTAACTCCTGCATTGAGCTCCAATATTTGATATTATCTGCACCCTGCGCAGCTACTCTCCTGCTCCGCCCCGTGAACTTATCCCTGTCAATATAGTGCCCTACTATCTCGAAACAGAGCAGCATTGCAGGTGCTACAGGACAAGCAGCAGTGTACAGCACCATTATACTGTACAACTTCATCTTCTTGAGCATGAAGAGGAGTGCAGTGTAGTCCTCATCCTCCACAGCACCTGGCACTGTCTGCGAGGGAAGTGCTAGTTCCTCTCTACCTGTGCTACGATGTGTGCTACGTTAGGTTTCGCTTCCAGTGACTTGCCGTGAGAAGCTACTCCTAGTTCCTGTACTTTGAGGTAGTCGTAGTGTCTGATTCTGGATACGACCCATAACAAGATCGGTAGCACAAGATCCTGGATCAGAAGATCATGATAACATTCAGAGCTATTGTTGTTAGGCAGTCATTATCCGTACAGAGACTACATTTTTCTGGAGGAATGCCAAAAATACCATACCTCTCAAAGATATCTCTGAAGAACAATATCAACAAACTTTTGAAGTGGGTGTTGGTAAATTCCAGAATAAAAAGCTTCCAAGTCAAGGATCTTTTAAAGTCCGTTTCGAAAATGTGGTCTTCAAAAACTGTAAGTTTATAGGCTACTCTGACAAATATCTTACTGAGAATAGAAATACAAATAGCATTAACAGTGCTAGATGCAATGTTAGCGATAAAGGTAGCATCAAATATCCAGTAAGCTTCTTCTCTAGTGAGAGATTCTCTTAACTGAAACTTAACAAAGAGCGACAGAAAGAAGGAGAGAATAACCAAACTGAGAGAAACCAAAATAGCGGATTTAGACACAGCTCCTCTGAACATTCTCCAACATTTCTCTCTAGCCCCGGGAGCTAAGTCCCTATTCTCGAAGGTCTCATCCAGTGGTGTCCCAGTGTAACCGGACCGTTCCCTCTCAGCGTGGAGTGTGTACCCCACCATGCCCCACTGAAACTGTAAAGTAGTGGTCTCACTGAACCACTTTACCAGGTGCACCACTGTCCAGAGACATGTAAATAGAGCGTGGTACGGTACCAGGGTGTTATCCAGCAGATATCTCAGAGCTGTGGTAGCGTCTACTGTAGTGTCCGGTATGTCCGGGTCCAGATCCGGATTATCCGGATTAAGATCCGGCTCAGTCTGAGTGAAGGGTACGAAGGTATCAGGAGTATCAGCTAATATGATAACACCGTACAGTACAGATATAAGTCCAGTAAGAGCAGGTAATGATAGACCCCACTTTACCCAACACACCCTCCAGGCCAGACATAACGCCATCTTCTCTCCTAAATAGTCCCTCATATCAGTCAGAGGGGGGTTCAAGATACTCCACTTCTTACGCAACGAGTCAGCTTGTTCGGGGTCGTGCAGGAAGAACACTTCCGTGTTTATCCTCCCATCACCCCAGGGAGATTTACTGAGTTTCTTGTTGGAATGCTCGTCCCTAAAACACCTGTAACTAGAGTTGAGATGGCTGCTAGTTAGCATTTGTATCTGAGCTGACGTGAAGGGAGAACCAGTAAACTTATCCTGAACATCAAACAGTGAGTCTAGATGTAGTTTATAAGGGAACTTAGTAGAGTGAAGTGACTTCTCCCCACTCTCGTACCCCTTCCTAACCAGTCTACACAGCCCCCTCACTGCACTCCCCACTATCCAGTGTCTCTCGTACCACTCAGGAACTAAACCCTGCACGTGCAACAGCGGCACTAACAACCTGCACTTCTCCGCCTCGCGCTTCAGCACGTGCAGCGGGTAGGATACAGCCAGCACCTCAAACTGAACCCCCTGAAACTCAGAACATGAGTTACAACAAGGTGACAAGTCGTTCCTGAGAACTGAGCAGCAAGTCCGGGTGTATCTGAGGGTCTGTGTGATGGAGCCCACTCTGCAGAGAGCTGGTCCCAGGTGGGTTTCAAACTGGTCAGGGGGGTGCTGAGAGGGACGCTGTCTTATTATTATTATAGGGTAGTGGTGGTGGGGTGTGGGGGTCATGGTCACGTGGGTCTTTCTTGTCACGTGGGTTTTTACATTTCCTTGTTACTCCTGGGGTGAAGGGGTGGAAATAATACTAACACTGAATATGGAAACACTAGGAGAAAACGAAGTAACCTCTACCTATTCAAAGAAGGTTCGATTATATAATAGTCCCTAAAATGTGTAAGAACTGGGGGAAACAGCGAAAAGGCAAATTCTACCTCAGCAGGAAAAGAGTACACTTAATTTAAACCACTATAAGCTTATAAGACAGCACTGGAAAACGTGTAGTCCAACATAGCACCATAGCGACACCAATGACCAATGTTATTAGGCTCTATGGAGAGAGCTGTTCACGTATATCAGGTGTCAAAACGCTGTGTTATTCAGGAAACATCATACCATGATATTATAATAATAGTAGGACCATAATATGTATGTTATTCTGTTAATAACATATTATAATGTTATTAACAAAATAACGATTAATGCCTACATATTTTAAAATGGGTACTGCAATATGGGACACTGTACAACTAATTTACTACAACTACATCAGGGTTATAAGCAAATGCAGAGTAAACATCAACATATCAGTTACAAAACAACATACCTACATAAGTACATACCGGTTACAAGCAATACTAACTACAAGGCAATGTTAATACAATTCTCAGCTAATTTAAGTACTTCCTTATACGGTCACGTGGTGTCATGACAGTCACACCTGTTATATACAGGAACAAGTACACACTTGTAACTATAGTATCAAGCATACACTTGTAACTATAGTAACAAGCATCTTGTATTAATACATAATATATTATACAGTACTGTTAGAGAAAACTATGCGACAGGGTACGAAATACCAACTTTAGATATTGTACAAAATGCAAAATGTAGAGGAAGCTTTGTAATTATTTCCTTTATATTATACAATTCGTTTGTAAAATGAAAGTGATGTAAATCTAACGATGACTATTAAAATTGGAAATGATAAGATAGTAGTCTTTATCATATTACAGTAGATATTGTATGTGCTAATAAACTTTATGGATCGATCTTATAAACGAATATAATCTGTAGTATACACGACTCGAGTAGTTAATAAATGTATTCATAAACAATGTTAATAAAAGAGCTTCACTCAGAGAAATAAGTTTCAAGTGAGGAAGTTTCTGCGAACCACACCTGGTCCCTTCTTTAGATCCGATTAGTACAACTATATTTAGAACGAATATTGTGGGGGTTATTAGATATAATATAAACTGAGTATAATTAGGTCTGTCCTATTTTTGCTCAGGGAATGTGTACTTAAATTAAATTGACAGATATGAAAACAGAACTGCAATAATAACAATAAGCGACTCAATTATAGTGGAAGCTCTATTTGAGTGGGTAATAACCCGTCTTTCTAATGTTACGATTAAGTAATCACTTGTCGTTACAGTTCAACGACCAAAACACATAATGGTTCTATGGCAACAAACTCAGTTACAAATTGAAAGTCATTTTATTCAACTTACAATTAAAATCAGTCACACAACATCAATCATAATTAGAATAAGATTGCAATAAAGTTAAAATTTATAAAGTTGAAATAATTATTACCATCCGGTCCGGATTCTACAGCAGAAAATAACGCGCCGTATCGAAATACTAAAAAGTAGCCGTAACTCCTATGTGTAAAGATACTTTTATATCTTTCCATCAACCTAAGCAATGAATCATGATCATAGAGCTAACAGCCAACATGTCACAAATACAACTCTAGTCTCCACAACAATGTAAAAGTAGCTGCTACGTACCATGAGAGTTAACATAATAGGCAGCCCGTAGCTGATGTTCCTAGTAGTCTCAATGAGGATAACAGTAAGACTGATCGTCATCCTCACCACCCCTCCCAGGAATGCTGCCGCTCCTATCAGTGCGTACGTTCCCGGGTAGAATAACCTGGATAATGGATATATAGTATACATACAATATGCAGGGGGAGAGAGGGGGTGGGGGGGGGGGGGGAGGAGGGGATAATTCATGAGGCATGACAATCTGTCACCTATAAGCACGGAATTTATATTATACATCAAAAGTAGCCAATGCTTTTTCATAGTATAGTAAGAATCATAAATGGAGCTTTGTTGTTCACACTCCTACTCTAATGTTGACTTTTAACCGGTACTCACTTTTATAGACATTGTAGAGTTTACTTACGAGGGTTAACTTATTGCTTACGAGGGGTCTGTGAATTTGAAGATCTGCTGATAACCGTACGCAAATATCCTGCCATAAGTAGCTCCAATTAGTAGACACGGCACGAACAGTCCACTTGGTACCCCTGAGGGATTATTAACATGGAGTTCAAGTGAACATTGGTCACATATGAAGTTTGAAACTGTTTTATCGATTGAACTGATTTTAATCAGCAAACAAATTCGATAAAAATGAATCCCTCGGTTATCTTTTCTTTATATATGACAATGAATATTTTTAATCAGATATGTGTACGAAGAATACAAATTTCCGCTGTATTACATGCAATATAATCACGTGGGGTCACCTCAGGTTTTTCCTTTTCTGAACCAACATAAGTCGCGAGCCTCTACCCCTTTTACTTATTGTACTGCCCAAAATCTTTCAAAATCTTCAAGCTACGCTACTCTGTACTATTAATTGTTGATTACAATAGATTACTAACCTATCCCATAAGTCCAGCAAGCAGTGAGAAAGAGAGTGACCAGGAACAGCACCAGAGTTAGAGGCATGTAGGTGGGCTTAAGAGGGAGATCTTTTGCGGCACAATTAGTCGCTGAAATAAGTTAATTATGTATCATTATTGTACGTGGTTGGAATTTATTCATTATATAGCAATTATCGAGACAATTTCATTCTTATAGAGTGCAAATGCCTAAGAGACAAGACAAGTTAAGATTATGCTATTCATCTTATAATTAAAGAACCACAAACTTGCACACATTTAACTGGTAGATATAAGTTGTTCTTGATGTTTCTTACAATTACTGTCGGAACTGGTGAAGTTGAAATGGTGGAAGAGCATCTTTATACTGTTCTCTTGGGAATTGAAGGCTAATGTCCCGTAATCGTTATAGAGATGGTCCTTTTCTGGACAGTACCAACTCTTCATCAGACCTCGTAGTTCTTTCTCTGTCCTGATTAAACGTTACTTCCTTATTTGGGCATAACTTATTACATCTTTATATGGGCTGAAATCTAACTTTCTTTGACCTAATCTAATTAAATTTTAAACCAAACCTAAACCCTAGAATATTAATATTATCTGAATAGATAGTAATTTCGGATTAAATGATTTATACAAACAAATTAACAAACTATATGATTATTAAATCGAAGCAAGTAAAGGTACCCATTTTTGTTCCATCTGACACAATGTCCTGCTGTGTTGATTGACACATATCCGAGAGTACTAATCACTATTCCTATTAGGGCCACCTCCATCATCCTGAATTAAGGTGTTGGGAATTTAAGTTGGGATAGTGTGTTAGGATCTGTTAATTTTACAGAGCCTATCTTAAGTCTTAACACATTCCAGGTTTTAATACTTGTATTGCACAGTATCTCAATAGTAGAATTCAAGAATACGAGATAATAATAACAAAAATAGTTTGAAGAAAACAACCTGACAATTCTTCCCTTTGGGTTAACATGATTGATCCTGTATTTAGTTATGTAAAAATTAAGTTGATTAAATAATGCTCCAAGCAGACCCCCAACTGCACCCATCACTATAAAAACTATCAGATCTTTAGGTCCCCAAAGCATGCATTCGTTTGAACCGTTAACACACTGGAAAATGTTTTTTTAACACCTTAGGTCTTGTCCTTAATAATTAAATATTATAATAAATAATATTATATTAAAGGATTTTAAGTTATAATTAGAATCTGTTAATTTTAAAGAACCAATTCTAGGTCTTAAAAACCTATTCTAGGACTCGTACAAGCAAAGTATTCCAGTCTAACTTCCTAATACCTTGAACTCCCCGAAGTTGATAAGTCCAGAATATTTGTCTCCTATTCTTGCATCGTTTGTTTCAAGTGCAGAGTTGAGGATTTGTAGTACGAACGCACTGCACATACTGCAGAACAACTGAAAGATTTATGAAAATCGTCACGATCGTGTTAGCAAATACTACTGACGATTTAAACAATTTTCGCCGAAATAAATCAATAAACTAGAAATATGAGAAAAGTAGCAAAAGTAATAGGTAAGAACTTACAGTTTTCCAAGTAAGAGCTTGGTTCCAGAAGGAGCTTCCCTCTTCAAGACTGAACAGTACTCCGCCCAGAGGAGCACCAAACGCTGCTGATACACCAGCTGCTGCTCCTGACAGGGAATACTGGTTCGTTTTTCTAATTTCAACTATCTGAGTAATTGGCGGGAGATAAAATAACTTTATTCCTTAACTAAAGCATTATACACTATATTCTGAAATTAATATACTCTTTACTGAAAATATAATAATATCCCAACCAGCTGAAATGAAGTCACGTTTAGCTCGGTCATCGTGGACTCCAAAGAAGGATTCTTTGTAACCCAACTTCTTTACTAGTCGACTTAGACCCTGATATAAAAGCGAGATGTTAGTCACTACGGCCATATCTTTACTTTAAGTGTTTAAAGTTATGAAAGATAATATAATCTTTTATGGATGTTTTAAGCTTACTATTATAATTAAGTACTTGATATAACTGCAAACCTCAGGGATTCCTGCACCTAGAGCTGCCCCACTGTGAATCATGGGGCCTTCCTTTCCGCATGGTAAACCTGAAATGAGGGGTAATTGTTTTATCTTAAAAGTAATGATATTAACTTGAAAATTATTACTTCATTCACCATTGTGTTCATTAAAAAATGTTTTTATCAACAATTGCATTCATTTATAATTACGTCAATAAAATGTTGTCAGCTGATCCGCGAGATCATTCTCATCAATCATAAAAACATGAAAACTGAGATTAGGGCGATCTCAGGGCCTACGTAAACTGACAAAATGTTATGTCATAAACTCAATAATAGTGGGAAGCAATCGATAGTATAGCGCAGAATTATTTTTGTGATTTAATTTGTTTGATTATTTTAAGTAAATTCTTCTACGAACAATGATCAAGTAATTTATTCGAGTCTTAAACTTGACTCAACTGCAGTACAGTGATCAGTTGATACATTCCACTGTACCTCCGGCAACGCTAAATATCACCCCAAAGGCCTTGCAAACTAGGGTCTTGATACGTACCACTCTCGGTAGCTAAAAGTATTGTTACAGTCGCCAAGAACTATTATTAAAACAGGTTATAGTCGGGTTGTAATGGTATTCAGTTTAGAAGGTGATTTTAACGAGGAATTGCGATTGAAACTTAAGGAAACACGTACCCTTATTCCATTAAGATAGCACTTTATTTCGGGTATCCCGCTACCTGCAGCCTCCGGCTGAAATGAGGTGTTTTCTTAAGTAATTATAAGAGAATACCAGGTATAATGTCTCTTTCAGGTATTATTAAATGTCGTAGCTTACAAAGTTACCACGTGTCCTGGCAGTACAATGTTTGAACGTTAATAAAGTAACAATTATTTGACTTCCACTTAAAAGCAATAGAAATGATTTGTGCTATTGAACCGACTATCAAGAACCAAATATTAAAAACTAAAAACATACAGTGAAAGCAACCGTGGCCGCCGCAATAAGACAGAACAGCAACGAGAATGCAATATAAATCATCATCGGTGCTGATGCAGTATCTTTAAAATGGTCCAAATCTGAAATGTGTAGGTTTTGAAAAGTAACAGTTGAAAAATAAAAATGATACCCCATTGTAACATCTTCATCACTTCATGTAGCCCAAAAAACATGTTGAATACTGCTTAGATTTAAGAAAACCTGACAATTAACACACTTACATTTATAAACAGTGCTGAACTTAAGTTTTGATAAATTGGTCACTCCTATGTCGATTGCAAAAGCTACGATTCCAGTTGCAATTCCTATTAAACTGAACATTATCCAGTCTTTTAGGTTCAGATAGGTAACAATCTGCAGGAATTACGATAAAAAGAATATTTTTAAATCACGTTAATAATTGATAAATTTTGAATTCTATCCTGTGATATGAAGTATCAAGAGCCTATTTTACTTCAGATATTTTCTATTTACTTATTACAAATAGAACATTAGATATACAGTAGATGACATTCTTACTGCTTTAGTTTTTGAAGATATGAAGGTCATGTAGGGTTCATTAGGACAGCGATCATAGTCCAAACTCTGAAAGATTAGAATATAAATTATCACAATAAATGAAGAAATTTGAGTTATCACTTTGAATAAATTCTGTGAAGATTGAAGGGATAAAGTAAAGAGGTGCATCAGCTATACACGGGGCAAAGGAGTGTGCGTGCTGTTCGCTATTGCTCACACCAAACGGCAACCTAGTAAATGTTTTGTATGGACACCTGTCTCCATCACGATACAAAATTAGGATTGTAGAATTTATTGTATAACTTTTAGTGCAGTGGAGGTAGCGGTGTGGTGCATTAATAGAGTGACAGCCTACTGATTTAGAGTTGTTTTTAAGTGAACATAATGGGTATATTTTTTCCCGATCCATGACTCAAAGTGACGAAGGCACAAAAGAGTCAAGGACAAGGGTTAGCGAACGAGGTTTTTTTGTATATGGTAGCTTGCGACCGTGCGAGCGAGCGAGCGTGCGTGAATACGTGCCCGCCCACGTTCCTACCTGCGCAAATTTATTTTGCGTATTAGTCTGAATTATATAATTGTTGGCGCGCGGCGCTGAACCAACCAAGTACATTATTAATTTCATCATGTATGTATCCCACTAGGCACTAATTGATAGCATATTATTATTATTTTGAGTTAGAAGTACTATCATGCACAGATCCGTGTCAGGTTGCATAACCAATAAAAATATGGTTACATAGAAATATACACGATTTTCAAATTCAATATAGAATTATATTAACTGGGCGGCGCTCGGCAGTCGGCAAGTCACTTCGCCATATTTGCATGTTTATATAAACAGTAAAGACTGGGCCGTCCCCAGGTTGTGTGGAATATGATAAATACGCCATCACGGATCGGGAAATTGAGCGGCCATCCACAAAAGAAAAGCGGCCGCATTTCTTGTTGGAACTAAAGGCTTTGGTATGGCAACTTTTAAATTGGTTCTTTTAATCATTTTTATTAAATATCAGTTTAAAAATATATAAATCTGGAATCTGTTCACACTGTGAACCAGTCCTAAAAAAATTTCAAAAACCCTCTTAAATTAAATATTAAAAACGTCTCAATATTGGAAATAGTCATACAATTAAGAAATTTACCAAATTCTTAATATCTACCTAAGAGAAAAATACCTACCTAAGTCAATGTCTACCTGTAATACACTAAATATTAGGTTAAATACATAGGTGGTGGAGTCAGCACACATTTACCAAAATCAAAATTTTTTTAATAGGAGGAACCTATGGGCCGAGAACACTGGATTAAATTTGTTGAAGGAGATTGTTTTCAAATGACAGCTGCATTATGTCATAATCGCTTGAGGTCCATGCTGAATCATAATAAGCATGGTGCAGCTTTAGAAGTGCCTTTTTCAGGCGACTTTTAGCAAGGCTAATCTTGTAGGAGTAGTCAAAAAGCTTAAGGGGGGGTTCACTCTGATTTTTTTGTGAAACTTGGTTTCGAGATAGCAGTTGACCAACAAACTAGGACCAGTGACCGAACTTTTGAGGGGGTCCCGGACCCCAACTGCCAAACAGTGCACGCGGGGCAGCCACGCCCATATTTGGTCCAAATTAGCCCCAATTTAGCCAAATACCCTGAACATGCCCAAAATCCAGATTTTGTAGCTAGTGGTCCCCTGAACTCGTATATGAATTTTCATCAAGATTGGACAAAAAATGACTGAGTTATGAGCAAAAAACCATATGACCATATTTGGGCATACGCACCAAATTTGATCGATTTTGGCCCATATATTGGTCAAATATCAATATTTTTGAATGAAACCAACTTTATATGGAAGGTAAGCCTAAACTACACATTCTCTATGATTATCAGCTCAATATCTACCTAACTGTGGATTTTGTGTTCAAATAATCGCAAAAAATGAACAAAATTGCCCATATCTCAGTTCGCGATATTTGCAAAACTGACTTCGCTCAAAACAATAGAACTCAATAGGGTTTCAATATTTTTACATGAAATTTTCAGAATCAACGTAGAATCGCATTTCGACCTTAAGTTTTGGGACAGAATTTTGAGTTAGGCCTTTAAAAAAATTTGGCGGCCAAATTCGAAATTTGCAATGCGAAATTCAGAATTTGGACGCCAAATTTTTTTGATCAAATCTGGATTTTGGGCATGTTCAGGGTATTTGGCTAAATTGGGGCTAATTTGGACCGAATATGGGCGTGGCTGCCCCGCGGGCACTGTTTGGCGGTTGGGGTCCGGGACCCCCTCAAAAGTTCGGTCACTGGTCCTAGTTTGTTGCTATCTCGAACCCAAGTTTCACAAAAAAATCAGGGTGAACCCCCCCCCCCCCCCCCCCCCTTTAAGTTTAAGTGCAATTGTGCTCCAAGTTTTGGTGGATCTTGATATAAAGTCATTAGATGGGAGTTGTGAAATGAGAGTGGTTTCTTTCTAGAAGATGGCTAATAATGCTGTTGCAGTGATGCTAGGCACCTTAATTTTAGTATTCTAATAGGGGCAATTCACACATCTTTTTACTTATCTGTAACTCAATTAAGAAACCTCAATTATAGTTGGTGAACTCATTTGATCGTTTTTCTGTATTAGAAGTGGCTGAAATAAAGGTCATAAGAGAACAGAAAAATGAGAAAATACAATGCCATATCTTGAACTACCAATATCTTTAAAATTTATATGAATAAATGACGATTATTCTATCTGTTTTACTTCCAAACAATGGTGTAACAACCTTGCAATATCAACTCACAAATAGAAAAAATTATCTAGAGAAACAGAATTTATTATAACTCACACTGAGTTCAGTGAATGAATCGTCTTCCTCGTCATCTATCCAGTTTGAATTATTCATAGTAAACCTAAGAGTAATTCCACCATAAGAATCGTTATTTTCTGTACATTTTGACGGAGCAAATATGCAAATTTTTCTGCTGATTTTTGATTTGAAACTTTTACAAAATAGCAAATATACAAATGTACAGCAAATCGAACAAACATATAAAATGGGCCGAAATGTATAAATGCTATAAAGCGTGGGTCAGTGAAACAAGTACAGAGGACAACTTTCAAAACACGAGTTTTATGGCCGCCCAAAGTCTCAATAAGCGTCACCTCCACCTAGTAATAAAATTATGAAATACGAAGTATGAAACTATATTATATCAAGAAATAGAGTATATAAATTATAAAATTGTCTCTCAAATACAGATAACGTCTGAAAACTATTAAGATACACAATATTCATTCAAATACTGATCAGTGTCCGAGAGACATGAAATGCTTCATGGTGGCTTCTTATCACAGCTACAGACTTTCCCGTACAGGATATAGTGGTCGAGATGAGTCTGTTCATCTTTACCTGGGGACCCCAGGCTATTATGTTCATAAACAATAAAGATTTGGCGGAATGACAGGCTGAGCGCGGCCCAGTAAGTTCATCTCGACCACTATATATCTGGTACGAATTTTTGCATGAAATTTTTGGAATCGACACGAAATCGCATTTTCACCTTATTTTGAGAACGGATTTTTGGCGGCCAAATTGCAAAATTTTCTCAGAAAAAATATTTCTCTGTCCATATCTCCACAAATATCATCAACGCAATGAACCACTTAGTAACACTGTCCTCCAATTTTTTCTGTTCATCATAATTGAATCCTTGAATTCGCTCCATAGTGTACTTGTATAGGAATGTACAAGTACACACGCAAAGGCTAACTACGCGGTAGCAGCGAACTTATCGCAAGTTACAAAAGATAAGAGAGCTCGATAATTGCAATGTAAGCTACACTGGCTACTAGATCCAGATGCTGCAGAGTGGCCCCTCTTCCAATATCTCTCTGAACAAACACCTAAACAGTGTTCACAAGTCTCTGAAACATGTATTGAGGCTGCATGTGGTTGGATTCCATCTTTACACAGAGTAAGGTTCAAAACAGAGGACACCTTTAGAGACCATGGAGTAGCTGACCTTGGTTCAACTCTAAAACAATCCTAAAACGGATACAGGACTGGACAGTTTCCATTGTTAATAGACTGACCAGGCACGCTACTTTGCAGCACTTTGCCTGGGGTAATATTTCGGACAAATTTAAATGTGTACCTTCTATCAAGACTATGATGATGAAAATCTAAATATTATAGGCTTCAATGAGCATTTTAGTAACATATAGTATGAAAGATCTGAAATTTAAAAAATAAAAACCCTAAAAATATTTACACCCCAAGTAAAAAATATAAATACTTTATTTTTAAAAACACTATCAAATAAGGTGGTTGATCAGTCACTTGTGTCATTACGACGACGTCGTTATATAAAGTCAAAATATTCCCCAAAATAATTTAAAGACGATTCCCGATCGAAAACGTTTTTGGTAGAAAAAGTTTTTCGAGTTACATAAATATCAATGGAGATGCAATTTTATAGATAAAATCAATAAAGCTTAAAATTGAAGCCCAAAACAAAGTAACACACCCAACAATGGTTGAGATGTGATACATCCAAGCAGTCTAAGTCGACAATAATATCATGTGAGTTAATACCCGTTAATATAAAACTAGCTCCAATGTTCATGTAACCAGACAGGATCTACCAATCCAAAGAGTAAAGTAGGTTTCCATTCAGTCAGTAGTAAACAGTGTCTAGCACTGGTCGTCCTAAGAAGGACTCCCCATTTATTACAGGCCTGGGTAAGGCCGCGTACATACCAATGGATAGAGCATTGGCCGTCTAATGTAGGGACTGTATCAAGACTGTATCAAGACTGTATCAAGACTAAACAAAGTTGGCTGACTCCGAAACATCCTAAATAAAATACATAAGCAACAAACAAGCTTACCAATCAAAGTTCATATCATGATTCCATTAATTATGTCTTATGGTTAATTGTTTTTTTAATTTTGTATTTATAAAAACCCTACCCGCTGAAGCGGTGGGTTGGGAATCCCCCCTAGGATCATTTCGTCCGTAAATAATAAACAATACAAAACAACAACAAAATATTTACAAAATTTACATAAACAAATATAGGAGACCTCAAAGCTCATCTTCTGATGTATGTCTCCATCATCTCAGAGACACAATTAAATCTACAAACACAGTGCAGGTTGGTCCCATACCTCCACAAATTGTGAGGACTAGAGGGACAAAGGATCCTTTCTTTGACTGAAGAACTTTCTCTTTATACGTATCTTTCTTTTCTTTCTCATGGTCACTGTAGATCTTATTTATAGGCTTAAATGTATTCGAGTCGCAGTCAGTGGCGTAACGTTGCCTGTTGGCGCCCCCCTGCCGAAAAGGCGCCCCCTGTTGGCGCTCCCTCCCCTTTTGGTGCCCCTCCCTAAAATTGAACAAATTAGGTGATTTTAGAGGATACGCCGGTAAAAATCTCCTAAAAAGTGTGTATCTAGAGCAAAACGCGCAGTTTTGCTAGTACTTTAGTTAAGTTTTCGAAATTGTCCCACATTCAAACGACGATTTGGCGCCCCCCTAAGACGGCGCCCCCTGCACAGCGGGGTCAGCGGGGCCCTTCGTTACGCCACTGGTCGCAGTTCTAGGATGTGTTTACTGGGCCGCGCTCAGCCTGTCATTCCGCCGAATCTCTAAAATTATGAACATAAACATAATAGCCTGACGTCCCCAGATAAGGATGTGTGACCCTGATGTCAAAGAATGTTCTTTCAAAAGGGTGCATACATTCTGACAGCTGCAACACCAAGATGGGCATCATCCATCTATGATCCTAAATTATTTAGTCCAATAACATTTATTCTAGGAAACAAAAATTTTGATAAAGATATCAAACGTGACACAATACACAATATGACTGTTATTTCATTAAAATTTTGTTTTACTTATTGTAAAAGAATTCGCGTACCTAAGAAGACATAACGGTTTTAGCCCATAACATTGCGATTCACGATGTCAATCCTTTTATGCAGCTTGGCGACTTGGCGTGGCATCTCGCCAATCTACCGACGCGCAGTTTATTGAGTGATGTCAACGATTACTTTTTTACTCACTGATTTCATTATTATTTGTAGTGCGGCCCATTACGGGGCTGCGCCGCGCATCCGATAATTATTTTCACAATCTTTGTTTAGTTAGATTGGCAAAATTTTGCTCTAACCAGCGCGCTCTCACTTGCAGTAGCGCGCGTTGTATTATGTTGCGATCCCCACGGTCGTTTCACTATTTCACCACGGTCGTTTCGCTACGGTCGTCCTGACGATACAGGGGGAGCCGCGCACTTCGTGCGCGGCGGGTCATACAACGTATGACAAAGCGCGCGACCGCCGTTGTCAGTTGTGAAACAAGCGCGTCACGGAGTACGCGTATACACATGGCTATGTGAAGGCAAAATGCATTACTTGCCACTGGGCCAGGGTCCTCACCGAGCTACAAAGGATTTATACATCTTCAATCAATAATTACTTTGGAATGAACAAATTAAAGCTTTAGTTTTAAAAGTAATAACAAACAAAATGATGTATTGGATTTTTGCGTTAGAAATTTGATTATTTAGAAAAAAAACCAACAAATTAACTTGTATCATGCCGTGACCCCCATTGTCGTTTCACTAAATAAAACCTCTTTAGTGTTTTTACGATACAGCTAGGGCATACATAGGGGGAGCCGCTCACTCATGCGCGGCGGTTCATACAACGTATGAAAAAATTAACTAGAACTAGAACTTTACTGTAAAAATATTTATACTTAAAAAGCATATAGTAAAAACACATTACAAATAAAATTTTTATGAAATTTAATTGCAGCGGCTAAATTTAAAATTGGGAAACTTTTTCACCGGCCATTCGCTGAACTCAATTGACGATGTCAATCCGTTTTGCCGATCTAACGTGATATTTATAATGATTGAAATCATCATAAAAATCGAGCGCTACTGTAAGGTTTTGTTTAGCCCATACCAGAAAATCTTACCTATATTACCGAGCATAATACATTGCTACCAATAATTTTAAAAAACAACAATCATAGCTCTTAGAGCATAGAGGAGAGAGAGGGTTGAAAAGTAGTAGTGCAGTAAAAATAGCAGAATTAGATATAAATTTGGAGCCAGTTCTTTAAACTGGCTTACTTATACTACTTACTTACTTTGTTACTTTGTAGGGTTTCATAGAATCCTCTATCGGGCCATCGAAAAAGTCGACCCCCCGGACAGTGTAGAAACTGTTTTATCACCACTCCAATCAAGCAAGGAGTTTCCATTCCGACAGCTGTATCCTGGAGCTGGAGGCTCGTCCGGAAATGACTTCACAAAGTTCGTTAAAGCCGCTTTGAATTGCATAGGATCCTCGATGGTGTGCATATGTGTTGGGATTACATTCCATAATCGAGGTCCAGTGACTGCAAATGAGTTGTCATGTAGTGCTTGATTACGTTGACTGCTGGACTTAGCTATACTGGGCACAACTGCTTTTTGACCATGTCTGAGAGTCACCGAGAACTGGATACCAATATCATTAGGGCACTTGCAATGCAGAACTTTCCACATGTTGATGATTAAATACCGTTCTCTTCTTCTTTGCAATGACATCAGATCTAGGGCCTTTAATCTCTGCCAGTAGTTGAGGTGCTGGGTGCCATCTATTTTCAATGTAAACGTACGCTGAATCCCTTCTAGCTGTTGGATGTCCTTGTTCTTAGAGCAATTCCACAGAGGACAGCAATACTCCAGATGGCTTCTAACGAGAGACTTGTACAGAGTCATCATGGTGGCTTTGTCTCTCGTTTTGAACGCACTTAGCACCCAAGAAGCAACTCTTCCTGCGCGTTCAGCTATCCTGTTGACGTGTGGGGTCCAGGACAAATCAGCGGAAACTGTCACTCCTAGATCTTTCACCGTTTGAGTGGGGTACAGCATGTTTCCGTTAGACACTTCATATGTTTGAGCTTGGATGGCGAATGGATGATCAAACAAGGAATTCTTTGGACAATGCTTGTGAACAAGAAGCTCGAACTTATCCTCATGAAGGGCCATGTTGTTGCACTTAGCCCAATTAACAACAGAGTTGAGATCATCCTGCAGGACATCTTTGTCGGCCAAACTGTAGATATGCTTAAGAATCCTAGTGTCATCAGCAAAGAATCTGATGACAGACCCTTTAACACATAGCTTCATATCATTTATGAACAGAATGAATAACAGTGGCCCAAGAACGGTGCCTTGTGGAACTCCACTGAGGATTGCGGCAGCAAACGATGATACACCATTTAACACAACACATTGCTTCCTTTCAGTCAGGAAGGATCGGATCCAGTTTACCACCTTCTCATGAAACCCCAATCTCTTCATTTTCAGAAGCAGTAACCGATGATCGACCTTATCAAAGGCTTTGGCAAAATCCAGATATATAGCGTCAGTGTCTGCATTTCTAGTAAGACCTTGAACTATATCGTCTACGTGACTTAACAGCTGGGTAAGGCAGCTTCTTCCTGAGCGGAACCCGTGCTGGTTGTTGCAGAGTAACTGATTTTTCTCAATAAAGTCAACCATAACACCACGGAGGATACGTTCATACACTTTGATGATGTGCGAAGTGAGAGCAACTGGTCTGTAGTTGACTGCCTTGGCCCTGTCACCCTTTTTAAATAGTGGTGTAATGTAGGTGTCTTTGTAGAACGATGGCACTGTACCGTTTTCAAATGATTCCTCCCAAATAATACGTATAGGAGAACACAACTCCTTAGCACAGTTTTTCAAGAGAGTTGTAGGTATTCCGTCCGGTCCACAAGCAGAATCTGTAGAGATACTTTTTATAGCTGAAACGATATCTTCGTCACTAATTCTAAAGTCCTCTAGTTCTTGTGGGTGCTGGATAGAGGGAATGGAGAAAACCGGATCCTTAACATCAGGAGAGGTCGGATCGCTAAACACAGAGCTGAACTGTTCCTGCAGCAGATCGGCCATTTTCTTGGGGTCTGTGGTTATCTCCTGGTTGCTATCAAAGAGCATGTTAATACTGGATTTGATCTTCGACAGAGACTTAGCATAACTGAAAAAGAACTTGGGATTTGTTTTGATCTTTTCTACTGCCCTGGATTCCTTTTCATCAAGTCTCTTGGTATGGGCACATCGAATATCATACTGTAGGAGTGCAACCTTGTTCCTAACATTTCTGATGTGATCGTCAGGTGCACCATTGCTGACTAAGGCATTCAGCCTTGCCTGGAGTCGGTTCCTTTTACGCCGCAAAGCATTGGTATGTTTTGGGCGCCCAGAAGGTTTAGCCTTGCGGGGAACATGAGACGAGCATATCTGAAAGAGGGTCTCAGTAAACAAGGCTGGGAAGTCTTCAAAAGAGCATGAAGAACGAAGTTGAGACCAGTTAGTGTCTTCTATCTCGTCTCTGAGCGAGCTGAAGTCTGCTTGGAGAAAATCAAGGCATCTGTACGAGTTTTCATCAAACTTCGGCACTGCTGATTTCTCCTGTTCAAGTGGATTATATGCTAGCATAACATCTACCACGTGATGGTCTGACATTGTTGTGGTTTTGCATTCAACATTTGTAACAACTCGGTTGTTGTTAGTAATAAACAGGTCCAAAACATTGTTTCCTCTCGTTGGACACATTACGTACTGACTCAGCAGATGATCAGACATGAAAGTTAAGAAATGCTGTGCTGACTGCTGAATTTCTTGCGTGCCTCCAGATTGAACACAATTTGTCTGCCAGTCAATTGAGGGTAAGTTAAAGTCTCCAGTCATCATGATATCGTAGCTGTCGTCATTAATACTACTGATACATACGGAGAAAAAACTGAGGAGTGCTTTAAAGCTTGACAAGGATGCATTAGGCGGACGATAAGCCACAGCAACACATGTCTTTATAGTGCTGAAACTACAGAAAAGTCCCTCACACATGCCGTCATCAAACGTGTTACACTCACTGACCGGTAAGTTGACATGAGAGTAGAGTAGAACACCCCCTCCCACCCTTGCATCACGGTCGCTGCGAGATACCGAATAGCCTGGTATTTGCAGTTGTGCGTCTGACATATAGGACTTGAGCCACGTTTCCGTAAGTGCTATAAACGGTAACGAGTGGTTTCTGGATTTCTCATCCTGAATAAGAGCTGAGATTTCTGGCACTTTCCATCTACTCGTACTTAATGCACTAGGATTCATGGACTGGACATTTAAGACGAGGCATGAGGAATAAGGGGCACGTGTGTCCTCTGAGGCGGTAGGAACTGCGGGTACTGGTAGTGGTATAGTGGGAGCGCTGTTCCTGGCTGAAGAGGTGGAGGTGGTCTGGGGTAGTGGTAGGGCATTTGAGTTTGAGGGAGGCTGGACCGGTGGTCGACTATTTCTGATAGGAGTCCGATCCTGGTTTGCATCGTTTCCAACAGTCTCCGTAACTCTAAAAAATCCTGATTCGCCGCCGTCACACCTTTTGATGGCATGGATTTCTTATTCTCTGCTTTTCCCTTCTTGTGTCCAACAGCAGAGTTGCTTGTCTGACGGCGGGTACCCTTCAAATGAATAAAAGTGCAGTCAGACTTCGTGCAAAGTTTATTCTTAACTGAAAACTTGCACAACACAGGGTGAAGAAACTTGCAGTCTGGACCTTTACTGCAACCAAACTTGTGCTGATTTCCGTATTGACAGAATCTGTTACAATACTTCGGGTGTTCAAACTCACAAATCTGACCATTATGTTTCTTCTTCCCCTTGAGACCATGAGGACACTTTCCACGCTTGTACTTCTCACAAATTCTCTCCTGCGCAGCAGCAGATGATTTCTCGTGAAGCTCTGAATCGTCAATTGCTACACTAGATTGAGAAGTGGAGTGTTCTGTGATTTCCTCGGATGAGGACATTTGTGACGCAATCAAATCCTGCTTGGGTTGCTGAGATTCGGAATCTGATTTGTTCACAGTACTATCATCTGATTTGTTCACAGTACTATCATGCCGGCTCTTCGATTTTCGTGGTTTAATAGGAATGCTTGATTCCATGCATGATTTACACAACCAAACATAACTAGAAAGAACAGTAGCACTAGTCAAAACATCGTGGAAACTCGTAACAGCAGAACAGTTGTGAGATCCCCGAAAACACATATGACAGTGAAAAACGGGTTTCTGATCGGCTTCAAACTCAACAGTGTACTTTTCGTTACATTCCAAGCATTCTGATGGCAGGAACGCACGGAGCTCGAACTGAATTCTATTGGCAAGACTGTCCTTTGTATACAGTTTGTTCCCGTCTGAGTCGGCTAAATCAATGTTCAAAAACTCTGCACACGGTTCCAACATATCAAGATTAAAAGCAGATATTGACTTGACATTTGCTGAACGCTTTGCAGAGTGGTCAAAAACTGAAATGACACGTTTCACAATTTCATTACTTCCTGCACGGAGAAGCAGGTTCCCAATAGCCAGTTCATTAGAGTTATCGCCTGACATTGTACACTTCTTGTACAGTTACACACGTTGTACACAAGGTTATCACAGAGTAATACCGTTTTATCAATAGAGATAAGAGAGCTGCGTAATGTACAACCAAAGCAATTTAACAAATAACAATACTTAAGGGGGTTTATAAATTTTATTTAGTTTTCTATTGAATTTATATTGAATTTTTATATAGGGTAATTGTTATATTATGTGTATATTGTTTGAATAGGTTCCTATTTATTTTTTATAATTTTAAAAATATATATAAATTAAATTTTTGATTGTGTTTTTCGAGTGTTATGCACTTTTGTACCTAATAAAAATGAAAGAGATTTTTTATAGAACATTAGAAGTGCAGTAGGGTCAGTTTCAGACAAACTAAGGTTAAATGATATCAATGCTATGCCTGTAGTGGTTTGTAAATAGGCCATTGTTAGCCACAAGCGTTTTGGTCCCTCATTCCTGCCACCCAGTATTGTCTACTGTAAAATATACATTTTTCTAAGATTATATAGAAACTGACCCTATCACCGAAATCAACCTTTTGCCATGATTAGAGGAATGTAGCAATGTAAAATAAAACTTATTGTTTTATTGAAAAAAACTTATTGGCATTGTTTCATTAAGGTTTATTCTATACCGTGCACTTATCGTTTTCCTCAAGATGCCAGGTATATAGAGGTTCCACTGTAAAAACTATAGCTTTATTGAAAACTTATTATTTTATTGAGTTTCCAAGAATCCTAAACACTAAGGGTAGACAACTTTGAGTAGGTGGACCGAGGAAAGAAGGTGGACACCAAACGTGAGATTCAGCTATCAGAAGTTTCATACAAATAATAATAAATAATAAATTACAACTTTTATAAACCGCCTTATAGCTAAATCATATAACTCGATATAATTTAATCCTGGAGATAAACTCCAGTGCTTTCTAAAGCGGCTCTTACATTAACTGAGCTTAGTTTAATTGAAAATTAGACATGACAAGTTCATTTTACCTATGTAAATGCAAAATCAATCAAATGCTAGAGAAAAGAAGTATGTTTTAAGTTTGGTCTTGAAAGATGTAACTGACTCAGCTGATCTTATGTCGTATGGCAAGGAATTAAATACTTTAACTGCACAGTGACTAAAAGCTTTCTCTGTGTTTACATAGTTAGGAGAGGGCGGAAAACTAAGGTAAAAATAATCATTATCAAGACGTACATTTTTAAAACTTTGCTGCCTAGGAGATATCAACTCTTTTAAGTAAGGAGGAGCTATATTATTTAAACACTTGTAGGCAAGTAGGGCAATCTTAAAATCTATTCTAAATCTAACTGGTAGAAAATGAACTTTCTTAAGTAGTGGAGTAGTGTGTGCCTTTCTTCCTCTCCCGAAAATAAATCTTACAGCAGAATTTTGCACCTTCTGTAAACGACTTAAATCATAAGAGCTCAGTCCAAAATATACGCTATTGCAATAATCAATTCTAGAGAGTACTAGAGCATGAACAAGCTGAATCTTAAGGTTAAAAGACAGTTTTGATGCAATAAACCACAAATTTCTGATCTGAATATTACATGCTTGAACCACTGACGTAATCTGATCACTCATTGAAAGATAACTGTTTAAATACAGCCCAAGACTCTTCACAGTTCCACTAACAACATGTGGCTCTTGATCCTTAACAATCTGCAGAGAGGCTGGAATATTTTTTGAGTCAAATTTAGAGGATATAACGATGACTTCAGTCTTAGAAGAATTCAGTTGAAGGAAATTCTTTGTCATCCATTTCTTGATATCAGACATACAGTGTTCCATATTGTGCTCTAGCTGTGATGGGTCATCAGAATCAAGAGTGAAATACAGCTGGGTGTCATCAGCATACAAATGAATACAGCACCCATGCATACTTGCAATGTTCTCAAGATCTTTGGTGTACAATATGAATAGCAGGGGGCCAAGGATTGAACCTTGTGGCACACCTATCTCAAGAACAGTTGATGAGGAAGACGAATCCTGGACTTTGACACAAAATGAACGGTTAGCCAAGTAGGACCTGATCCATGTAAGAGCAATGCCTGTAATGCCATAAGCAGATCTTAGCTTCTTGATTAATCTTGGGTGATTGACAGTATCAAAGGCAGCACTCAAATCTAGAAGTAAAAGAACAACTTTAGTTTTCTTGTCAATAGTTATCAAGATGTCGTTATGGATTCTGGTTGTTGCAGTTTCACAGCTATGAAACTTCCTATAGCCGGACTGAACTTTAGAAAGCAAGTTGTTATCCTCAAGATAACTGGTGAGCTGTATAGATACACACTTCTCAATGATTTTTGACAAGAATGAGAGATTGCTAATAGGCCTATAGTTAGATAGAGATTCACCGTCAAGGCCACGTTTCTTCAAACTTGGACGAATGAGAGCCTCCTTAAGTTTTATAGGAAACTCACCTTTAACTAATGATTCATTGACTATAAATGAGATCAGAGGAAGGAGTTCTGGGAGACACTTGATGAGAATCTTTGTAGGTATGGGGTCAAGATCACAGAATTTGTTGGACATATTCTTTATGATGCTTACTAGTTCCTCATCAGACACATGACGGAATTGTACTATCTTTGGGCTATTAGAAAGAGGAACAGATTCATCTGAGTTAGGAGAATCTTCAAGGGATTGTTGTTCTAAATAAATGTTGTTGTATATGTTGTCGACCTTTGATTTAAAGAACTGTGCAAAGTTGTTAGCACTCTCAAGATTTGAAGAGCAAGAAGGTGTAGTAGTACTAACTTTTTCTTTATTGAGCAACTTATTAACGATGGAATAAGTCTTTTTAGCATCACCTGCACTATCTTGTAACCTTGTTTTGTAGAAGTGATCTCTTGTGGATACAATGACTGAGGATGCTCTCTCTGATGCTTTCCTGTACAGTCGTTTATAATCTGGGCAATCATGATTCTTTTGATACAGTCTCTCAATCTTTCTTCTCATTGCTTTTGCTTGTTGACAGTGTGTAGACCACCATTCAGCGTTATGATCTTTTCTTGGGATGAAAGTTTTTTCTTTAGCATGCTTGTCCAAAATACTGCTCAACTCAGACTCATAGATATCAACTGCACTATCGAGGTCATTGAAGCAATCAGTGTCACATAGTTTTGACTTAAGAATGTCCTCAACAAAAGCATCTAGGTCTATGCAAGCAATGTTTCTGTAAGTAATTGGTTCTAGAGTGCCTATGGGTGCTGGAGATACATTGCAATTAAAAGCAACAAAGTAGTGGTCAGACGATGTGCCAGAATCAGTAATGACAGGATCTAGAACTTCAATGCAATCGTGAGTAAAAGAACCATCCCTGGTAATTACAAGATCTAATATGCCCCCATCTCTGTGTGTTGCAGCTGAAATTTGTTGCACCCACCCACAAGACTTAAGTAGTGAATTAAACCTTTGTGCAACTGAATCATTTTCGTCTTCAATGTGGATATTAAAATCACCCATGATCAAGGGCTTTCCAGGTTTGTCTACTAAATCAACCAAGAGTTGCTCAAAGTCAGTTAGAAATTGGGGGATGTTAGCACTCTGAGATGTGGAGGTGCCAGAACGGTAAATTGAAACAATTCGTAGTATATCTCCAGAAGATGATTTGAAGGTACATTCACAAGACTCAAACGTTTTGAATCGCTTGCACTTCTGAGGAGTCACTTTAAGACTTTTCTTATATAGAACAGCAACACCTCCTCCCCGCCCAGCTCTTGGCTGGCTATGAATGGAATATCCAAGTTCTTTCATCTCAGAAAACTTAGCATTGTCATCTTTTCTCAGCCAAGTTTCTGTAGCACAGCAAATATCAGTATCAAAGTCTTCAAGCAATTGCATGACTCCAGCAGTTTTATTGCATATGGATCTGCAATTGAACAGGGCAAAGTTCATACTCTGACATTCTGACTTAGAGTTTGTAGCTAGTTTTTTGAAGTAAGGATGTTTTGTTTATACCGATTCAATGCCTGTTGCATGATGGGACACTGCTCTGAGCTGGAATGGTGAGTGTTACAGTGAGATGAGACTCTTGGATCTTTTGACAGACTGCAATTGCGACATCTATGTCTGCTAGGGTCTTCCTTGTAATGACAGTCTGATGTTCTATGCCTACCGCTGCAATACATACAAACCAGAGTTTCTTTCTCAGGACAATTTTGGGAAATATGGTGGAGCTTCTGACAATTATAGCACTGCTTGATGATGAATCTATCCTTAACAGGACAAGCACTATTCAGAATGAAGATTTTGCCGTCTCCTGTCAATAGGTTCCTAATCTGAGGAGAGACCTTGATCCCAGCAGTAGTGTACCTTAGTCCAACATTTATGTACACAATTTCAAAGAAATGCTCATTATCTAGCAAGTGTTTAAGTCCAGGATTTTTCAAGGGAATAATATCTAGAAGAGCTTTTTTAGTCTGTAACCGGAAATCTTCAGCGGGTAAACCAGAGCGTTCAATGGTTTCGAATATCTGACTGGGAATATTAGACACAGTGACTTTAGGGAGAGCTTTCTGGGAAAGAGTGATGTGAAAACCAAGTAATTTAATGACATCAGAGTTTTCAATAAGACTTTTAGCCTTCAGCCTATCAGATGAAGATGGAAAAACTAGCGTTATCTTCTTGTGTGAATCTAGTAGGCTAGTTTTCATAGCAATCAATCGTGTGTCATAGAGCAACTCAGATAGAACATCTGGAGCAGATGAAATATCAGCAGAAGGAAAGGGACTATCTAGCACCAATATCTCTTTACTTTCCTTGCCAATTTGATTTATGTTAGCTGACACTTTTCTTGGCTGAGGAGAACTAGCACCACCTACAAGAGCTGCAGAAAAATTGCTGTAAGAGGACAGTGCACTTGGAGACCGGGATTGCAAGTTTTCTTTGTTAACATTAGAAACTTGCTCTTCCTGCAAATGTTCTGGAGCACATAGAGCAAGCTTGTCAACAATAATGCTATGCATTTCCTCACGAAATGATTCCAGAAGGGCAGAGTTGTTTGCCCTCATCAGATGCTCAACTTTGGAGAGAATATCAGGAGCTTCATTATCACCATTATCATGACTCATCACAGGGTTGGACTTAGGAGCATCTACCACAGATGGTACAGGTGGACCAGGTGGAGAAACGTTTTTGGAAGAACGGGTGTCATCTACCAGTGAAATGCAATCTTCACATACGAATAGAAAATAACCCCAACGAGCTTGATCTGCAATCATAGGTCTCACCTTAGCACGGAAGGTATTTGTACAAATGGAGTCAGGAAATTGAACACCGGTTTTTCTGTGACAAGCGGAGTGAAACATCCCATCACAGACATTACAGATAATCGATTCATTCACAGTGTCATTACTTCCACACTGTTTACACGAGCCGTCTTCAAATACAGGAAGTATAACAGAGTTCTTCTTTGGCTTTAGAGTCTTCTTGAGCTTCTTACTGGCCAGGGCCTCGTGCCCCTTTTGGCCCGCCATTGACATTGCTCAATAAATGTAATAGATTTGTAGTGTTGTAATTAGTTTAAAACACTATCCCTGCCCCTATAATGGAGTAGATCATGTGTTTTGTTAAAATGCTTTTGAAAAAATTATCAGTAGCAATGAATTGTGCTCTGCCAATTGCAACACTTAAAATTTTATTGTGCTCTGCCAATTGCATCACTTGATTTAATTGAATGTATATATACTGTTTGACGCACTTTTCACTTTGAGTAGGTATTATGATTGAGTAATGTAACGGTTTTTTAGGTTCCATAAAGCCTATCCTAACCAGTAACCATGAATCTAACCCTTACTCTAACCATAATCCTAGCCATAAAGCTGTCTGTCCTAATATCTATTCTTACTGGTCGGCCTTTTTGGAACCTAGGATACAACCAAAAATTGGTTTAAAATTTTTAAAATTCTAATAATGCTATTTTTTGTAGGCAATCAAGGTAGACATGGCGTGTGCAGTTATTGACCCAAGAATGATGGATCTGGTGTGGACAGATAGACTTGAGTATGAAGCACTTCTACACAAGAGACCAAGCTGTACCCAAGCTGAACCAAGTAGTGCTCCCTCTGCTCCAAGTAGTGCCCCAAGTACCAATGAAGCTGTTACTGCTCCCAAGAAATCATCCAAGGAGAGCTCCGTCAAGGCAGATGGCAAAAGTGAGTAAGAGTATGACAGCAAATATGGTGCTAAAATCAATAGTTTCCTCGTTTCATACAGTTCAAATTTTTGTCAGGTTTTTTAGTCAGGTTCTGTCAAAATGTTTGATTGGGTGTAATTAGAATTTGTATGTAGCATTATTATTAACTTAAGCAGAATCTGTTTGATACATATGTAGCACTTCCAGCCCTATGACCTCCTCTATCCCCCTAAATGACTGAGATTTAAGATGCATTATATACCCAATAATAGAGACAATGTCAACTATTACTATTGTAATAGTTGACATTGTCTCTATTATTGGTATTAGTATTCTAACACTAATTCATTCAAAATCCTTCCCCAAACTTTTCTTTGACACCAATCCTTATCCTGCAGGACAGTAATTACCTTTAAAATTAACGCTATCCGATACATGGCAAGTAACACCAAAATTTTCTAGGTTTGCTGGCTGATTTGGAAGCTGCTAGAGGATTTATTCGAGCGTCTCTTGAGCAAAATACCCCAAAGACAACACTTGAAACTCTCCAAGATAGGGCTACCCGCCTTGAGACTAGCAATTCTTCATTAAGAAAGCTGGTTGAAGATCTTACCAAACAAATAGAAAAACTTGAAGCCAAGGCCAAATCTGGAATCGTAGCACCTGCTGCTGCCCCACCTGCTACTGCATCTGCTTCCAAACCTACTGCTAAAAAAGAAGAGAGTGATGATGACGACTTTGATTTTGGCGACAGTGATGACGAGGAAACCAAAGGAGAATCTGAGATGCAGAAGATGAAGCGCCTGGCTGCTGAGAAAAAGGTTGCCGATGCAGCTGCCAAGAAAGATGCCAAACCTGCAAGAGTTCTTAAATCCAATGTAGTTCTGGATATCAAGCCTTGGGATGACGAAACGGATCTTGGAGAAATGGAAAAGCAAGTCAGATCTATTGCAATGCAGGGGCTCGTTTGGGGAGATTGCAAGCATGTTGAGATCGGTTTCGGCATCAAGAAGCTGAGAATGAGTACCTGCATCGTTGATGAGGATGTTGGTTTGTATGACCTCGAAGAGAAAATCGAAGAGCTCGAAGATTTCGTCCAATCTGTCGACATTGTTTCTCATAACAAGATCTAATCTATTTAACATCGTTTGAAAGTCTTTTACAATTTACACTGTACATAAACAATAAACATGTAATATTGTCAAAAATTAAAGTGTTTGCAAATTCCATTTACAGGTTTGTTTCACTTTAGCTGGCTTCCATCAATTATTCCCGTGATTGCTGTAATTTAGAACCCCTCGAAAACTAATATAGTCATAGATAACCTAAAATGATCATCAGCCAAATTTTAGCACATAAAAGTATGAATGAGTAATGATTATGATATTTTGCTGACCAATTATTAAATTGAGGACTGAAACTGAAATCCAGCTTTTTATGTTGAAGATCATATCTGATTAATCCCTCTTTTTTTAGCATCATGCAGCTTTTTGGAGGACTTGAAGGTCGTGTAGAGAAGTTGGAGGCTGAGAACGCACACCTCTTCAATGTCACCAATATCCTTGCTAAACGTCTGGCTGAGCTCGAGAAATGTCTCGACGGTCAGACTGTTACAGCTGCAGTTCCTGTAGTTGATAGCAAACCTGCTGCTAAACCTGCTGCCAAGCCTGCCAAGAAAGACGACAGTGATGATGACGATTTTGGTTTTGGCAGTGATAGTGAAGAAGATACCCCCAAAGGAGAATCTGAGATGCAGAAGATGAAGCGATTGGCTGCCGAGAAAAAGGTTGCCGATGCAGCTGCCAAGAAAGATGCCAAACCTGCAAGAGTTCTTAAATCCAATGTAGTTCTGGATATCAAGCCTTGGGATGACGAAACGGATCTTGGAGAAATGGAAAAGCAAGTCAGATCTATTGCAATGCAGGGGCTCGTTTGGGGAGATTGCAAGCATGTTGAGATCGGTTTCGGTATCAAGAAGCTGAGAATGAGTACCTGCATCGTTGATGAGGATGTTGGTTTGTATGACCTCGAAGAGAAAATCGAAGAGCTCGAAGATTTCGTCCAATCTGTCGACATCGTTTCTCATAACAAGATCTAAATCTGTGTTGAAAGAGAGTTTTATTGATGCTCATTCAAATTTTTATTTATTTCTTTGGAACTTTTAAGATAAACTGTCGTGTTGTTATTTTCGTTTTCATCGTCTATTGATTTGGTGATCGAATTATTAAGTATACCATATTGGTTCAATCGTATCGTTTTAAAGATAGATTTGCCAAACTCGATAGGAAATTGTTGATCTGTTCGAAACCGCTTTTATTCGATCACCTAGTTCTTATATTAATAAGATGACTTTATACTGAATGTTAGCTTGATTTTAATTTTTGCTAATGTACAATCCTAGGTTGTAGCTACCATGCCTTCGTGGATCAACACTGACGAGGGTATGATATACTACCACTTCTCTCAATCCGGTATTATTGTCAAAGTTGTCAACATTTCTGGTAGCTCCTTCACTTCATTCCAGAAAAATGAAGATCTGCCTGGGATCTGTAGACAGTTCAACCCTCAGCTCAATCTATCTGAAAATGGCATCGTGACGATTCTCAGAGACGCATTTTCAAACCCCACCAACTTGAAGGTAGTGGATGCCGTGTTGAAGGTGTCCACATCTATTGAAAAGTTAAAGTTCTCCTGGTCGTTTGGGTGGCAGTTTGAACTATCTCCCTGCGTGAATACTATCGAAGAGGTTTTCAATCCTATTTGGAACTCAATGATGTTATTGATTGAAGAAAAGAATACTCTGATATCTTTAATGAAGAAAAAAGATAAAGAGATTGCAGAATTTAAGTCGCTCGGTATCACTCTGTCGAAGAAATCAAAAATTTCTGCCCCTTATGACCCTGCCAAAACTCTTAAGAACATCATTGTTCCTGTTCAATCGACATCACAGATTCTATCTAACCAACAATTCAAAGAAGTGATTTCAAAGTCATATGAAACTCGGAATGCTTCAGCTGCAAGTTCACCGTGTAAAAAGAAGAAAGTAGTCGCTCAAGTCGGTATTACCTTTGAGGACAGCCAGTCTCAACCTGATCAAGTTTTCACTGATGCCGATATTTTCACGTCAGATACTTTTAAATCAAAAGAGGAGCAAGAGGATGATGTTAAAGTTGAAAATGAGGTTGATGAAGACAACGGTATATCTCATGATTTGAAACCCGCTGTTCCAGTTGTGAAACGGAAAAAGGCTAGACGTTTGTAACGAGGTGTTAAAATGGTTTCTTAGATCACCAGGTAGGATCTGACTTTATTTTTTTAAATGACTTGATTTTCTTACAAGATTAAATAGTAATAACTTAAACGTAGGATTCAATAAGGTCTTATAAGTTATAGAACAAGGAATCTTAAATAGGTGTTGTAATTCTGCTATAGTGACCCTGTGTAGCCAATGTGTGGAGTTTTGTATACTTCATGCTGACAAAGAAACCGCACAAATTTGTTAGATTGCATTTAACTTCCTTCTTCTTACCCTAATAAAGCATAATTAAGTTAAACTGAGAAATTTTAAGATCAAGCTTCCGTGTAAATACCCAACGATTCCCTATCACTGACCGAATTCCTCATTTCAGGATCACGAAAAAGATTGTCACAAGCAAAAACACGGACTATTCCTGCAGCTCTTCACAAGGTTTGAATACTATCATGTTAATTGTAATTTGTGTCGTTGTGTGTAAGTCACAATGTTGGTGGTTAACTTAGTAAACTGGTAAAGCTAGAATCTACATTCCTATAACAGTAAGGCGATGAAGAGGACACCCATCTCTGATAACAACAGAGATACATTGTTATGTACACTGTAATGTATACTACCATGTACATTACAGTGTACACTGTAGTGTATCTCCTGTAGAAGAGTGGGTTCTGAGCCAGCCTGTGAGGATGAACTTAACATATCTAGTAATGATAAACACTATAAGTGTAGCATTGTGAGATTTAGTTTTCAAGCTGAGGCGGATTTAGTAAAGTGATGAGAATACTGTCCGGTAATACCGGCTCAGTTCTGATTGCTATTTTAGGTTACTTCAGCCCTCACTTTACGTTTTATAAGCGAATTTTAATAAGTATAATACTTTCCAGGCTGTTCACATACCAAGTACCAACTGAAAAAGGCCAGGGTAAGACCGACTGAAGCAGGGATTTATCAATTGCAGCAGGGTAAGACAAACTGGAGTGAGATTCTAGAATATTCTTGAATCTCAGTTCACTCAGATTTACAGAACTTGATGAGGTTCATGATTTTGTTATGAGACTCAAAGCTGACGAGGATACGCTTTTATTCAATAAGGGCATGATAATAATGTTGTTGAGATTTAATGCATCCCAAATTGCACCACATGATCTTACTTCACGCATTTTATGCCAATAAGGCCGCGAATTCTCGTCATGTGATCTCTAAGTTACGATGAGTGGCCTTGCAATAGTCTATATATTCCAGTATGTTCCTGTATTAAAGCTAGTATAGGCTATCCTCTGCTCGCATATTCTAGAAACCGCGGTCCCTCTGTAGCTCTTTGCTTACCTTTATTATAAAAGCGTTCGAGTTTTTCATTTTTACAACTTTCAAATCTCTTTGTGTTGCGGTTCTAAGCTTCTATCCGGTGAAATGGTGCGTATTAACTATTCTGATTAAATTTATTAGTACAATTTTATGTTTGATAATTTGTTACATTTATGTGGTTTTGTTGGTGATATTTTTGTGTACTTAGTGTAAATAATTTTAATTTTTTAGACAATTGAATTTCGTAGCAGTTTTTGTTTGGTATTATATTTAGATGTTACATATGGTTCTGTGTTATGTCGGGTATATGTTGTAAATTTAAAACATTTCATAGATTTATTTTCAAGTTTGAAGAATGAAATGCTTTCGAGTTTCATTTGAAGGTTGTGACATCAGTTTATCAGTTATTCCGGGTGAAAAACAAGACAATATAGGCGAGCTAAAATTATGCATTTTTAATCAAATTATCCGGTCAGTTTATTATAAATAATTCTTATCAGCATACTTTTATTTGAGGCAGTCTAGTTGACACACTTTTCACTGTAATCTTCACATAGACCTGCTCGGGAAAAAAGATGGGGTCGCTGTTAAAAGAAGATGACTCCTGTAACCTGATCCACATGACCAAGTTGGAAGTGTTCAACAAGGAGCGACATATCCGGAACACTGGCTTGATATGCACTATCGGTCCCGCGAGCCGACAGGTAAGGGTTCCTCCTCTTTCAGTGTAGGGTTTAGCCTTTAGGCACCATCAGTATAAATCACTATCATTGAAATTTATAGTCATCACATACTAATAATACTAAATACGTTTTCTCGAGTTTTGGTAGTGTTAAGACTTGTAGACTTAATCATCAACACAGGTCCCTCAACCAGGTACCTGTACTGAAGAGTCTTATTGAAGCTGGACTGAACATTGCTCGTATGAACTTCTCTCATGGTACCCACGACTACCACTCTGCCACCATCGCCAACGTGCGCCAGGCAGCTGAAGAAGCCCGACCCTTTGGTAACAAGCGTCCAGTAGGGATTGCGCTGGACACCAAGGGACCGGAGATCAGGACGGGTAATCTGAAGGGAGCAGGGGAGGGGTACAATGAAGTACTGTTGAAGGCAGGACAGGAGATTGTAGTGTCGTGTAACAAGGATCACTATGCGGAGTGCAGTGATAAGCTGATCTATGTTGACTACACTAACATCGTCAATATCATGGAGGTTCGTTTTAGGCGTTAGATTTGTTTACTTTTGATTTAGCTTATAATTTCCATTATGCGTGTGAGTATTTGCAGACATGACTCCAGTTGAATCATGAATTATAATTCTTGTAATATGATATTATGCAACGGTTTATAGATATCACCACCATTTCGCTATGTTGAGTCTATGTATAGTCCATGTTAGACACTCCCATGACCATGATTGATTCAATAGGCTATATCTTAGCACTGGTTCTCTGGAACTCCTTGGGCCACGCCCTTAGCTAAGGTGTAATCGTATCTGGTTAAACCTTTAAACCCGGGCTTATTCATAATACACCATTCTAATTGTTCTATTTAAAAATATTTATAGTTGAAACAATGTACATGCTGCAATATTTGGATGCAATTTTGACCCTCACAGGTGTTTTTCAGGTCGGACAATTAATCTACATAGATGATGGACTTCTCTCTCTTAAAGTAAAGGAAAAGAAAGACTCGACATCTCTTCTTTGTCACGTCATGAACGGAGGTTGGTGACTCAGAATTATAATAATAATTAAGATCGATATTCGATTAGCATGGCATCCAGAGCGAGGTTCTAAAATGTCTCATCAAGTAGAGCTAGAGCCAACATTCCTTTAAATTTAAAGGAATCTTTAAGACCGAGGAATAACACTAAATGTCAACTTCACAGGTGCTCTGGGGTCTCACAAGGGAGTAAACTTGCCCCACTCTAATGTGGACCTACCAGCCCTCAGCGAGAGAGACATCTCTGACATAAAGTTCGGTCTCACACAGAAAATTGACATGATCTTCGCGTCCTTTATCAGGTACAGCACATAGCAACTTCCTTATTTCAACCTGCTAATATACTATCATTTTCAAAGTCACATTTCTGAGCTTAACGTAGCGTCTTAACAGTTAACACCACAATTCTACCAGGAAGGCTACAGATGTACACTCGATTAAAGCGCTGGTGGGGGAAGAAGGAAAACACATCAAAGTTATCAGCAAGATAGAAAACAAGGAGGGTATTGATAACATTGACGAGGTCATCGAGGCTAGGTAAACATCTATTTTATTCTTCCTAACTGTTCATATTTTCGGATTTTATAAGAAGAATTTTCAGGAAGGAATCGTATGATTTTGTCCCATATTTTCGGTCAAATTTTCCGCGGCAAGGAATTATTGATTATGTTGTAAAGACAATACTATAAAATGAATGTGATAAAGTTTACTGTTTAACATACTTTAACAATGTCTCCTCCTCCCAGTGACGGAATCATGGTAGCACGAGGAGACATGGGCATAGAGATCCCCCCTGAGAAAGTATTCATAGCTCAGAAGATGATAATAGCTAAATGTAACCTAGCCGGTAAGCCCGTTATCTGTGCTACTCAAATGTTGGAGAGTATGACTGTTAATCCTCGTCCTACACGCGCTGAGGCGTCAGATGTTGCGAACGCTGTACTGGACGGTTCTGATTGTGTCATGTTGTCAGGAGAGACCGCTAAAGGAGCCTACCCTCTTGAGTAAGATTATATTAATTTGATTAATGATTATATAGTTTATTCAGAAATAGATGTTGTCTAGTGTCTATTTTATAATTGATGGAGGTGATGAAAGCTGGCACGCAGCACTTACTTTATATCTTCACAATTATACACATAGTGTACACTGTACAATGTCCATGTGTATACACTATACACTATACATGCGGTGCACATAATATTAATAATCTTGGGAATACTGTATCTTCCATGATATCAGCTTTACACATCCCTTCATTTCAGAGCAGTACAAATAATGTCGAACATTTGCCGTGAGGCGGAAGCTGCCTGGTTCAGCAGCCAGTATTTCTTCGATATCAGAAGATTTGGTAATTCTGGGCTTGGAGCTCTGGATCCTTCTACTACTACTAACAGAGTATGCGACTTTTTGTTTCAGTTTAGACCATTGAGCTATCAAGTTTAACATTTAAATCGAGACCTTTCTCATTTAGCGACTAGCGTTGATAATATTGATCTTTTAGGATAATTTATTTCCACACTTTAAGGTCTTGATCATCGTTATAATATGTTGTTAATGAAATAAGTCTAAATTCTAAGACCTAACTGTACTTCTCCCCCAGATTATAGCAGAGGGGACCTGTATCGCAGCAGTAGACGCGAGTTTCGCGATGAACTGCAGTTGTATAATAGTACTGACAACAACTGGAACCACAGCTAAAGTGATGTCCCGGTATCGCCCCATGGCCCCCATCTTGGTGGTTACTAGGAACCCCGTGTGTGCAGCCCAGATCCACTTGTGGAGAGGCTGCTTCCCCATCCACTATCCTGTACCTAGAGAGGAAGAGATGCCGTGGATGGATGATGTGGATAGGAGGGTTAACTTCGCTGTCGCGGTAAGTTGTGGCCCTGTTTTGTCTTCAGTAAAATCTGTATCTACAAAATTCCATCTCTTTTTAAAACTTGGTTAATCTCTCCATAATATAATATCTTGTGTACCCATCAGGCTGGTAAAAGTATGGGTATAATTCACACTGGATCCTCTGTTGCTGTGGTTACAGGCTGGAAGACAGGAGCTGGTTCTACTAACACTCTCCGTATTCTTACTGTGGACGAACAAGGCAACTTCGTTAACAAATACGGATCTAACTGAACATTTGCTGTCATGATGGAATTTGTGCTGTTTAACGTGTTCGAACCGCGTTTATGCCAGCGTGCCGCGCAAGACGTATTTTGTGCATGATTTTTGCTCGATTTTCATAAATTATTAACTTGATTGTTGCATCCTATGTTACCATTATCCTAATAATTTGATTGGGTTCGAATACTCAAATTAAAATTACTATATTTTCGTTTTAGAAAGAAAACTTCAACAATTTTGAATCTTGTTTATTTAGATACTATTTCTGTGACATGTAAATAATTGGAAATATTGAACTGGATTGTCAAATTTGGAGTCTCATTTTAATTGTCATTTAACGAAATTGTCATGAAGTGTCGATTATTAAAACATTTGATAAAGTAAAAGTAAATATTAAATTTTAATAAAAGTATGATATTTATATTATGATACCCTCCTGTCCAGGTATGTCTTCAGAGCGAGAGGTTGAATTCCTCAAACTACAGGAGGAGAGGTTATCAGCGCTGGAGAAGAGGAAAGCTGAGCGCAAAGAAGCTAATCAATCTTCGGAGCAGCTCAATGAATTCTTGAAGGTCTTCTACTCTTTAAAAAGTGAAACTGAGACAGAACTAGAGAAGCTCGGTAAACTGACCAGTGATGCAGAGAAGAAGTCCCATCTGAACTCGGCTCAAACAAAAGTTAACTGTCTCCAAGATTTGTTGAACGACGCACTATCTTATCTGCCTGCATATGACCTACGTAAAAGTCAGGATGCAGTTACCACTATACATGAAAACATTGCTAGGGTTCAACAGGTCATTTTGCCTAAGAAGAAATTCGCGTTTGGTAAAAAGAAAAACGCCGCAGCAAACATTAATGTCACAGAGAAGAAGGCAAATTCAGACAACAAATTCTCAAAATACACGGGTGATGTTATATACGAAAATAAATCAAATGAGACTCTAAATATTCCTAAAAATGAGATTCATAAAAAGGATGTTTTACTGAAAAACCTAACAAACTGCACTGTCAATTTAAAAAGTACAATGGGTACTCTACACTGCACAAACTGTACAAATTGTACATTTTTTGTGGGCCCTATATCTGGCTCGCTGTTCCTTGAAAGTTGCAACGAATCTGTGTATCATGTGACATGTCAACAAGCAAGAATACATACTACACACGCCGCTACATTTTACATTCATGTCACAAGCAAGGCTATTGTTGAGGATTGTAAGGGATTAAAGTTTGGGATAAGGGATCAGTTCTATGAGGGCTATGAGGACGATGTTGCCGAGGCTGGACTGGGTGAAACTAACAATTGGGACGATGTGGACGATTTCAATTGGCTAAGCAAGGATCCCTCGCCCAATTGGAGCACAGTGTAAATTTGTATGGATGAATATGCATGTGAATTTTAGGATTGCTAATTAGCGGTTATTTTCAGTATTTGTGATATGATATTTTAATTTGTATTAACCGATTTGTGTATGTTGTACAGGATTTTGTTCATTTATTTTCTAGATTATGTTTTTTTCCGCTGTACAAAGCGATTTGTACTTATATACAATATTACTTTCTTATGTTTTCAGCCTTCAGGAATATTTTGCAATACGTAGCGATACGTAGCAAACGCCACCTCTTTTACGGGACAGAGTATGAATTATAATAGCTTTTGTACTAGCGGTAATTGTCATTTTGCGCGCTGCGTTCACACTTTTTCATCACCTTCACATCGACGGTTTTGCCCGCACGCGAGCACATTTTAAGCGATTTACTGGCTTGAAACTTGAAAATGTGGAATATTTAATCACCCCTAGAATTAATATTATTATAATCGAATTAATAGAATTCCTTTCATCTAGGCATGGGTTTCAGTGCCTGTCCGATATGTACAGAAGATCTTCAAGACGAAATTGTCACTACGAAATGTGGTCACATCTTTCACGACATCTGCGTGTCTCAGTGGTTGAAGAACAACAGAGCTTGTCCAACTTGCAGATCCCATGCTTCCAAAAGGGAACTTATCAAACTGTTTCTTAATAACTCTGAAGATTCTTTCAGTTTATCTCAAATGCCAGTCGGGGAATTTAACCATGAAGCGCTAGTAAAGTGCCAGAAATTAAATGAGAAACTGAACAAACGCATTGATGACTTGAATGAGATAGTTTCTAATTTGAAATCAGTCACTGAAGAGAAGGAAAAGGAGAATGAGACTCTCCTCTTATCAAAATGTTCGCTAGAAAAGGAACTGAAGAACACCCGCCACACTTGTTCCAATTTGAGAACGAAAATGAAATACATGGCTGAGGACGCGGAGAAAACTAAAAGATTTCAAGAAAAAGCTAAACTTTTGGAACGGGAAATGAGAACTATGAGAGGTTTAAAGGTATGATCAATCTACAGCTTCTGGCGCCCTCTACTCTAAATCAGTGGCGTAACGTTGCCTGTTGGCGCCCCCCTGCCGAAAAAAGCGCCCCCCTGTTGGCGCCCCTCCCCTTTTGGTGCCCCTCCCTAAAATTGAACAAATTAAATGATTTTAAAGAATACGCCGGTAAAATCTCTAAAAAAGTGTGTATCTAGAGCAAAACGCGCAGTTTTGCTAGTACTTTAATTAAGTTTTCGAAATTGTCCCACATTCAAACGACGATTTGGCGCCCCCCTAAGACGGCGCCCCCCTGCACAGCGGGGTCAGCAGGGCCTTTCGTTACGCCACTGCTCTAAATGTTTTTGATTGGGACATGTTTTTCGACCCTTTTTATTTCATTATTATTCTATTTACTGGCTCAACTCGAATGGTCACCTAAGTGATATTTCAGGCTATATTGGAGGGTTCACAATCAGAATGCGAAGAAGTTCTCAGGAATACGACGGATATTGAGACTATGGCCCATCTTATGACAGGTTTCACTAGTTATAATTTACGGTTTCGCCTGAACAGTTGCACCACTTTAATATGACTTTTGTCGTAATTTGTTGGTACCCGAACGTTAACTGATGTCAATTTTCTCAACTGTAGCTTCAGTTAACAATTTCCTCAACAGGTTTAAAGAGAGACTACAATTCTCTGCAAAAGAGCAAGGCGGAAGTACAACAGCAAGCAGAGGAGCTACAACGCAAGGTTTCCTACTCTCGCCTCACGACGCAGGCCCTGCGCGAGGAGTTGGAGGAAATGAAACAGGACAAGCAACAAATCGAACAGGATCTGTCAACCGCTGAACGGAAAAACGAGTCTCTGAGTAAAAAGATTGGAGTATTTGAGGATAGATCCTTGAATAACACTAACTTATTATATGGTAAGATGCTGTTTAAATTATTACTTATATCTGTACTTACTATTTTTGATCGAAATGAATTGTACAATGTACCTGTGATATGGGCGAAAATTGTCTTAATTGACAGTTCCCAACCGTATTCCAAAATTATATACTGATCGTGCTACTATAATCAATCATGTAAATTAAACTGTCCCAGTTTCGAAAAACTCGACGCGGCGTTCCCTGCCTATGGAACAGCAGACTCCAATCCAGATGAATAAGAGGCAGAGGCAGGAGCAGTCAACACCAATACTATTTGACGATGATCTCAGCGAACTTGACAGTAAGTTTCTAATTAACTGATTGTTATCAAATGTATGAAATTCAACATTCTCTAACTGTTCATCTAAATAAGTGGGGGGGGGGGGGGGGGCAACCATATTAAAGTATATTAAAGTATATCCCCGGGTCAAAATCGGAAAAAATCCTACATTTTAATATACTTTAATATACCTACAATTAGAAGATTTATATTCTTCGTTAAGATTTACATGATGAACTATATTTTTCACTCAGATTCGCAAGATAAGCCTGTTTTAGGACTAGTACATGAATTTCCATCCAGATTGGTCAAAAATTGGCTGAGCTATGAGCTTTAAAAAATATGCCCATATTTGGGCATACGCTTTTGCCCAAATTCGCTTTTGCCCAAATCCGATAAAATTTCAATGTTTTTTAATGAGACTAACTCTATGTGAAAGATATAACTCAGTGTTTGTTGAATATAGTGGATACTAAGTAAAACGACCTCCATGAACAAAATTGGGAAAATTGCACATAATATCTCTGTTCGGAATACTAGCCAAAATGACTTCATTAAAATTGAAATAACTCCATCAGTTTTCAATATTTTTTCAAGAACTTTTTGGAATCGATTAAGAATTGCATTTCAAGCTTATTTTGGGTAACAATTTTCGATGTAGGCCTCCAAGGATAGGGATATATTGAAGTATATTGTAGGTATATTAAAGTATATTAAAGTATATCCCCGGGTCAAAATCGGGAAAAATCCTACATTTTAATATACTTTAATATGGTTGGGCCCCCCCCCCCCCCCCCCCCCCCCCCCCCATAAGTGGCCAGTCCTTTAAAGGTTTACCAACTTCCATGAGTTTTTGGTAGAACTCTGTTGTCAAACACAGCTATTTCAGAACAGTTCGAGGCTGAACTATCTCGAGACGATGATCTGGACAGACTAGCAGCTGAACTGGGTGTAGACATCAACATGGCCACTACTCCTGGCAAAGCTGAACTTAAGACTAAGGACGTAAAGGAGGACAACTTGTTTACTAAAGTTGGGTTCGATGGGTTAGGGGGGACTACTCGCATTAGGAAGAATCTACGTGAGTTCAAACTTCAAGTTAATTTATCTTATTTTTAATAATTTTCATTCATCCTATTATATTTGTCTCGTACAGCTACAGATACTGCTTAGGTGCTTGATGTTGTAAAGGCATTTGTTTTCTCACCGGATAACTTTATATTATATTGTTTCAGCTCCTCCGAGGTCGATATTTGCGAAGCAGCATAAAACCTCTGGACCTTCTCTCGCCAGATCTACAACCCTTGGAAACTTCTTCAGAAAATTGTAGCACTTGCTGCCCTATGTAAATTTTAATTCAGTAATATTTTAATAATCTTGTGATGTATTAAATGTATATTATTATTAACAGAGTTTGCTAAATTTCAGCAAATCTGGTATTTGGATAACTAAAATTTTATAAATTACATACGATCGTATGTTTACATAAACGGAAATTATTTTCATTTCAATTTTAATTGTAAATCTCATTATTACTCATAACCATTATTATCTGTTTTTGCTTCGGTTCTTATTTACATTTCCATTATCCTCCTGAGTATTACTGCACAAAATATTTGTTACCTTGAGCTAATATATATATTATGGTGCAGTGTTAATTATATACACTTTAGCTTATTTTAATGAATCATTTCACCATATTACCCTAATAATTATTATTTAAGTATGTCTAACAATATCTAATTATTATAGTTGCCATGGGTATCGATATTGTCCATAAGAAGGACCGTAAGGTACACCGAAAGGAGCCTAAGTCCCAGAATGTCTACCTCAGACTACTGGTGAAACTCTACCGCTTCCTCAGCAGGAGAACTACTGGAGGAAACTTCAACCAGGTCAGTTTGTGTATTAAATATTTATTTAACTTTCTAGGTTTCTTTTTCAATATTCGAAGAGTGGATATTCTCCATTATAACCTTCTTAACCAATATATAATAAGATGCAACCAATATATAATAAGATGCATCGCCTGCCAGACTCATGACTGTCAGAGTTTGGTATTTCAAACAATATTAATGATTAAAGTGCTTACTCACCTTTTCTGGGGAAATCTTAGATTGTACATTATTGTCAAATAATATAAATTTTCAAGTGTCCATTTTGAAACGCAAGGAAAGCTTTTAAAGCGTATCGTTAATCGACATTTTCCATCTAATTTTCATTTTGAGTTTTTGGACTGATGTCACTAAACGTCAAACTAGATCCCTTCCCAGGGTTACCTGGTTCTTCGGTAGATTTGGGTTGACAGACATCACCACTTATTATGTGTCTACATTCGTGGTGCATTAATTGCAATGTGCATTCCTTATGAACCTTATATTGACTTGGGACTTCGCCTCCGTGGGGATCCATCAACCAATGCAGCTCCGCAAATATCGTGCGATATTGCAGATTACGCATCGTCAGTTCCATGAATATTGAAATTAGTGTGTCTAAAATATTAAGAATATTCGGGCACTGGAAATATTAGATTAAATACTGACATGTTCTTTGTTAAATATGAAACACAAGGAAATTCCTTGTTACTGAAATTATTGTAAAATAATTCGAAATTCATCTGTTTGTATTTGTTTATAGACTTTTTGGATTGATGTCATAACTGTCAGCTCGGTCCCTACCCAGGGTTACCTGGTTCTAAGGTTGATTAGAGCTGGCAGGCATCATGACCACTGGTACTAAGAAAAACCTGCTTCTGTTAGACTGACCGGCACAAAACTTCGTAAGAACGCTTCGTCTTGACTCTGCAAATTGTATTTTGACAAAATACAATAAATTGTGAAATTGAACTGTCCTTTTTTGGATCTACCGACACCTATAAGAGTATTAACGGACAACGATTATTATAGAAATTATAGAAATTACCATTGTCTTTGATGGCCTTGGCGCCTCCGCCCCGGAGTGCAAATATTAAACAAGATCACGCGGAGGTTACAGTATAAATTTTCGCCATTTGTTCTAACCACTCATATCCCAGGTGATCCTGAGGAGACTGTTTATGTCAAGACAAAACCGTCCGGCTCTATCCCTGGCTAGGATTACCAGACAGATGAAGAGCAGAGGTGATAAAACAGTTGTGGTTGTAGGAACCGTAACTGACGACAAGCGTATCTTCGAGGTGAGGATATAATCAATTAATGGAGTTACATTTTCAGTTTCATCCTCCTGCACCCCTGCGTTACAAGTTGATATCGCTTTTCATCAGAGATATGTCGGTTGGGTGTCGGTTCTTACAAGATTCTTTTAAAGTGCCTGATTTTATTAAAGCTCATCATTTAAACCTCCTCTTAGGTACCTAAACTGAGAGTCTGTGCCCTGAGGGTTACTGAAGGAGCCAGGACCAGGATTATCAAGGCTGGTGGAACTATCATCACATTTGAGCAGCTTGCAGTGGAGTCACCACTCGGCCAAAACACTGTGTTGATGCAGGTAACATTGAGCATCGCTCCCCTACCGTCCGGTTACTATGGCAACAGTAATCAAGTGACATCGGGTCGATTGGATGCGAGTCCTCGAAAGAGGGCGTCTTACTTTGTTTCATCAGTTGTCCGTAGTTTTGAATTGTCAAATAAGCAGTTTAGTTCACTATTTTCATGACTGTTTGAATTGTGCCGACCACACAAAGAAATCGTGAATGGAAGCTTTTCAAGTATCGAGTTCTAACAAATCTTATAACCAGGGACGAAGAAACGCCCGAGAAGCTAACAGGCATTTCGGAGCTCCAGGACTGCCCAAGACACATGCTAAACCATTTGTGAGGCTTAGGAGCAGGAACCACGAGATGGCAAGAGGCAAGAGGAAGAGCAGAGGTTACAAGGCCTAAATGTGCTTTCATGCTTTTTTATTGAATTCTAATTTGAATTTTTTAACTTAAAGTTGTTGTTTCAATTTGTCCCCCCGTTAACAATGTTCGCTCCTACTAAATCGGGTTTATGTAAAACCGTTTTGTACGGCTGCAAAACCATACAAATTAAAAACCAAAGTCACGTGAAATTTTTGGGCGAGCGAATTAGTAAAAGCCCTAACTCTAATATAAGTATCACGTGGCCACGATACAGCCGCGCGCTCGTGCGCGGCAGGTTTACAACGTATGACAAGTCAATCCGTAGCAACTCTGCGAGGCCCAGTGGTGCATTTCCAATTTCGCCGATCTAGTGGTTGCGAGAAACATTATTCGATTTGCGACGCGGCCCATTACACTTACTACAGGAGGACCAGAGTGCAAAATAACTGCTGCAATCGCGCGCCGTTTGCAGCAGTTAGTACATAGTAGCAGTTGAGCGCGACGTGCGTTGCACAGTAAAGACACTCATAATAGGCGCTCCTACTAAATCGCTCGCCCAAATTTTAAGAAAATTCTTGTGAAAAGGCCCTTCAGGCATGAAAGTGATCTGAATCGGTGTATTTTTGGACGCTGATTCCGAATCACCCCCCATGACGTAGGGTTAAAATGCTTCCCTGGAGAGTTATGGGCAAAAAACCGTTTTGGTCACGTGTGACGTGACAGGCTAGTAATACGTGAATTCGATTATTTAGGGCTCGGGTTAGGGTTAGGGTTGTGGTTAAGATTATGGATAGATTCGGGGTTATGGTTAGGGTTGGGATTAGGGTTTATGTAAAACCGATTTTTACGGCTGCAAAACCAAAAAAACCAAAGTCACGTGAAATTTTTGGGCGAGCGATTTAGTTAGAGCCCATAATAGGTAGTGCGCCATCGACGGTGAGCCGCGCGTGCCGACTGTAGGATGATTTTTAAGCGCTAATTTCGGCCAGCACAAAATTCTTGAATCAAATGCGTATTAAGTAACCTTCCCTTGGTCCAATTTTAAAAAAAATTGGTTAGCTTACTCATAAACTTACAAGGAAAGTGTGCGAAAAATTTAAAGCATATCCAACCATCAAACATTATTTTACTGCTCCTACTAAATCGCTCGCCCAAATTTTAAGAAAGATCTTGTGAAAAGGCCCTTCGGGCATGAAAGTGATCGGAATCGGTGTATTTTTGGACGCTGATTCCGAATCACCCCCCATGACGTAGGGTTAAAATGCTTCCCTGGAGAGTTATGGGCAAAAAACCGTTTTGGTCACGTGACAGGCTAGTAAAATACGAATTCGATTGTTTAGGGCTCGTGTTAGGGTTAGGGTTGTGGTAAGGCCAAGGGTTATGGTTAGCTTCGGGGTTATGGTTAGGGTTAGGGTTGGGATAAGCGAGCGTGCTAAATCACTCTACAGTCGATCTTCGAAATTTTTCTAAAAGGCCCCCCGACAGTTGAGACCAACATCATTCGATGTATTTTCGGACGCTGATTCCGAATCACCCCCCATGACATAGGGTTAAAATGCTCCCCTAGCGAGATATTGGCGAAAAACTGTCTTGATCACGTGATATGACCATATACGGAAGTTAGTCTAATTTCTCGTTGGGGTTAGGGTTTCAGCATATGCTTTTGTTAAAGATTGCATTGGGTTAGGGTTAGGGTTGGGATCAGATTAGAGGGCTATGATTTCGAATAGTCATTCAGGGCCACCAAGAGAACGTATTTAAAAAGTCACGTGACAGTCGAGTGTAGAGTGATTAATCATCATCCTGGGATAAGGGTTTATGTAAAACCGTTTTGTACGGCTGCAAAACCATAAAAACCAAAGTCACGTGAAATTTTTGGGCGAGCGAATTAGTAAGAGCCTTATTTTACAGCTAAAAGCAGCGTATATTTGCCCCATTTTCATTACTATCAACTCCGATATCCACCAAATTTTTTCCCGATCCATGACTCAAAGTGCCGAAGGCACAAAAGAGTCAAGGACAAGGGTTAGCGAACGAGGTTTTTTCTTTGTATATGGTAGCTTTCGTCCGTACCAGCGAGCGTTTAACGGGTGATACTCGTTAAATATCTGTTCCATATACAGGACCGTCGACGAGTCCAACTCGGCGCGCGTCCTGGTAGGTTGTAAACCTACAATTGTGCACCCCTACGCATAAAACTGCTACTAACTCACAACTGCTACTAACTGCTGCAAACGGTGGGCGCGATTGAATTGCAGCAGTTAGTAGCAGTTATCAGCAGTTTCTTTGCACTATAGTCCTCCTGTGAGTAGTGCATCTGGCATCGCGCTATAACATATAAGAAAATGACCATAAAAGGAAGTTGGTTGTTGGTATGACTTCTCGTTAGGTTTAGCCTTAGGGTTTCAGCAAATGATTCAGCTAGGGATTGAGTTAGGGTTAGAATTGAGATTTGCTACACGTTGCAACTTGCAAGCTTTTATCGTACACTCCGGCCGGCGAGAAGGCCTTTTGTGGCCGCCGCGCGCTTCGCGCGAAAAGGGGTTACATATACAACGTGTATTAATGATCAAGTTGAGACCAGATAAGAGGATTAGGGCCAGGGTTTCGAATAATCATTCAGAGCCACCTAAAGGAAATGCTTAAAAAATCCGCTTCCACTAAGGGGTTGTAGGTTTACAACCTACCAAGACGCGCGCCGAGTTGGACTCGTCGACGGTCCAATATATGGAACAGATATTTTACGAGTATCACCCGTTAACTAAGGGGTTGTAGCGCGATGCACTACTGGGTCGCGCGCGCATCAAATAATGCTTCTCGCAACCACCTTAAGCAGATCGGCGAGATGCGAAGGATTGACATCGTCAATCAAACTAAGGGGTCGTTCACATATTACGAAATCATTTTTTGGAACATATTTGCCCCCCCCTCCGTTATCAGTTTTACACATAGCTATTGTGTCAAAATTACACTAGCGTAATCATTCGGAAACCCCCCCTCAGCTGATTTCGTAATATGTGAACGACCCCTAATTGCTAATATAAATTGCACGCCCAAATTTTTGAAATATTCTTGTGAAATGTGAAAAAGTCCTATACTACTGAGGGTATAAAAGTATTTTGAGTGAGTGAGTATGTGTATATTTTTACGCTGATTCCGAATCACCCCCCATGACGTAAGGTAAAAATGCTTTGGTCACATCACACATGACAGGCTTACCTGGGGACCTCAGTCTATCATGTTCATAAACATAGAGATTCGGCGTAATGACAGGCTGAGCGCGGCCCAGTAAATGACAGGCTAGTTAAACACGAATTCGATTGTTAAGGGCTCGGGACCTGACTCCAACCTCAGTTTTAAACTAATTACAACCGCGCTCACTAAAACTACGAAAACCACCTCTATCTGTTCCTAAAATCTATCTGGTCCATCTCTGTCTTTGTATCGGCGATTTTAACTGCCACTCGGCAGCTATCATCAAACCAGCTTCATTCTCAACCTTTCTATCGTACCAAAACCGAAAACACTATGTTTTGGGGTCGTGTCAGCCAGCAAGCTGCTCGCAGCGCCCCGTTTCAAATTACCTTATCAGACCTCATTAGCTATTTGTCAAACGCAAGGAAAGATCTTGCTCCATACTATGAGGTCCCTCAATCTGACTCCAACCTCAGTTTTAAACTAATTACAACACTACAAATCTATTACATTTATTGAGGTAAGATTAAGTTCCAATGTGTAACAGGTTCTCTTTCGAGTCCTGGATCACTCTTTTGGTAAGCCTTCCACCATGGAGGGCTCTAATGAAAACAACAAACTCTAAAAACTACGAAAACCACCTCTATCTGTTCCTAAAATCTGGTCCATCTCTGTCTTTGTATCGGCGATTTTATTGGCCACTCGGCAGCTATCATCAAACCAGCTTCATTCTCAACCTTTCTATCGTACCAAAACCGAAAACACTATGTTTTGGGGTCGTGTCAGCCAGCAAGCTGCTCGCAGCGCCCCGTTTCAAATTACCTTATCAGACCTCATTAGCTATTTTGTCAAACGCAAGGAAAGATCTTGCTCCATACTATGAGCTCCCTCAATCTGACTCCAACCTCAGTTTTAAACTAATTACAACACTACAAATCTAATACATTTATTGAGGTAAGATTAAGTTCCAATGTGTAACAGGTTCTCTTTCGAGTCCTGGATCACTCTTTTGGTAAGCCTTCCACCATGGAGGGCTGTAATGAAAACAACAAACTCTAAAAACTACGAAAACCACCTCTATCTGTTCCTAAAATCTGGTCCATCCCTGTCTTTGTATCGGCGATTTTAACTGCCACTCGGCAGCTATCATCAAACCAGCTTCATTCTCAACCTTTCTATCGTACCAAAACCGAAAACACTATGTTTTGGGGTCGTGTCAGCCAGCAAACTGCTCGCAGCGCCCCGTTTCAAATTACCTTATCAGACCTCATTAGCTATTTTGTTAAACGCAAGGAAAGATCTTGCTCCATACTATGAGGTCCCTCAATCTGACTCCAACCTCAGTTTTAAACTAATTACTACCCTACAAATCTATTACATTTATTTAGGTAAGATTAAGTTCCAATGTGTAACAGGTTCTCTTTCGAGTCCTGGATCACTCTTTTGGTAAGCCTTCCACCATGGAGGGCTGTAATGAAAACAACAAACTCTAAAAACTACGAAAACCACCTCTATCTGTTCCTAAAATCTGGTCCATCTCTGTCTTTGTATCGGCGATTTTATTGGCAACTCGGCAGCTATCATCAAACCAGCTTCATTCTCAACCTTTCTATCGTACCAAAACCGAAAACACTATGTTTTGGGGTCGTGTCAGCCAGCAAGCTGCTCGCAGCGCCCCGTTTCAAATTACCTTATCAGACCTCATTAGCTATTTGTCAAACGCAAGGAAAGATCTTGCTCCATACTATGAGGTCCCTCAATCTGACTCCAACCTCAGTTTTAAACTAATTACTACCCTACAAATCTATTACATTTATTGAGGTAAGATTAAGTTCCAATGTGTAACAGGTTCTCTTTCGAGTCCTGGATCACTCTTTTGGTAAGCCTTCCACCATGGAGGGCTCTAATGAAAACAACAAACTCTAAAAACTACGAAAACCACCTCTATCTGTTCCTAAAATCTGGTCCATCTCTGTCTTTGTATCGGCGATTTTAACTGCCACTCGGCAGCTATCATCAAACCAGCTTCATTCTCAACCTTTCTATCGTACCAAAACCGAAAACACTATGTTTTGGGGTCGTGTCAGCCAGCAAGCTGCTCGCAGCGCCCAGTTTCAAATTACCTTATCAGACCTCATTAGCTATTTTGTCAAACGCAAGGAAAGATCTTGTTCCATACTATAAGGTCCCTCAATCTGACAGTTGGGTATGTTAGGGTTGTGGATAGCTTCGGGGTTACGGTTAGGGGTTATGTAAAACCGTTTTGTTCGTCTGCAAAACCATCTGAAGTGACGTGATTTTTGGTTGAGCGAATTAGTAAGAGCCTGACGAATGATATGCAGCTAAATTTATTCTTAACAACGGTCAAAAATGTGGTCCCATTTGAATCACTGATTGCATGATGTGATTATAGATCCGCCCAGTTATAGACATGTTATTGTTAGATATAATTGATAATATTCCACAATAAAACCAGATATTCCATTGTGACAACAAAGATTTTACATAGTAATAAACGCAGAGGCTACATTGATTTGCTAAACACATCATTGTATTGTTGATAAAAATAAAACAAACAATCAAATCTTAATGATAACCCGAATTTATGGAAGCCCTTTTCGGTCAATTGATGACATATCAACATGTTGGCTGTATTAAAAGCTTAACAGCTAATCTTTAAGATCCATGATCAACTTTGACTTTCGAGTTTCTCCAATAAAATTAAGTTAAGTATTAAACATTTTAAAATTAGAGTTTCAACCTCAAACAAAATTGTCTCAGATCGGTATTATTGGAAAAGCATGTTTAGAAAACTTGATTGATAGTTTGTATTCAAAAATTGCAGCCAACCCAGCACAATCATTGCAAGAAGCTTTAAATATTCGTTATTAAATTATATCAATAAAATCTGATAAAAATATAACTGTAAGTACGTATGACGTAGTTGCGTCCTCGAAGAATACATACTCTTTAATATTCCGAATTTTATCCAATTATGTTTATAATCGAAGCTCACAAGAGACCATATAAAATTAGCTACTCTTATTTCGTCAATCAATGACTAACGTTCAAATACAGCATGAATAATGGTGTAATTCAATAGAATCAAAAGAAAGAATCATTTCATACATATATCCTTACTCAGAATGCTAATTAAATATCGTTCTACTTTATTGACGTCAAAACATAGTTTTACCGTTTGTCGCCGTGTTATAGTTTCACGACACAGATGTTAATTCTATCCTTTTTAAATAAAAATTCGGTCGCGTATTAAGATTCTAAATATTTATGGAAAAGTCAAAAAACAAATTACAATATGGTTTTCGTAGTGAAAATAGATTATTTACTATCACACTAAATTAAACCGATTATCCCGACTGATATCATGATATGCCAAACAGCTCAGTTCCAAAGTCTCCTCCTCGAATCACACCTCAGTCTCCACACCAGATGTGTTTATCTCGTTTGAGCTGCGTGAGAGAGCCCTCTGACCACCTCCTCCTAGCCTGGCATTCTCTAAACTGTACCGCATATCTGTAGGCTCTGAAGACTGTCTCTCATGATGCACCTCAGCGTTCTCGTCTATAGTAAGCTCCATTGAGGTCCCAGAGAAAGGTCGTTCTCGTGGGAAGCGAGTGGGAGGTGACAGTGTGCCTGGTAGAGGTGGAGAGAGAGTGCCGGGAAGGGGTGGAGACAGGGTACCAGAGGGGGGAGGTGAGACAGCCGGTGAGATGAAGGGAGGGGACATGGAGGGTGGGGACACAGAGTAGGACCGGGGAGATCTGATATTGGGGTTGTAGTTCAGGGCTGGAGTGGATCTGGACGTCTCCTTCTTTCCCATTCCACCTGACACAGACGGTTCTCGTTTAGGAACAGGGGGAGGTTCTCTTCTAATGGCATTGCTGTTCTGGTCTCCACGAAGCAGGGCCTGAATACTGGTCTGATGAGGATTGTTTTTTGGCAGCCGTGTTTTCTGTTTGAATGAGTTGATAGAGCTAGTGGAGCCGTAGCGATCATTGCTGGCAAACAGATCCCTCACATCGGCTCTCTGGCTTCGTTGGTGCTGGAAACTCCTGCAGCTGCCTCCGAATGTGGAGTTGAAGTGGCTTACAGGTGGCATCATACTGGTGGAGGCAGCGTGGCCCACTGACCTGGACTCGTGACCTCTCTGCTTTAACCCTGCCTCATTCCTCCTGTCTTCAGACTGCACTCTCAGAGCATCACTCTCACTCCTGGTGGTACTAACCCCCTCTCCTGGTTTCAGAGACTCGCTCTGGGATGACAGGGTGTCGTCTCCACTATCCTCACTGGAGGTCTCCTCAGACTCGTACGGTGTGTCGTCCTGCTCTCTGGTGGGAGGAGAGTGCCGGTACCGGTCCTTGTAGCCGTCAACAGACCTGGTCTGGAACTGGCCTGACCGGTATTCTGTTGAATTGTACCGGTCGTAGTAGTCTTGAGACCGGGACCTGTTGACAGTCAGATCAACTGAGCTGTAATTGCTGTGCATCTTCTTCAGATCCCCACTACGTCTGTTTGCCTGGTTGTTGCTGGGATCTGTCTTTTCTTTGGGTGAGTCCTGTTGGAAGTTCAACATCTCCCTGTTTGAGTCGAATATGATACCAACCGGACGCTGAGGTTTGGGAGGTGGAGGAGGTGGAGACACTAACCTAGATTCCAGAGATATACCAACTGGTTCTGATTTTGTAGATAGCTCGGACTCGTAGGTGTTGTGTCGGCTATCCTGATAACCAGAGTCTGAGTCCAAGGAAGAGCCCCGAACAAATACACTGTTATCAGACTCGTTAGTTTCCCGTCTGGTCTGGTAACTGTACTCGTTGACCTGGGAATCATAAGCAGAGATTATAGATCCACAGTGGGCTCTGGGAGGGATAGGAGGGGAGAGGACGGACCCCTCGCTGCTGTAACCACAAGACTCGTTACAGCTAGGTCCATGGTGCTGGCAGGTCTGAGGGGGGTCGTCTGGCTTTATCTCCGGAGAGTAGTTGTTCCTGTTATCAGAGTTACAAAGGCTAGAGAGGTTATACATCTCTTTACACTCCACCACGTCGGAACAGAATGATAACAGATTAGAGAAGTACGAGGATAAACAGAAGTCAACTATTGGCTCGCAATAAAACTCGGCAAAATCATTGATTCTGTTGTCCAGAGCTTTGCGTTTGTTCTTTAGACAAGTCACCCGTTTTCCAGACTCCACAATAACTGAAGTAAACTGTAACTTGACGTCTTTAGAAGCCTCCACCAGCAGTGCACGGATCTCCCTCAGCTGTAGCTCTGTTTTGTGGATCTCCTCGTCAAACTGTAGGATAGTTTGTTTTTTGCACTCTTCCAGCTCCTCAACCAGTTCCGATAGGAAGTCTAGAGTTTCCGGGTGGGTTTTAGCAAGAGATTGAGTCAAGAAGTGGAGAAGGGTTAGAGCAGGTTGTCTAGGTGCCCTCATCGTCTTCAGCTGCTGCAGAGCGCCAAGTTTGAAACCGTGAACTATCGAACCATCGTTTAGAGTATTCCCTATATCCAGGACCAGCTTTAGTAAGTCGAAGAAGGGACAGTTGAGGTCAAGAAGGGATTTTATCACACTGGAATAATGATTCTCACATTTCTCCAGACCTTCCAAGGTTTTGGGGATATCAATGTGGCCAAGCATGCATTTAAGCCGGGTCTCAAATTCAGGTATCCGAGATATGGAGACGAGAAGAAGCTCCGAGACATCCAGAGCTGCCAGATCACCATTATACTCGGACAGGGCGGACATCAGAGCTGGGTCACGCGGTATTATTAGGGCAAGTCTGCGGAGAGCTGTCTCTGAGATAACGGTGGTGTCTCCTTCAATCAGGGCATTTGTGAGGAGTTCCACTGCACACTTCCTGTTACTGTTTGAGTCTATGGATGCGAGGAGTAGGTTCAAGGATATTGCTTTCTCCTCAGATATGTATCGTAACTGAAAATTTTACTGGTAAGATCTAAAAATTATCAACGAATATCAGCAATTAAGAATCGAACCACAATAAAACTACTAGAAAGCAACCTATCTAAAATTCATCGTTTCACAAAACTCACCTTAGCCTTATTAGGATTTCCTTGGAAAAAGTAGTTCCTTATATTGCGAACATTAATCTTGTTCTGACAGAGATTGACTCGAGCCCACACGCTGTGCTCTAGTGCAGTCTCAGAGGAGATCTCTCTCCAGTCTAAACTCTGCGGAGGAGCGTCACATTCCGGGGACTCAGGAGGTTCTGAAATAGTACAGGTCAGCTCGCTGCAATAAACTAGTTTTACTATAAACTTTCACTAACCTCGATACGACCAATCAACATACAATCAGCGACGTATTTTTATTTCTTGTAGCATGACAAAGTTATTTCAACGTACCAGGGAAGCGGGTTTTGTCATCAGTGTGGATTTCGTCACTACTCCTTGACTCCTTGAAGACACCCTGTGTAGTACGAGGGCCAGAAAGCGCGTCTATAGCCGCACTCCACAAATCTGAAGTGTCCACTGTGAACAACAGCTTCTGGACTATCTTCAGCAGATCGTTGGAGCGAGGCGTCTTTGCTATCTGGTGGATATTTTAGTAGTGAAATCTACGATAACAATATGACCCTAGGTAAGCTGTTGTGAAAGATCAAAGAAACTAATGTTTTTACCTCGTTCCGAGACATCATAATTCAATTTTGGAGAGAGTGGATAAACTGTTTGGAATGTTTAAAGATAAACAGAAAAGTACCCTTACCTTTTTCCATAGAAGGGTGAACATAGCGGAGGGATCGTTGACATCTATAGATGTAGCAAGTTTCGTCTCATCTTTTGCCTTCTGTTCATAGAAATGAACAATTTGTTGCGCCACTGAGCCATCTTGAGTGTTTCTCAGCATTCTCAGTACTTCTAACAGGCCAAGTGCTGGAAAATGATACTATGATAATCGATAGTGAAGTTTTTAATGACAAACCGGTTTGAAATCATGTGGGAAATGAATTTCACAATTTTTGGTAAATGCGCGCCGCGTGGCCCGTCTTATAATTGAGCACGGAGCGCTTTCATTATCACAAAATTTACGATAGACGGATTTTCAATTGGTGAGCGCGCGCGATAGCTTAGCTAGTTGCTATGCTGGTGTCATCGAGTCAATTTAGTCTTTAGTCCCATGAGCGGAAACTAAACATTTCAATTTTCAACATAACGTCCCGTATTTGGTTTCATTGATACTATTTTATCTAGATGTTGTCAATGTCGCTGGGTGGTACAATAATGCAATGATTCATGATGAGACATTGGAGATCTTCTATACCGTATTAAATTTCTACCAAATATAATTCAGAAGCTACTGAAGTGCATTCGAAATTTAAAAGACTTCCTCAAAGTTTAATGACTTCCTCAAAATCAACAAAATATGATTGGCTTAAATGCTCAGATTTGCAAATAATTACCATTTTCGGCGATTTACCACTTATGATTTGCGTCACAACGTCTACAAAACGAATGAAGGTTCGAGATTTTTAAAGACTCACAAAAAAGCTCGACATAGTTTCGAAGTAAAATAACCTCCAGCCTTCATATCAAATCCATTCGTTCAGCAAATGTGAAGATTAAGTAAAATCTTACCGATTATTTCGTTTCTGAGATCTATTCTTTTATCAGGAAGAGTGGACCGGTCGATGAGACAGTTAACGAAGTTTAGTAGAGATTTCTGATATTCTACACTCTCCGTTCTACGAAGATCTTCAACCAGCACTATGAACCGATAAGATACATGTTCCGTTTTCTGAGGAGATCGTTATAAGAAAAGTGTTATTTCTACATCTTAATAATAAGTGGTAATTTTAATTTGATTAAAAACACTCAAAAATGTCATATACTCTCTTTGTGTAATCTCAGCCTAAACGCTCCATAATTCCATCTAACCTTATCTTATATTTCCTTAGATATGCTTTATTTTATTTATTAGTGGAATAAGTAAATAATTTATGCAACAAGATAAGGGATATATATATAACGTGGAGCCTACTTATCCATTTCAAAGTTTAGATCTCAATAAAGGGGATATTTGCGCGGTGTTACACTTGTGTCATGACGTGTAAAGTAGGAATTTCAGGTATGCGATTCTCCTGATTCGTTATGACATAGCCAAATTTGCCGGAGTCAAATTTCCAAGTAAGTAAAGTTAGTCCTTAAGACTGTGGACTGTAATATCTAGATTCAAAGTCGGTGTATTTCAGTTAACTTCGAAGGATAAGACCAGACACTTAGAACTAGATAGGTATTACAGTAATACCCCGATACTGTAATCTAGGTAAACTATAGGTAAAAATATAATATTAATCATAAGCTAAAATGTACTAATCTTTGTATTCTAAATGGGGAAAAGAAGAAACATTGTCAGTCAGTCGAGAAAATTGTCAGTAAGAGTATCAGAAAGAGATAAATACACTGATAGCTCGATAAGTAACGAGTTTGTTTATTGAAACACAAGCTATTATAACACTGCATATATATTCAACAAAGAGCCGGCCCTATAATGAATTTATGCAGCGTGTATTATACTGTTCACGCATTGTACTTGTAATGTACAAGTCGTAACTAGAGGCTCTCACAGCACTCAATACACAACAACAATAATTCAATCATGTGTGTTACTGTGTGGAGGAGTAAACACTTAACATTTAACTATTCATCACATTCAATATTATATCTTCAACAGAGGTTCTTGAGATCAAGCTTGATCATTTTGTAACGATTAAAGGTTGGTCTTTAGATGGAACTTTGCACTTAGACCGAAAACAAACTCATTTCTCAACAGAAGCATCAAGCATCATCCACATTTGACTTTCCATGATCAAGAGGCCTGCATATCGCATATTTAACAATAGACATAAGACATTATTGCAGAGTAGACCGATCTATAAATAAGCTGCATTAAAACAAACAGTCTGCTAGTTAGAAAGTAGAAACTGAAAATACGTTACCTGGACGTTACCTTGAAATAAGAGAAAGAGAAAGTATAAACTAAAGTTTACCTTGAAATAAGAGAAAGAGAAAGTATAAACTGAAGTTTACCTTGAAATAAGAGAAAGAGAAAGTATAAACTGAAGTTTACCTTGAAATAGGAGAAAGTATAAACTGAAGTTTACCTTGAAATAAGAGAAAGTATAAACTGAAGTTTACCTTGAAATAAGAGAAAGAGAAAGTATAAACTGAAGTTTACCTTTAAATAAGAGAAAGTATAAACTGAAGTTTACCTTGAAATAAGAGAAAGAGAAAGTATAAACTGAAGTTTACCTTGAAATAAGAGAAAGTATAAACTGAAGTTTACCTTGAAATAAGAGAAAGATTCGAGGACGTATTTGTAAGCGGTAGCAGAGTGGAGGGTAAGTGTAGCTAACAAAGTTAGAATATCCCTCTTTACTAGTTCATCGTCACTTATCAGACCTGAAATTATACATTATTAGTCTTATCTGTCGTATCTGTGGCAATACAATTTATGCTAGTGTTAAGAAATTCTGAATTTGTCTGCTTTTCAGAGCTCCAGGTTGTTAAAAAATTGTTGAGATATGATTACCTGGAGTTCTGTAAAGCAGACAAATTCAGTTAAAAACATGTAAACAGGATGTAAACGAGGAACATTCCAGAACTAACGACTGATAGCATCAACAGTCTATGACAGCATTTGTCTTTTGCTACAAGGTGTGGCATTTTTGTGTGTAATAATCGTAATTTACGACAGTTAAATCCGACTTGTGATCTCTGTATTAAACTATACATACGATGACGCAGCCAGCTAATGCATTATTCACTATAATGCTAATATTGTAATATAGGAATGTATTTGGTCATGCTTCAGAGTAGTATTATATACTCAGTGAGGAGCTAAAGACCAATGAGTAACCTGATACATGATAAATCAAACAGAGTCTTAACATAATCACAGTATGTGTTATTGTGTTGGAACCTGAACTGTTACAGAATGTAGTAAGCGGAACGTCGGTACATGAGGTCGGAGGAATGTTTTGGGATGATAGTAAAATGGTAGAAAAATTCTAGCAGGACTTTGTGCCTATTTTATTGCCATATTGAAGATTAGAATAGTAGTAACGAGCAATAAGGAAGCGACAGGGTTTGTTTATTAACTTGACTAATTGCAGTTGATAGGTCGCCTTGGTATTATTGCTTCCTATAGCTAATGGTTGGAGCGCGTGTTAACTTCATAGTTATTCATGAGTTTATGTATAAGGTAGCTGGTACACGTAATGTTAAACTGTGCGTAATATCAGGACAGGAATGGGTGATATTTAATTTACTTAGATCTTGGATCCTCATCATCGAACAGCAGATTCAACAATTCAATTTTCAAAAAGAAAAGACGCGCCCTTAAAACTTTGTTCAAGTATTTGACATGACGTATCAACTACTACTCTTCTAGTACTCAATCCTACTCAATGCACGGGTTCGCAGTCAAGCAGAACTGCGGCCCGGGAATGGTTTATTGGACTTATCATGCGGCACATAACATGTAAACATTGTGGTCTTTAGCTTGCGTTCAACAAGGCAAAAATAATGTATGATCTAAGATGATATCATGCGAACAACACAATATCTAGATGCCCTCACCACAGCATGAATCTATTTCGCTGTTCATTAGTTTGTAGACGTATTGTGCCGCACCTAAAAAGAGATTATTGTGGTCTTTAGCTTGCGTCCAATAACACAAGGTACCCTGTACACATGCCAATTGCCAAACTACCCGATGGTATAATAGTATGATGGAAGGAATCACGTGCTACTTCTTAGATAATCTCCTCAAACACTCCAGTGAAATTCTGTTCGGGTGTTTGACCCTTGACACACAAGGTTCAACAATTTAATCTTCAGAAAGAACCGCCCCTTAAAACTTTGTTCAGGTATTTGATGTGACGTATCTACTCTTCTAGTACTCAATGTACAGATTGGCATTCAAGCAGAACTGTGGCCCACAAATAGTTCGTAGATCCAATGAGCCGCTCCTAAAAAGTAAATATTGTGGTCCGAAGCTTCTCTCAAACAAGGCAAAAATAATGTATGATCTAAGATGAAATGATGCGAACAACAACCGTATCACTAGCAGGGATATTTATCGGTATTTCCATTACCGGGGTGATTCTACAATGATCTAATGTTGAAATGTTGTTATTACTGGTCAACTCAATACTCCCCCAGATAAGAGAGTGGGTGTTATGTTTGACAAGCAACTCTCTCTCTCTCTCTCTAGGATGAAACAACCTCTCAAACCAGAGGTCTATTTAACACGGCAAGTGCTTGCTGATCTCTTGTGCACTTAGACAGTCCAGGATAATGAATGTAATCTAAAATTAGTTTTATCAAGCTCTGAGTGGTGACTTGAGTTTGATTCTGTGATGAATCTCTCGGACCTGTCTGCTGCATTCCATTCGTTATGCAGCATAATATTCAGTAATGAAGGTAACATGAGTGTTACTATAGAAATGCGAGCTCAACAATAAATGTCTGCCATGTGATGGAATGCTGAGGAATGCTCATCAGGACTCCACCCACTGGGAGGTAGTTTTACATGATAATATTTAGTATTTGCGTCAACATAGTTCTAGGTAATGGTATTAGATCATGATCAGGTAAAGGTTTTATTATCAGCTAGGTTCATACTATGACTCGTAATTTGGGTCGTGACATTAAACATTTTCATTTATTTGGAGGAAGTCCATGTTATTGGTAAGTTGAAATACAGTGACCTATTTGCTATAAACTATTGAAGCAACAACATGGACATGGTTGTATACTGTGTAGTGTCATTTAAAGGAACTATTGAGTATCGCTTATACCGTATTAGGCACACACTTTCGACACATTCACTCTCAATCGAAAATAATCCTTCAGAAGCACACACTAATGCTCCTTTATAATATTTCTTTCTTCGAGTGAATGCTTGGCTCGCTCTGAGAACAATTGTTTTGTAACTATTTAAAACGGTGATTTTATTCCATTGAGAGGGAAAATTTCAGATATTTCCCAGCGTGAAGAGCATTTTTATATAGAGTTACTGAATATTGATATGTGTCTAAATCAATAACCGGCCACGCCCTAACAAAAGAATATAAAATAAGAGTGTAGTCAATAGACATGACATAGTAAGCATACGGTAATTTTATCGCACACAATTTTTAAACGTTTACTACAGGCTGAATATATTACCTCATGATGGCTCATAATAATATGTGAATGGTACATATGCTGCTTACGTAGTCTTGCTGACTCTGTGCGATGTATGGTACACCTAAATTCAAATGTAAGAACAATGTCTCTGAGATTGAAGGAGCAACTAACTATGAAATTACATGAGTTATTAAAGTAGGCTAGCGTGTTCTAGCAAAGAGCTTGATGAAGGAGTAACTAACTATTGGTTTACAGGCAAGGAGAGGAGTTGTAGCTTGAAATGTACTGTGTAATTAGAGGTACGGTTATTATACTCTTTATGGGTAGCACAGCTCATGTTACATATGTTACATATGTTACATATGGCATATGTTACATATGGCATTCTTGAGGTCACAGCTTTAAAGGCAGCTAGAACTCTAATTTCTACAATTTCCAGTGAACTGGAACTTGTTCCGGTTTACTTACTTATCCCTACTTACCATGTTTAGTCTAATACTCCCTGGTGCCCTGTTTTAAAACTGTCAGAGCAATATAAGACATCATGTCATCATGTTGCATTTTAATTCAACACTTTATAATTCTCTCTCAAGTTCGCCAGAGCAGCTGTTTACTTGAACCATTACTACTTCAGTATTACAACAGGTACTTTAGTATCGTGGTACAACAAGATCTCCGGAGTAAAACTAGCTATAAGACAGTTTGTACTTGACAAATAGCTATAAGACAGTTTGTAAGTGTCGTGTATAATTTTTACTAGCAATAGAGGGACACCGTTGTAGGACACAGCAAGTGTTTATACCTAATCCAGAGGAGTGTTATATTTTATACACAACTTTTATAATAGATCTCTAACATATTTGTTGTACAATAACTTTTTAGCGTTCTCTCGCGCTTCTTGAAATGTATCCCTTCTTTTCATTTCTTCTCCAGAGACAAATTCTGTTTAAATTTCTCGAAATTTGGGTTAAACTTTTAACTTGATTTAAGTTTAAAATTGTACATTATGTAGGGTGAGTTGACGTAATGTACAATTTTAAAACAGAGCACAGATAAATTAAATTACAAGGTGCACCCAACCTAGCCTCTTATCATCTGTTAATCCAATTATTGGTTATTTTAGAAGGTTGTATTGACATACCAAACTTCCCAATATCGAGTACAACCTTACCAAATTATGGAGTTATAAAATTTCAGTCAACAGTCTGAGTCTGGAAACATTTAAATGCAAACCATTTAAGAATATTCGCACTAATGGAAACTTCATGGACTTGAGTTATTATAATAAACTAACTCGCTTTTTGACGAGTGTTCAGACTAAAAACTGCATTTAATTTCCCTCACTGTCAATCACGAAACATTTAAAGAATGTACCCAGTTCCCAGGAAGTATTCCAGTGGCAAGCAGTTTCTGGTGACAAATCATTTCTCAGTGGAAACTGCTTGCCACAGAGAAATGTGACCTGTATAATAGTGTGACATGAGACGATTTGTCACGTCACTTGTACTGTAGGAATTGTTCAGTCGTCACTTTAACACAACACATGTATGGAGTTGGGAAAATTCTCACCATTTTGATAATATATCTAAAATACGGGAAATATCTCGTCTGATCTAGCTTATGAACATGTTCCAGTACATTCTAGTAACACTCCTTATTATAATACTGGTGATCACGTTGAGTGTAATGTCTAGTCCCTAATCTTCTGAACAGAGTGTGAACCTGTGAGGGTGGGGGAGGTGTGTAGTGTAACAGGGTAATCTCTAGATATATTCACAACAATGCCTCCCCTTAATTAGCCACACTGATTTCCATGAGAAGGAAATTATCCGTCAACAGGTCCTTTAATTTGTAGAGAAGTAAACCTGACAAGTGTCAGCTACTTCCTCGCTCAGTAGTTATCAGGTGTCAGTTAGTATTCCCAAGTGAGTAGCTGAACTATGTGAGTTATGTTAACTATTCCATCACCAGTTGACAGGTGTGAGCTCTACTTAAATTACTCTCCATTAGAATCGGAACTATTACAAGTTGATTAACTTAAGTGGTGAATTAAGGATCGTACCTTGAGGGTGAGATTAAGAACAAGGTTGTCACACCACGTGACAGGGCAATGTCACGTGACATCACGTGGTATTAGTGGCATGCGCTGCTCCCACCTAATTTCAGGTATGGACCCTGCAACCTCCTGTGGGTCGACACTCAACAGTTCACTGTAATGTAATGACAGATCGTGCTGCTCTACGAGTTAATTTGATTGAGTCCCTGCTGCGTGAGTCACGTGATTCCCATGCTGTGCTCTGATTGGACGGATTTAAATCTCGGCTCTCTGATTGGGTGGACCTAGTTAGTAGTCAACAGTATTGGAAACCCCTGAATAGTCAATATTGACCGTGTTAATGGAATACAATTTTGCTTTTCACGGAGTCAATTGTCCACAATTTATTTATGAAACTCTGAAGAGTTATACCACTATTTCCACATATATTACAAGTACAGTGAATCATAGACTGATTCAAAAATAATATCCAATATGATATGTTACATTCAAAGTAATCTTCTTGATGAGTGCTAGCTGAAGATAATACCATATAAGAGATAGAATGTGATGGAAGAGACTGATAATACAACTGGTGACCATTACTCTGAACATTACGGCGCCGACCCAGCTGCAAGGTTACATAGGGTGTTACAGCTGGTGTTACAGTTATCATACAGCGAGTATTTATACATTTCGGGTAAAACAAACGCCTTTTGGTATATAACGCTATTGATGTTATTATATAATAACGCTAATGAACTTACAATATCATTAGTATAGTATCACTATCACAAGTATCACTATGACAATAACGGCCACAAAAACAACTAAAATTAGTGTAACAAGCCAGTCACTCACCAAGAATCAGGGAGTTGAGGACAGTTGCAGAAGTAGCAGCAGTGTCAAGACCCTGTTTGGTTGCCATGACTACAGTTACGCAAGCTACAAGAGATGACAGCGCGCTGTTGTTCGGACGGTTCTCTGGCAAACACACCTGCGATTTCACTCACTTAATTACATAATTACATAATTACCATGTAATTACAAAACTTGTTCTATTCATGATGACAGAATTAATATTCATATGATGTTTTCTTACTTTTCTTTTAAGAATTAAGCTTAACTTTAATTTTTTTCTGTTTAATTCTAGTGACGAAATTAAAAGCACACTTAAAGCACACATGTGATTAAATAATATTAATCTGCAGTTCACGTACCGATGTGATGTTGTTGAGAAGGTTTTGGAAGCCATCGTGTGCCAAAAACTCTTTCATCCACTCGCCATTACCTTTATTTGATTTCAATACATGTCTGATGGTAGAGTACTGCTGCTGGGTCTGAGTGAGAATTAGATGTTGTTACATGGTAATAGTATAATTACCAATGAAATCATTGCATAAATGAATAATCGGAGAAGCCAATTAGCAACCAGTCAAATATTGTTCTATTTTAAGGGAACGGTACAAGTGATTTACATACCAGGAGAACTTTGAGCTGATTGGCACAAGACTGGGATGTTATCGGGTGAGATGACACCGAGTTGTCCAGATTGTGGTTCCGCATCATCGTCAAGTTTCAGAGAGAACACTATCCTTCACTCTGCCTTGTCATAGGTCCTATAAAATAGTTATTATCATTATACTATTCCCTAGTATTGTTGTGATTCAATTTAATATGTTCATTTTGAAAATGCAGAGACGAGACATTGTGCACTACATCTCTAATGGTCACCATTAGGTTGGACTGCAAGTCAACCACAGTTGTTGAATGCCTCACCAGTATTGTAGTATTGCACTATATGATGTGTTAATATGATTGGCACAAGACATGGGGGTCACATTGAATAATTACATTGCTTGATGTTCTGAGAGGGGCAAGACCCTACAGTTCATGTCCGGTTAGGATTTTCTAAGGACATTAATACAGCTACTGGGCCCTGCTAATTATTTGGTAGACCATTTCATGGCATTTGGAGATCTCATGTGAATTTACATATCCTGCTAGATCTCGCTGAGCCCAGAAAAAGGTCCAATGTTGCTACATCCTGCCCAAATGTATGACCAGGTCTAGTGGAGGAGGATGACACAAATATACTAGTTGAGCTAAGAAGATCCCCTTCCCCAATAAATGTATCCCTAAGAGAAACTGGCTTCTAGGCACTAAATCCTTTTACACTGTATAACACTGAAACACCAAAATCAAAATATTATCATAAATTAATTAAGCTGTAAATAATTTAAAAAAATAACACAGAATAACAAATAAAATTATCACATCCAGGCTAGTACAAACTAGCATTGCACCCAACAGACTGCAAGTAAACTGCAAGGCATCTCTTAACAGCACACTGTATGTGCAATCTACTGGAGGGAGAACCAGTGGTATGACATTTTATGTTGGCGCATCCTGCACCCATAGCACCCTCTTTCAAGGCCCCCTCCCCCTTAAAAATTAGAAATTGAAAATTGAAAAAACTATGTGATTTACGAGGATTCATCGATAAATTTTTTAAATATTGTTTCTAGATCAAAACGTGTGATCTTGCTGGAATTTAAGTTAAATTTTTCAAAATTGTCCCACGTTCAAAAGACTTGGCACCCCCTAAGATAGCAGCCCACCTCCCACGATGCAAGTCAGCGCAGCCCTTTTTTATGCCACTAGCGCAAACTTACCAGCTACATTCTTCCCTTGCTTTTAAATGGGTATGCCTACAGTTTCTGTTTGTTTTAATGTTACGTTCATTCCATCTTAAATTTGTTGTCAAAAAACAAACTTTTATGGGTGTTTCTTATGACCAGGGTCTTTTATACAATTTAATTCACAAAGCCTATGTTATTGCCCACGTTAAGGGGCCTGTTAATAATTAATTAAAGTATTAGCTATTTTAGATTTAATAATAATAATCATTCCCTTATCTTCAACGTTAGAACATTCCATAAACCTTTAAAATATGCATTCAAGTCTTAAATGTCTTTCTTAGAGATCCTAAATATGAGCAGTGGCGTAACGAAGGGCCCCACCGACCCCGGGGGGGGGGGGGGGGGGGGGGGGGGGGGGGGGGCCGTCTTAGGGGGCGCCAAATCGTTGTTTGAATGTGGGACAATTTCGAAAACTTAACTAAAGTACTAGCAAAACTGCGTGTTTTGCTCTGAATACACACTTTTTTAGAGATTTTACCGGCGTATCCTCTAAGATCACCTAATTTGTTCAATTTTAGGGAGGTACACCAAAAAGGGGAGGGGGCGCCAACAGGGGGGGGGGGGGGGGGGGGGGCGCTTTTTCGGCGGGGGCGCCAACAGGCAACGTTACGCCACTGAATATGAGGAGATCATCAGGCCTTGTATAAGTTTGATTTGATTTGAAACTTTCACAAATATTACATTTACAATACAGTAATTATGAAAAAAAATGAATCGAAAACATATAATTTTCATGTTGCATCAATGATCAAAAGTATAGCTAAGTGGCACAAGGAACAAGTATAAGCAATAAGAAACAGACCTACTACATGAAATAGTTCTGCCCAAGGCTCACCACCTCCATCTATACTAGTCGCACAGAAGAATAAATTAATTTAAAAACACAATAACTATGAGAATATACATTTCAAGTTTGTTAAAACCGACTTTGATTTAATTTAAATGGACACATTCATTTGAGTTTGATGATATTGGTGAACAAAAATAATACTGTTTTCAACGATAGTGGCTTACTTTTGGCATCTATTAACATAGCACGTTCAGAAGTTCTGAATATTAGCCATATGCACTGCTCAGAAATAAAATGTGTAGTTGTTATACACTATAATGTTTTAAATGTCACATTTTTGTTGCAAATCAGTCTAATAATTCATTTTAAAGATTTGTTATTACTTGTTACTGGACAAGAAATGTTTGACTTACGATGCTTATTTTTGATCCCAGTTTGTAGCGGCCCAATATAGTGAATAGTAAACGTCATATGATATCGCGAAAGGTATCATCTTGTGCGCGGCTCAGTATGACCAGGCGCGCCTATCTGTGATTTATGGTATGTATGTATGCACGTACGTTTATGTACCGCCACTTCACCGGGCGATTTCTTTTTGGATCTACTCCAATGTTGCTGTTCCTATTGGCTGTAATTTAATTGACGATGTCAATTCATGGCAGCTCGGCGCGGCACAGTAGCGCATGTCGCTGTGAGAAGCCTTATTAAGTGCGCGGCGCGGTTCAGTAACGCATCGCGCTACAAGCTGTAATTAAAATTAGTAAATTAATATTTCTTCTAAATATTGAATATTACAATAATCTGTAACCATCCATCCTTTTACTTTTATATTTTATTACTTGACTTTTACGACAGCATTTAAATTCAAAGAATATTAAAAATTGTTTAATTTAAAAACTTTTCTATTTTGACTACTGTGTTTTATTTTTTAAATGACAAAACTGATACTAGAAACCTTAATTTTAAATCGAAGTTTCTCCTACGACCTTGTATCACGTCGTGACCCCCATCGTTGTTTCACTATAGAGTTTCTACGATACAGGGGGAGCCGCGCACTCGTGCACGGCGGGTCATACAACGTATGACAACTACGACCTACATGTTTTGAACAGCAGAATTTATTGCAGATGTTAACCAGTTTGAATTAACTAAACGAATGATACTTGTTAAAAAATTTTCGAAGTTACGCTGACAGCGCAGCTAAGTTGTAAGCGCGCGCCGCTTCCTTTTCAAAATACACATATTTTAATTTATATATTATATATAATATAACATTATATAAATATGACCCTAGGCAATACTAGGCAATACAATGCAATACAATGCAATACAATGCACAAAGTCAAAATGCTACATACAAAGTAAAGGCGTATAGCTTACTTTTACAATTGGCCCACATGGCCTGGCTGATAGCTTGCTCTATCCAGAGCCCTTGTGAAAGCACATGGTTAGGTGAAGCTGATAGCTAACTGTAAGCTTGATTCACGATGTCAATCCTTCGCAGCTCGGTGAGGTGCATCTCGCCGATCTACCGAGAAGAATTATTTGATGCGCGGCGCGACCCAGTAGTGCATCGCGCTACAAACTGTAAGCTTACTCATGGGTGGCGCTCAAACTTGATTGACGATGTCAACCCTTCCAGATCGTTGCTCTGTAATTATTATTATTAATAAATCTAAAATAGCAAATAATTTAATTCTGTAAAGAATGCTAGTTTGCGCTCAGCCTCAAGCCTGTTTGCTGTCATTCCGCCGAATCTTTATTCAGGCTTGTAGCACGTCGTGACTCCCATTGTCGTTTCAATAATTTTATCTTGTAGGTTTATAACCTACCAAGACGCGCGCCGAGTTGGACTCGTCGACGGTCTTGAAACAAATATTCTACGAGTATCACCCGTTAACGTATGACAACCTTATATTATCAATATTTATGTATTTATATATCCAAGTATTAATGATTACTTGGATATTTCAGGCATGATTTGATATTTGATATGAATTATTGAAGCATTAAGTATTCGAAATTGTTGGCATCAATGGACCACTTATGCTGCTTGTTTCGTAATCTGCCATCACAAATTTATTCAACTCCAATTCACTTTGAAAGAAGTCATTACAATTCTTCCAATTCAGGAAGAGAGATTCCTCCTTACTTGAATGCATGCAAAATTTGGTATTGGTGTGGTCCCAAGAAAAAACAAGAAATGGTGCTGGATTAGTGACAAGCCAGCATTTGCTGGTGGTAACAGAGAATCATTTCTTATTATAAGCAAACAGTACATGTAGTTAAGTATATAATTGTTTTATTAATTTGTAGTTCAAGTTGGTTGTTGCTGTTAATGGACATCATCCCAGGCTATGTAACACACTACATTCATTTGGGAGTAATCAGTAATTGCTCATTCATTTTTTTTGCAAAAACAGTGAAAAGAATAAAATTTCATTAAATTATATCAAGTGGATACTTCTCCGAAAGGCATTAAAAAGTTATACATTTTGCCTATGTGAATAAAAATGTACCAAGAGCATTTATTATGCTTGTACGATTAACCAAATCTAATTCCTTATCCAGGTAGATTCACAAATCACCATTATTTAGATTATTTATATTTGAGATTCCACGTGCTGTTGTGTCAGGGAAAAAGTGTTAGCCATCATCCCAACAAACTGTCTTTTTCTAAATAACTGTAATATTCACTGATCCCCAACATGATGAATTCCACATTTTAGTTTGATAACACATGAGTGCTTGTCAAACATAGCCTTTAATTAGGAATCAGTAATACTGTGCTGAGAGAAACCATGTGATTCTACTGGGACTCATTAATGAAAACTCCAATCTACTGTACACCCTGCACCAGTGGCGCAACATGGCATCTTGAAAAACTATTCTAAAACCACCCTGACCATTGATCAAATATATTTTAAATTGTTTAGTTAAGAAGTTGGCAAATGGCAATGAAACCCTTTATATGTATTAGGTATGATTCATTTTCAAAACAACATGGAAGAATGTATCAAAGACCTCCTGAAAAGATTCCAACTGGAAACATATATAGATATGTTTTTATCTAATGGATATGATGATGTGGGAGTAATAAGGGGAATCAATGAAGCAGATCTCCAAATGATGGGACTAACTTGTCACAAAGAAATCTATGATATTCTTGACCTACTACAACAACTGAATGCAGCCTTTACAATGTAAGTATATTATGTTGGAACTTAAAGTAGCACTTTTAGTAAAATCAAGGATTAACTGGAATCCCAGCTTAGTCCTGGTTCCTTGTCAACATTTTTCGATTAGGCTGGGACTAGAGATTTTTAGAAATCTTTTTTTGTCTGAAAATCAATGAAAAACACGTTAGTATAATATAAAGAACTACACAGTATCACATTTATGGGGCTCCAGAATACTCTTCAAGTATCTGGTCAAATCAGTGATCTACCATTATATCGAGAACGCATATAATCTGATCTGGCTCTCGCCTCTCACGTCGTCAATCAGTGACAATTAATTGATGATGTGATACATGAATTCCAGATGGTTGACTTAGAAACAATCGAGTTCCTCTCTCGAGTAGTTCAGCAAAGCAGAGACTCTTTAGCAGCATTTGCTTCCAAAGCTTAAAAATGTAAAAGCTTTGTTGTCCCGCTTTGCATTGTTTAAAGAAGCTCAATCGGCACTCTGTGGAAATTCATTGAACCATATGAGTGAAGATCAACAAATTGTAGATTTAGTGGCAACTACTACCGACTGCTATTGCTTTTGCTTGCTCTTGTTTCAGAATTGCAGATCAGAGTAGACTTGAGGAAGTGAGGGACAGCAGTTTTATACACATATTATAATATGCTCAGAACTTACTCCACAAACAAACAATGATCTGACATATTCGGAATTCCTGAAATGCAAACATCAACTTTTTTTGATAGACCTTATCTTCTTGGAGATCAATTCCGTCAGTGCCAGTTAGCATTTAAATATAATGTTTTTGATGTCGTCAATTTTATACAGCACGAGTGCAGAGTAGTACATCAAATTTTCTCTAGTCCTGGTCCCAGTTTAAGTTCCGCCTCCCAGACACTGCACGTTTTTCCAGTCCCGGTCTCGGCCAAAATAACGGGTCCCAGTCGATCCTTGAGTATAATGTATAGAAATTTCATAATTGAAATCTGTTAGCAATTGATTAAGGAGATAAGGGCAAATTAATTGATTATTTTTATATGATCTAAGTAACTTTTCTACAAATCTACACTCTCCTCAGGTACATGTCAGTGAACGAGGTTTATACTAGGCCATCCACTGAAAATGTCCTCAGCTACATTGCTGACAAGTTCGAGCGAAAAGGAATGTTCCCTTCGGGTGAGGAATGTGTCCCAGTGGTCCTGGAAAAGCTAGAAAATGAGGAGATCATGCTTCCTGCTCACAACTACCACATCTATATCAACAAGGTATGTGTTAGCTTTTTAAATGCAATGTTATAGTATGAAATATAATTAAACACATAATAAACTCATATAACCCTGAATATGTACCTTATAACACAAGCATCGTGTTGTAATGATTGCAGAATTATCTGTTTGGCCCGGATTGTACACTGTATGACACATCCACTGTTATAAAACATAATTTAAAACAAGCTTGCTATGCAAAATTTACAACGAACACAATTACAACCGGTAATTAAAACTGTAAAATATTTTTCACTATTCCAATCAATCAATCCGAGTTAGTGTGATGTGTGTGCTCCACAAATTTAGTAATATCAGTTAAATATTATTTTACTTTAACTCTTCAAACAAAGACAACTTGTCGCACATAAGAGGCAACATTAGTAAATTAAGTGTAATAAATAGAGGGAGGTATATTCACACGATTGAAGAGTATAGTCCGTGTGGAAGCTAACAGTTCCAGTTTTTAAAAGCGAGTATTATTGTTATGGTAATGGCAGTGTACATTATAGGATCATCTTACCAGTTAAATGTTCATGATGCATGTGACCATGTTACTTTGTTACCGTTCATAGGTTCATCTCACTTGACAAGATTTGCACAAGAGAGAATTAGTCAAAATACACATTACACAGTGTCATCTACTGTACTTAACAGCTATTGTACAATAAAAAATATGTGATCACTTACTGCGAAACACTAAGTGGCATTACCAGTTACCACTGTGCACTGTATACCCACTGTGCACTGTACACCCAGTCATTTCTGGTCGGTTAATACTGGCAGCTGCACTGGTTTGGTAATCGCTGTCACTTTTCTGTAAAATATGGCTCACCTCCCCACCAGTATCCAGATTTATAGTTCATATGATTCCTGAATACGCGTTAGTCTTTCAGTTATTTCACAAGACTCGTGTGCCGTTAGGCACAAAAGAGTCAAGAACAAGGGTTAGCGAACGAGGTGTTTTCTTGTAATATACACAGCTCAATTTTTCTATTCTTCACATAGCTTTATAGCTTACACTATTTAGAGATAAAGAAAGCACCGTGTATAATATAACATGACCAATGACCACTATTTGAATTGACGGATGGATGATGACATGCAGCTACGCCCCTACAAGCAGTATGCACAAGCAGTATGCACAGAACTGAACTGATAACAGCTGTTGTACTGTACACTGAGGTTGGAGCACTTGTTACATGCAACTCAGTTCTGCTTGTCTCTCTATCTCTCTCTCTCTCTCTCTCTCTAACTCTGGATATAATATATATATATATATTACTAGCAGATATTCTCTACAATTACACTTTATTGCATTTTAAACAACATAAAACTATTAATGAAGCACAATAAAATACATTGCTTTGGTGCGGAGCCGATTAACTGAGCTATTGAGCGAGTCTAAATTGCTAAACAATTGAAGGGTCCCTGAGGCTAAGCCGAGTTAGTGTACTGTTGAATATTTTAGTGATGCTTCCCGGCCCGGTCAGTGTAGGAGTGTGAACTACATCACTAAACAATAATTACACGGTCTCCTAATAACCCTGTGTTTAGTTGTTTTTTACCGTTTAAAAGTATAACAATGTGACAGACCTCTCTTCCCATTCTGATCTCTCCACACTTGGCCGATATGAATTGTTCGCATTTCACAAAGCATTGTGTTGTACACAAGCTGTTATAGTACAAAGATAATCGTTTATACGAGAGGGGGGCCGTGTTGTTGTCATGATTCATGAAGGAGTCTGTGTGACAACTTTACACTGGTTTGTTAAACGAAATATATTATAAAGGAGCTATCTCAGCATAACACTACGCTGGACGTCACTCGCTCTCTCGTCAGACGGGCTGTGGCGAATAAAGCTAACATTTAGAGGAGGTAGCTAATGATTAATCTGTTAGGATGTATTTGGTTTGATGTGGTGCGGTAACTGTGCGACTCTATTAATTAGCGGGTGCGGACTGACAGTTTCGCTTCACAGGTCTGATCTGTTAGCTGCCCTAACAAGCAGGTAATGATGTGTTCCACCGTTGCAAACCAAGTTGTGTCACCTCATTATGTGTTATTACTTAGCTTGGCGGCTGACGAGCGTCAAGGTATTCTGGCGAGGAGGAGAGATGATCGGGTGGTAAACGGTACTGTGACAATCTATCAGAAGACACGGAACATTTTGTCGTGATGATGCGGCGGCGTGCTGGATGTTACTATAAACGGTTATTGGATAAAAATATAAATAAGTGATTTGGTCATGCTGCTGACGAGATTTGTTGTTTGTCGATCAAAATTGACAAATCAAGTGTGCCAAGGCGATCTGACACTGTCTTTCTCAGCTGGCGGATAATTAACAATATTGTTGATAGGCAGATGTGGTCAACTGACTTGCTACGAAATTTCTCGAAATAATTTAAATAATATCTGAACATGACAATTGTTCAAAGTCTTCAGTATTCACGATGTTGCGACAAAGAAAACTACACCTTTTAATTTAAAAGGTCAGCAGTTTCCTTTGTCGCTACTACGCGTTTATAATTACACAATACAACTAATTGATTATGTTCCGATCTGGATATTGTAACATTTGAACATTAACAACGGTTTACAATGAGATAAACTTTGAGAAGGTCACCCCGACCAGCCTTAACTGGTATTGACTACGAAAGTTTTGTCAGAGATAATAATTGCAAAGCGGGATACAAATCCAACTAAATTTGACCCATACTGGAGATGCCCATTTAGTTAAATTATATAGTAAATTATATAGTTTCTACTTTTCTACTTCAAAATATAAGTATAAGCTATTTCGCCTTATCACTGAATAGTGAATGTGAACCAACATGATGATGACATCTAGTTTTGCTCGTTATAAGACGTAGTCAATAATAAATTACCACTATACTTACCTTTCCCCCCCTCCCCATCACTATACAACAATACCAGTGTAACCGCCCTTACTATACAATTAACCCCGGCCCGGCACCCCCAGCACCCCCGGCCAGGTTCCTAATCTCCAAGATATACAGGTATATACAGCTGAGTGTGTTAGCCAATGTGTCACGAGTTGTCGCAAGAGTGTGTTTGTAGTGTACAAGACCACTGAGTAGCATTATTACCCCTAATAGATCACTACACAGCACTGTTACCTTACCTGCATGACATTGATTTGCCATGTTCGACCCCCTTGAACACTGCAGGTGCCGTGAGGTCGCGTGATCGTGATCCTCTCTTCTGATTGGCGGATAAGAATCACGTGGTCAATTTGGAGATCTCTGACTGGGTGATGGGGTGGGAGGATTGAGTAGGAAATACCCCGACGCTGGTCACATTGTTCAAGTGTGGTGGTGCACCATTAAAGGGACCCCGGCCTCAGTCTACATGTGCAAGACTCGTGACGTGTAACAATGTACCCTGTGTACAACATTTTACTATGAGTAACAATATGTGTGTTGGGTCTAGACTACACATTCCATATCCCAAATTCCTAATGCCACACTGCCGCACATCCCTCGCCAAGTTATTAAAACTTTTAAACTATGATCTATTTATTAAACGTGGTTTCTGGGACCAACTCATCAGCCCTTATTTGCAGTGTAGAGCGTGCACACCGAGGCACATGACTAGGAAAAAATGTGATTGAAAAGTTCACTAACTTCTGTGAGATCGAGGTCCCATACAGTTGAGAGCTTTTATGCCTGGCAAGGCATTCTATTAATCAGAATTCAGAACCAACGTCCGACAGCTTCACTTAGATCAAGACTGTGGGCCAAGTTTTCAGTCTTATCTAGCCTATAATTTGGTCCTATCATAGCCTCACGTCGAGTCTAGCTTCACTTTTAGAAGAGCTTGGATTCGGTCCCGCTTATATACACAGCTCTCGGAATTTATTATGGCTCGTTAGCCTAGATCTCACGTCCTCGCAAAATCCCTCCTTCTGCATGCCCTGCTGAGCTCAAGATGGCACTATAACAAGCGATATTGGTTCTTCAAAAGTTCCCGAAATCAATTTAAATAGTTCAGCAAGAAATCTCTTAAGTAAGGTCCGTGCAAATAGTGAATTTAAGGTCCGTAGATATGAACACATGAGTGAATAGTGGATATCTAACGATCGTTCCAGAACTCATCTAGCTACCTTTACTAGTTAAAAAGCTGCTCAATCTCACACAAATACACGAAGTTAGACAGTCACCCTCCTTTCAGTTATTTGATTACACCCTTAGGAGAGAAGTTAGTCAGATCACTTCATTGCACCTCACATCTCATCGGGTACTTGCTGCTAACTTTCAACTTTCTCATTAGTCGTATTATTGAGGATGTGTTCTGTTGGCAAGAGAGAGAGAGAGAGAGCAGAGTGGGACAGAGGGTGAAGTGTGTCTTTTAGCCTGGCTATTAAAACTTCTCACAAATACAGTCCTCATCATTAGGCCGCAACAACACAGATCTGGCAGATAGTTCATCAGTAAATGTAATATAACAACCGCCTAAATCTCTCTTCCTCAAATCTCTATGTGATGGGATATTGAGCAGCTGTCCTCCTCCTACATCTCTACATCTGATTATATCGCAACTTTTAAACATCCCCCTCGCTCTACACATTCCCGAGTATAATACTGCTGCTACTCTGCTGCAATTATCAGTACCAAGCAATATTGCGGCCTCTATTGCCCTGCAACCACCCCGCAACCACCCCCGCCCTGATCAGCGAGCTTCAATTTCATTATTAATACATGGTACCAGTCCAATACTGCATATACTTATACCTTAATAGAGGAGTAAGTACTCAGTAGCAGCTCTTATTGAACAAAGAAAATCAAATTAGCAGTTAATACTGCTACTTTTAGATGCTTATTATGGGACTTCATTCATGCGGCCTTGCATTGTTCATAATTAATGACAGTACAGACATCTTTAATTCCTTTAAAAAAGGACCAGAAACGTGATATAAGCCAGAAAATGAGATATTAGAAACGTGATATAAGCCAGAAAATGAGATATTAGAAACGTGATATAAGCCAGAAAATGAGATATTATAATTTTAATAATATGTCGCATTGTCACGGTTACCGTCGTTTGTTTCACAAATAGTCCCTGAATTGCTATATTGTAGCCGTTTGTTTACTGGGTAGTGTGCGCTAAACATCTAACAATGCAGAACTCGCAAAACAATCCATTGACAAACTTATACATAATATAGCATGGAACAGCTAGGATATTGAGCCGATAATATATAGCTGATATATAAGGAAATTTGTAAGTTCACTATTCACACGTGTGTTTGGTTGCCAATTAAAAGATTAGAGCCGAAAGTGAACCTGTACCATAAAGCCTACACTTCGCGAACCAGACCCAAACTGCGGCAAAATACCAAAGTTTCAGTTAAAATGGAGCTGGAGTACAGCGTATGAACGTGCGTAATTACACCTGTTTATATGCATTGCCGCCCCACTTTAATTGACTGATCTAGTTAGCGGAAACAAGTTAACCGGTGTGATAATGATGGAGATTTACTTCGTTATCATTAGAGTTAGACTCACTACCGGGTAGTGCACAGTAATGGGTTACCCTGAAACTTGTGTTACCTTACGAGACATATTTATACTCGACGAAATTCCAGTGACCTAAATGATTTGGGAACGAAAATATGGGATTTTTTGCCGAAAACCAACTCATTTCGTACCCCAAATTAAATCATGGTTAATTTGGGGATTTTTTTCATTTCTTTATTTTTCAAAAATAAAACCCAATATTCAATTTGAGAAAATCAATAAAATAAAATATGAAATTTTAAAAATTACAAGTCAATTTCTTCTTGATCTTCTGGTACAGGGACGTTTCTCTCTCCAGTGTAGTCGGAGTCCCAGGTGTAACACTTATGTTCATTTGTTAGATGAATCATATTGATAATTTACTATATTGATAGTAAATCGACAAAGTCATAATTAAAGAAAATACGGCACTCTGGAACTGAAAATATGGTGTTTTTTTCGAAAAACCACCGACTTTGAGTCGACTTTCGTACCTATTAAATATGTCTCGTAAGGTATGTCGAGTAATACGGCACTCTGGAGTCTGGAACTGCACTAACCAGATCTAGCTTGCTCCCTGTTCAGTTTATTTTACCTTGCCTCGGGTAAATTGACTCTTAAAAAGTGATGTAGGTACTGGATAAGCTTTCTCACTGTTTTACATAATTGTTAATCAGTCCAGTCCAGTCTCAGTTTCTGCTGCTGTTATTGTTTTTAGCTGCTCTGTTGGTTTCATCTCAAAATGTCGCCCTTGTAATTTTTAATTGATTTGACTGTCAGCTGATGAAGCCAAGTCAATGCAGGAGAGAATTTTTGACGTGCAATTTACATATTTTGCAATTTTTTTATTGAGAAATGTGACAACACAAACCAACCGGGCCGGGGTTATCTGAACTCAGTCTCCAAACTTACATTCTATAATTATTTGGCAACCGATGTAGAATGTAGATTGTGTGAGTTACATATCGAAAGAATGCCGATAAGTCTAGTGTGCCAAATAATAAGTTTCCAGGATGTATCCTGTGTAATGTAACATTTTGTTGCAATATTTGTGATCTGTAGCTTCATTATCTAAGATTTGTAAAGTGCGTGTATAATATCGCAGCAGTGTTAATCTTCTCACGCAACGAGAATTTGTGTAATTTCAATAATATTGTCCTCATTGTTTCATATAATTTAATTTTTCAATTGAACGGCAAATTGAGATGAGCTGTCAAAATGTTTTAATGTATACTTACAAATTGGGAGGTCTTATCTTTCCGGAAATGTGTATTTATTATGAAGGTAATATAAGAGATGGAATTATATTGTTATACAAATTTTAAATGAGCGGGGACTTCGCGTTAACAGCTTAATTAATTCTTGCTAATAGATCTTCTCTCCTTCGTAATGAGATCGTGACTCCTGTAAGGGTATGGGAATGAGTTGTGTGTTTGACCGCAGATCGGTATTTAAAATTTCAAAAAAAAAACAGCCGATTGTCAATATCACATAAAATATACTGGCACTGTGTGAATAGTTCATAAAATACACTGTCAATGCCTCATTTGATTTGATTTGCAAGTTAGAAAATATAAAATATACAAATGTACAGCAAATCGAACAAAAATATAAAATGAGCCGAAATGTATTATATTATATATGTATGATAAAAAGCGTGGGTCAGTCATACAAGTACAATTACAAAGGACATGGACAACTTTCGAAACAGGAGTTTTATGGCCGCCCAAAGTCTTGATAACAACACTTCCACCTAGGATCCTAGGTGAAAGTGGGGCGGCCATTCCTATAGGAATAAAATAATGAATGGTGAGAAATGTGAAATCAATCAAAATTTTAAATAAATTATGTGAAGATTTGATATGTATGTTATTATTTTTATCTCCCCAGGACGGACAACAGTCTACAAGGCGAGAGTACAAGATGCTGATAGCGCGCTACGCGCAGGAACTTTTCCTCCCTGATCAGAGTGTAGCCGGAGCACTAAAACTTATCCACGACACTCCAATAAATGGCATTCCTCCTCCTAAACCTCCTAAACCTAAAGTTATCCCTCTCTACGATCAGTCGGTTCGTTAAAATGATTGTTAGTTAACCTATTTAAATGAATTAGTTAATATTACTTAGCCCGTTAAAACCTCCTGAGGTTGAGTTTGGAACTTTGATAGCTCTCATGAACTTTGAAATTGCTCAATAGTTATTAGGGCCCTAATGAGAGTTCAGGTAAGATTGTGCTATCAGGTAGGTGACTGGTGAGTGTCGCGGTCTATAGCAACGAAACAGTAAACCTGTCACATATACTCATTATAGCTGACACATTTCACTCCCTCATAAACTTCAGACGTAGTCGTAAGTCAGGTCACGTGACGCAAACCTCACTATTGGAACATGAGTACAATTTCTCATTCGTAGCTCTCAAATGTGACTGACTACTATAATTAATGTGATTACTGTAATTACTAAAACGTCTATCCCTTGCAGTCTGGTAAGCTTGTTTGGATGAATAGTGAAGACGATCCTAACTACGAGAATATCAACTATATCTACGAATTGTGAGTAGCATCTCGTAACCGGGTCCGGGACTCTACGGCGTAAGACTCTACGACATAAGACTTTAACCCTAACCCTAACCCTAACCCTAACCCTAACCCTAACCCTAACCCTAACCCTAACCCTAACCCTAACCCTAACCCTAACCCTAACCCTAACCCTAACCCTAACCCTAACCCTAACCCTAACCCTAACCCTAACCCTAACCCTAACCCTAACCCTAACCCTAACCCTAACCCTTACCTAGCTACGTTTCTTATCTAATGTTACCTGGCTACTTTATTTAAATTCCTAGATAATATTACTTAGCCTCCTAATGTTACCTAGCTAATGTTACTTAGCTACTAATGTTGTAAAATATGTAGGGCGACAAAGTAAACCTGAGTTTAAAGATATTCGTACTATAAACTATAAACTATTTCAGTTTAAATAACTTGAGGCCCAACACCGGGAACACAGACAACGCTGAAAAACATAGCGAGTTTATAAGACCTCCCCACCCTGGTGAGAATAATTCACATAATTCAACTATAGGGTTATAGTAAGGGAAGCAACTAACTACGTGACTTCTTTCCTAGATTTTCCTTATTTCTTAAATCTGTCAGCTGAATGCGCCTTGGAGTTTTCTTATTATTTTCTACAGAACCTGAGTGTTATTTGTGAAGAAAATAATAAGTTAAGCCGTGTCTTAGAATTAGAGTGTTATAAGAATTATCTTTTTAGTGCGAAAGATTCTTTGTGGTGAAAAGAATTAAGTTTAGAAATGTGGAAAGGTAAAAAGTTGTTTATTTCAGTCGAGATGAGACAATATGAGGATTTATGCAAGCTTGAATCGTCTCAGGTATGGGTATATTACGTAAATAATGTACTTATCTTGAAAAGAGATATTGAATTTAATATTTTGGATACATAAGAAAAAGTCGTGACCATTATCGGCATAAGTAGTCTTAAAATAAATGATGATTGGTTTGATATATAGGTCTTTTGGGCGAATACCGCTACCGATAGGGCGCCGTTAGGACCTTCTCTTTTGAAGGCGGATGCTCTAACCACTCGGTCACCTAGCCCATAAGTGGTCTGGCGCCGATATGGCACCAAATCACAATATGTACTTGGGATATGATATCCGAGTAATGATATGATCTCCGGCCAGGTCATGATGTATCTACGCAGCGGCTCTGAGTCATCCTAGAATATGAAACAGACCCATCGTGGTTCCTTAAAAATGATTTTAAAAGCAAGAACCAACCGATGTCACATAGATATATCGATAACGATCGCGTCTAAAATAGCTGTCTTTACATACGGTCATAGAGATAAGAAAGTGTTATCTGTTAGAAATTACGGGAGGTAGAAGTTAGAACGTTTCATTTTTTAGACAAATTTCGATGTATTTAAAATTGCTTGAAGTCAAGAATAATTAGCTCACCAAATTTATTATTATCAACTAGATCTGTAATTTTCTTAATTAAGAGTAGTGTTTTGGGAGGAAGTTTGGCCCTTTCCAAAAATGTATGTATGATCGAATCTATTCTTCTTTCTTCAACATCCGTCATAAAGTCGGTTCGAGCTCCAATTTGTGCGAGAACATTTCCCAAATTTTCTGATCATCAACATTTCAAATTCTATTAAAGTGCGTTTTCCAGGCTGCAAATCCTGGTGATGGTAGCCTGAAGTTGTGCTACTGCCAGCCTACAGTCTGTCCTCATTAAACTTACGAGGAAAATAAACAGTCCTAGGAGAAAGAGGGCGAGTAGTAAGAGTAGCACGATGAGGGTCGCTAGAACCACAAAGATTGGGTCTTTCATTCTACTTTTGAAAGGGATGAAGTTGATTGAGTTGAGGTCAACTCAGATAAAACGTCCTGAAGAGGGTTACAAGCAGAACTTTGCTAAAAAGTTGTTGCCATGATACTGAAAACCACACGAGACTGCAGTTGTTCCGTCTAATCCGCACGTGCAGTTTACTAAGTCTGCTGATCACTATCTCAGAGTGAAGGGACAACGGGTTCGCAAGATTCGTCACAAATAAACGGTTTCTTTGACGAATCAGCTGTCACCTTAGACTTAAGTGCATCGAAATCTTGGATTTCGCGGCGGGCGCAAAGACATTTTAACGATAAAAAAGTAAAACAATACACAGCTACCTAAACATCAATGGGCGCGCGCGCGCGCACAGCTACATGCATGCATGCATATCAGAATATGCTGGGTCGGTGACGATAAACTATCGGCAGTACAACTGTTACGATCGGCTATAAACCGATCTGATTCTGTAGTTCTAATTACGGATTAGGGAGCGGGAAACCTGCCACGTTACAATTTACATTAACAAAGCAAAGGAATTCTCATCGCATTTGCCCAACCTTTTCATTATATTATGTATGTGCTAGTCTTTCCCGCATGAGCAAATGGTAATTAATCAAACTTATTAGTATTAAGCAATAAACATATTGTATAATATAGTGCTTATTATGCTGTAGAAAGTTTGAGATTGTTCTCGTCCCACTCCCATGTCGAATCTACGAGGAAACGCAAAGATAATGTTATACTTCTAGTAATTGAGGTGCGATAGCAAGAGGAGGAAAATATTTGTAGATTGCTCCTCTCATTCACAGACTCAAGTGGCAAAACCGAAATTTTACCGTGTGTATCCTCTTGAAAACATTGAGTCGATCCATCCACGTGATGATGCCTTTCAGGTTTTAACCTTAAACCCTTCAGAGTCAGAATAGCTCACCTGGTCCAACTCGAGCGGTCAAGAAGAAGCAGACGTTTTTCAAAAGATTTAAACACAATCTTTTCGGAAAGTTAAATTCAAGTCTCGACAGTTATCTCGCTTCATCGACTAGTGGGTTAAATTTAACAACGATTAATTTTACGGTGATGACATTGTAATCTTACAATTTGTAAGGTGTACCAAATCAACACATTTCACCAATTTTGAATTGATATACGATGTCATAATGTCTTATTTGCTTTAACCAGTTAATTGCTTCATCTACATCTCGTCAGTCAAACTTCATGTTTATTTTGTAGAAACCCTAATTTCAGATCGCAGCTCTGAGTGTTCTAATTCAAAGATTAGTTTCTTCAAAAACAAGTCTAAAAAGGATAAGAATCGCTTCGAAAGACAGTAAGTAATCAACGTCTGTTGCCAATTGCACTATTCATTATCGAACTTTTGTCTCATTGCTTTAGAGTTAGCTATAGCACTGTTAAATATAGCTGTAATAATCTACAATTTTCAGGAGAAGCAACTCAGCGCCAGAGCCAGTACGGAACGTGAACCTGCAGTTGATCCCAGAAGTACAGAACAGTAACTCCCACCTCAACCCGACTTACGCTCGTCCCTACCAACCGTCCCTGTCCACTAACTCCCGGACGGGGTGCCGCTACTACCAAATGTTCCCAACACCTGACAATAGACTCCCCTCCCATCCGCCAGTCCGGGTAACCAAGTCCGACACCTTCAGTAACACCAGCATCTCCAGCTCGGGGAGTGTGTCTGGGGACAGTGCCTACTCTTCCCGTCCTTCCCTCAACGTGATAAAGTCAGCTCACCGCCCCGTTATATACGGTCCCCTCCCACCCAAACAGGAGGGCTACTACCAGGCACCTCTCAATAGGATATCTCTAAGGAGACGGTGTCCTTGTGGCTCTTGTCACAACGATAATAGCCGATAAGTTGTTAGGATTTAACACACTTTAGACTACATAGTTAATATTTTAGGGTTATGACCTTTTATTAAAAGGCGTGTTCGTTGGAACATTTAGCTAAGACGGTCGACGGATTCATTGAATTGAAAGATGACTGATAGTGATAAAATCTATTTTTGATTTTTGTTTTTTTATGGCTCTTCCAGCAAAATTGGAAACTGTGTAACTTTTATAATTCAAGACAGAGATAGCTTTTTATCTTACACAGTAAGCGGTTCTTACACTGATTATTAGCCGCGCCCCGCTCGACAAGGGATCGTTGCGTCAGTCTCAAGGGAGAAGGGCATGGTTGAAAAAATGCCGCAGCTTATTTATAGCTTCTGTAAAAATTTGCTGACGCGGAGGGGTGGACCCTTATAACAGTCAGTATTTGTGTACTTCAAAACCTCAGTAGTCAGTACTTCAGTAGCAAGTTGAAGCGATTGAGATCGAGAGTTTATGATCGGAATTTCAATCTTGCGCTGTAGTTGCATTTTGATAGTCAATATTTCGTCGACCAAAAGTTGTTTGACTCACCTATTACAAAACTCAAAAGATTTTAAGATTACGGCCAGTAAAATTAGGACCGATAAGGTATGGTTACTTTAATCTTGTAACAGTTTGATGTTTTAATTTGATTGATTGCCATTTTGTAATTGTATCTATATTTATTATTTTAGACACTATTGTAACTCAGTAAGGGTAACTTGAAATAATGCTGGTATGAAATGAAAATTTGAATATAAAGCTCTTTTCATGGGTCCGTTGCTGACCACAACAAAGTGTTATAATCATTTAGATATGGTCTAGAATTGTTCAGCTCAGATTTTATAGTATAAGTAAACTTATTAAGCCAGAACAATTGTATTTATGTGGTTTAGTTAAGTTTTCAAACAGATTATGGTGTTGGGATGCTGTTATTCGATGCTATAAATCGTGTATAGGCTCATGGGTAGTATAAGGCAATGTACTTCTTGGTTATCTTTATTTGAAAACGTATGTTTCATGAAAAGGTAAAGTAGAACTCATTGCTCAATAGTACATATTTATTATCTTCTTTAGTGGACAATATTATACATATTATGTAATACATATCGAGTAAGTTTTTTTCTTCTTATCATATGTATTTACTGCCTTTAAATGTGTTGAAAAAGTTTTTTCTGTATGCAAATAAAGAAATTCCAGAAATAATGAGGCGATACAAATAGTCGTTCACTCTTTCAAATTTTCGAATGAATTTTTGAATTTACACGTATATTTACATTATGCATGAGGCAAACATTTTGTCTTAGCCTTATCATGAGTTATACTTATACTTTTGTTCACTTTTACACATTTGCTCACATCACTCACAGTTCTGACATGGTTAACCACCTTCCTTGTGTTGTTGGTTAATCATATATATAAATACCTCATTTCATTTCATATTTAATGTATATTTATCAGGGATCAGAGATCACGCTTTCACCTTTTGATTGTAGCTTATAGTTATATTCAAATGTCTGTATATTAACAATTACAAAAGATATGGCCATCTTGGATCACAAATCTTGAATATGATTGTTTAACTAATAGGAGTATGACGTCATTATCACCACTTGGAGACGCGTCATCAAGTAGAGTGATTTTCAAAATCGATTTTTAATTTTGACAGCTTCTGAAGTCGATTTCACACCATTGATTTATTACTATTACATATTAAGGAGTAGAAAATCGGAAAGTTACTTACGTGGGGAAAATTGCTAAAATCAATGAAAGTTCCAATTTTCACGATTTTTCTCGACTTTGGAGTTCCGTTGTGATTAGAGTACTCTACTCAAAATCTTTTGATTTATTAAACTTAAAGTATATAAATACTGCACACATATCAAATTTACGATGCACATGCATTCGATGCGCACACAACTGACAACGTCCGCTTAAGGGGGGGGGGGGGGGTTCACCCTGATTTTTTTGTGAAACTTGGTTTCGAGATAGCAGTTGACCAACAAACTAAGACCGGTGACCAAACTTTTGAGGGGGTCCCCGACTCCAACCGCCAAACGGTGCCCGCGGGGCAGCCACGCCCATATTTGGTCCAAATTAAGCCCAATTTAGCCAAATACCCTGAACATGCCCACAACCCAGATTTGTTAGGTGCTTTACTTGTAGCTAGTGGTCCCCTGAACAAGTATATGAATTTTCATCAAGATTGGGCAAAAAATGACTGAGTTATGAGCCAAAAACCATATGACCATATTTGGGCATACGTACCAAATTTGATCGATTTTGGCCCATAAATTGGTCAAATATCAATATTTTTGAATGAAACCAACTTTATATGAAAGGTAAGCTTATACTACACCTTCTCTATGATTATCAGCTCAGTATCTACCTAACAGTGGATTCTGTGTTCAAATAATCACAAAAAATGAACAAAATCGTCCATATCTCAGTTCGGCGGCCAAATTCCAAAATTTGGCCGCCGAAAATTTGGCGGCCAAATTCCAAAATTTGCCAGGCATTTTTCAGAATTTGGCCGCCAAATTTTTTTTAAGGCCTAACTCAAAATTTCAATACAAAACTTAAGGTCGAAATGCGATTCTACGTTGATTCTGAAAATTTCATGTAAAAACATTGAAACCCTATTGAGTTCTATTGTTTTGAGCGAAATCAGTTTTGCAAATATCGCGAACTGAGATATGGACGATTTTGTTCATTTTTTGTGATTATTTGAACACAGAATCCACTGTTAGGTAGATACTGAGCTGATAATCATAGAGAATGTGTAGTATAAGGTTACCTTTCATATAAAGTTGGTTTCATTCAAAAATATTGATATTTGTCCAATTTATGGGCCAAAATCGATCAAATTTGGTACGTATGCCCAAATATGGTCATATGGTTTTTGGCTCATAACTCAGTCATTTTTTGCCCAATCTTGATGAAAATTCATATACTTGTTCAGGGGACCACTAGCTACAAGTAGAGCACATAAAATCTGGGTTTTGGGCATGTTCAGGGTATTTGGCTAAATTGGGCCTAATTTGGACCAAATATGGGCGTGGCTGCCCCGCGGGCACCGTTTGGCGGTTGGGGTCGGGGACCCCCTCAAAAGTTCGGTCACCAGTCTTAATTTGTTGGTCAACTGCTATCTCGAAACCAAGTTTCACAAAAAAATCAGGGTGAACCCTCCCCCTTAAAGTTTGCACGTGCGAAAGGTGAATTTTTTGCTCATTCGATTTCGATTAGTTTTTCTGCTTTCCCAATCCCACGAAAGTTAATGACATATATTAATATTATCATTTTCTCATCCTAAACTTAAAGATTTCGAGCGAACACAAACTTTTAAAATTTGTTTACGGGTAAACCGCCCCTAAAATGTCAGCCACCCCTAAAATGCCACTCTTGATTGATTGGATCCCAGCTTCTTAAAAAGTATCTTACCTAATCATTTGTAACTCCTAAACATAAAAAAATATCATTCGGACCCTGCCACATCCTGAAATTGAATCTAAATGATGCCATAAGGGCATTTTTTTCAATTTGTACGAATTTTTTACTTTTGAAAAAAAGCGCACAATTTTATAACTCTGGGATTCATTAATATTAACTCGGTTTTGGTCTAGGATAGTGATATTTACATATTTTAGCAACTTTGTACATATGACTGGAGATATGGAAAGTTATACATTACTCAATATTACTACCCTCCCCTAAAATGTCACCTGGCCGCCCCCTAAAATGTCATTTTATCAGATTCTGGCTTTGAGACTACAAGCACCATAAAATGGAGGTACCAGCCTATTAAACATCATATTTAGCATCTAATGGTAATATTGGAAAGCTTTGGCAGCTCAAGGAATTAGTTTTATATTATTAATCGCAATAAACATCCCCTAAAATGTCTAATTATCCTCCCTAAAATGTCATTTTAACCTGATCAAATTACTCAGGCTTTTCCTAAGATGCAATGCATTGCTACATACAAGAACAGCTCCTTCCAGCCAAATTTATCTCAATCTGGCCTAGAAAATGCCAATAAGTCAATAAAAGTTCAATTTAAAATAAAGTTCTTCATAAATGCCAAAAAAATGTGGGAGAATAATTACCTCCGATGGGTATCGAACGCGTAATCTGCTGCCTAAGAGCCAACGTGCCTACCACTCACGCCACCAGGTCCTAGTAAGGTCTGTAATATTTATATATATATACGCGCGGTTTCTGCTAATTCTAGATGCCTGCTAATTCTGCTATGCCTTTGATCTTTTAATGAATTTCTTCTTCTCCTTATCCCTACTACACATATCGTTAATAGTTGATGTTAATAATTAACAAGTGCCAAAACAAGAGCTATTATCGCACACCATGCGAACAAACAACAAATTTGACATTTTAGGGGAGAAAAAAATGACATTTAGGGGGCATATCATAGGTTTACCATAAACTAGTAGTTTTTGACATCCAATTTTGCTAAAAGCAGTCAAATCTAGTCTATAGAGAAGGTCAGATCGATTACTGGGTTGGCTTAGTTAACTACAGGTCACTAAAATTGCCAAAATGCAGGATGATGTTAAAAATCCCAAAAAATGCAATTAAAACATGCAATTTGCACTAGGTTAAAATCACATTGAATCCATTTCCTTTGTGTCAATTGTTAGTTTATAACTAGATAATCTAACTACAGGTGTAAATTTTGTTGACTGAGTTACTGTTTTGCCGTAAGTTCTGGGTATTCAAAAAAAAGTCCCCAAAAAGTCACAAAAAGTAAATTGACTAAATTCCACCATTTTTTTTTCAACAGAGAGAGAAATTCTGGTCAACACCTCTCAGAAATAGGTTATATTTGTCCCAGAAGTGGTTAAAATTAATAATTGAGCAACATTCTGAGTGCTACACAACCTGTTTTAGCTGACATTTTAGGGGTGGTGCATGTGACATTTTAGGGGGTAATTACGGTTTTGAGGCACTTCCTTTAGTGAGTGAATGTTTTCAAGTAGCTTAATGTTTTAATAAGACAAAACAAATAGTACTAGTGACAAAATATAAATCAGGCCTCCTGTACATTTTGTAATTATCACACATATAGAGTTGACATTTTAGGGGAGGTGTTTTAAAAGTGACCCCATTTCAACGTCAAAAAAATTGTACCTGATTTTATTTTCAAATTTCCAAATCTTCCTGGCAGGCTAGAAAAAGGTTTAAATATTATTCCTAGACACTTCAGAACCCTGTAAATTTAGCCCTAACTCGGCAATCTGGGCCCAAAAAACAGGTGACATTTTAGGGGCGGTTTACCCGTAAGGGATTATTTTGAAAAATGTTGAAATAGGCCTTATTGAAAGATTTTAAAATTTACACAAACACGTTCTCTTGGTGGCCCTAAATGACTAATCGAAATGATCCTAGTCTCTAATCTGATCCCAGCCCTAACCTTCACCCAATCTTTAACAAAAGCATATGCTGAAACCCTAACCCTAACGAGAAATTATACCAACTTCTTTGTATGGTCATATCACGTGATCGAGACAGTTTTTCGCCAATATCTCGCTAGGGGAGCATTTTAATACTAATCCTATGTCATGGTGGTGATTCAGAATCAGCTTGCGAAAATACATCGATCCAAGTTTAACTCTTTAAGAAAAATCTCTAAGATCGAAAAATCTCTAAGATCGACTGTAAAGTGATTTAGCACGCTCGACATGACACATGACAGCCCTTTAAAATTCGCCAAAAAACCACGCCCAAGATTTTAAATCTGTTTGGGAAATTGTCATAAATCAACTAATTTATAAATCAAGATCGAATGAAAAGCAAATTGCAAAAATTAAATTCATAATATTGACACGCGAACGTTTATAAATTGATACTTGATAGCATCTTATTTAAATGTCAAAAATTGCTCCTTCGGCTTCATAACGCGGCTAGCATTTGCATTAATTTAAGACTGCAGAGAGTTCGGACGTGTTGCTTTAATAATCCGTCAATATGCGTTTATATAAACTTATAAAGGCAAAGCTTAGCCGTAACTTATACGTTAAGTCTCACTCTCCTAATCCCCTTGCTACAACATACAAGTATACGTTATATATGCAATATACCTTACCTGCCTTAGGCTACATCATAATATATTAATATAGCTTGTGATTAATCTTCCCGACAATATGATATACATAAATCTTTCTTGATCTCCGCATCTCCGAATCTATATTCCGTTTTATCTAGATCTTCAACTCAATTCGGAAAATGTTTTGATTTCAGTAATCTTTCTCAATTATCACAACTCAAGCCAATTATAATTGTAGCTTGAAATTATTCGCGCTTAAAATAAAATATTTATACAGGAAGGCTTATACTTAAATTTGTTGAGCGATCCGGATCATGAATCTCCAAATAGTGACAATTCTCCTTACCGCAATAATCCTAACATGTCCTGTTTCGGGCATCGTCTGCTACAACTACAAGTGTCAGGAATTCCAATACTTGAACGGTACCCAACTGGAATCTAAATACGCTTCACTTAAGACTACGCAATGTGAGTTCAACGTTTAAGCATACAAGGATTAATATTAATTAACGAATAATGTTAATTATTGATGATCATTTATCAATTTATTCAATATGCATTACTTGTCAGTGTCTGGTACAAAATTTTAACCTAAAATTAAAAACCAATCATAACAGAATTTGATCTTGATTTTTCCAGATCTTCGTCCAGAAGTTCAATTGTGTAATGTGAACCTTATAAATTACGTTTATGAACACAATTCCAATATCATCCATACGAATAAAGTCAAGTGACTAAGATCTAGATTATAATTTATCATAATTTCAGCGTGTTCTACGGACTACACAGAAACTTGCGCAAATGGCTACGAAACTGACTCCTGTATTTCATTCTGGATCCACTTCCGGGTTGATAATAAAGACCTGGAGTTGCTGTGGAAATCCTGCGCCCCCGGGAAAGTGTCCTGCGAGGGCGTGGCCCCCATTCTACAGTCTTCCTTGACCAGGGAATCAGAGAAGTACGGAATAGATACGGAGTTGGTTAAGTACTCCTATTCTCCGACTTGTGATGAACATGATTTGTGTAATGGTGAGATTCCTGGCTACGAAAACTCGTCCGAAAAAAGAAGTCTGCATGTGTTGACGGTGCTGGTTCTGTTAACTAGTCTCATGAGATAAAATTAATTAGTAATTCCAAGTACGAGCTCAAAGTGTCAGCGTCAGTTTCTAATCTCACTCTACACTCTACTCAATTTTCTTAATCGTACACTTTCATGAACAACTTTTATGTCAAGGAGATAGATATTTATATATAATCTTGCTAGTTGTATTAAAATTTACATCGACTCTTCAAGTCGATGAAAATACAGCTGTTTAACGCTTGAGTTTCAAGATTTATTAAATTTATGTAACTGCTTAACTGAGAGCAGTCTTTAGAACATTTGGAGAGTTATAAAACGAATTTCACTGCAACCAGACGACATTTATTTTTATTTGGGATTATAATTAATACGATATTTCTTTGAAAACAAAAAGCTCCATTCGTAATTCGAATAGATAGATATTGTCCATTGTTCAAGCAGAGGATGTGACGAAATAGCGTTCGCCTGAAGAGTTCATCTTTCCTTATGAAAATTCCAGGATTATGTTACAGGTTGGCACCAACTTTCATCAGCCTAGCGAAAACAAGTCCTATCATTTTGTTATTGCCCTGAAATGATTTATTATGAATATATGCCCTTCGTCGTAAACTTTATGTTATCGATTTGGTTTTAAAAAATTCGATTAAAGTCGAACGAGAACTATTTGAATGTAGGTCTCATTTCTGTAATTGTCAAATTTACCTCAATAATGTCCTCGGGCAGTGCAAATACTGTAGCTCCAATCTTTCTCGCCATAGTTAAACAGTAACGGGCATTCTCCAACTTATCCTGTTGAGTAAAACATTAGAATTGTGCTAAAAAAGTGATTAAATGTTATGTAGCCTCGTGATTATTATATTTTTCAATTAAAAATGGGTGATCAACGGTCAACGGTAACTGGTAAAACAGTGATCAAGCAATTCACCTCAGGAGTAATCCCCGCTGCCACCATATCATAGCCTATACTCCCCGGTTGAATGATATCTATCAGATCCAACATTGCCTGGCTGCTCGTCAGAGTAGAAACTCTGAAGTTCCTGAAAACATGGCGACCTTTCTTCACCTTGTCCTCCTTCAGCTTCCTGGTTGAAATTGTTCTGCATTGAGTATTCCAATCGCTGCGTTCGGATCTTTGAGATCCAATTATTGCCGCCAAATTCCATCGTATTAATAAAATTTGTAGATCTTACAATTATAACACACATAATTTAGTTTAACAACGAATAACGTAATAATTAAAGAGGTTGCAGCGGGAGACTGACTTGTTACACCACTCGATGACTTCCTGTTCGGTAAGTTTCTTGTCACTGTCACCGTACGTCATAAGAGATAGAGTATAATACCGCATCATCTGCCAGAGAAGAGACAGCAACAACTTGTTACCCTCGTAGATATTGTTACCTTGAAAACACATCTTGTTATCTGGTCGTGGTGGAATTACATCTCCTTAGTTCAAGTTGTCATTTAATATATCCGAGTTAAGATCTCATGAACCCCGATATTGCAGGGAAGTCTAAACTCATGGCACTTAAACTGTGGATATCATTACGCGGGAAGTTGGTCGTTTAGCTCCGGACAGTCTATGCAACGTCTATGCAACGTCCGTGCAACAACAAAAGAACCGTCTATGCAACGTCTATGCAACGTCCCTGCACAATGAACACTCTATGCACACTCCCTGCACGGTCAGTCTATGCAACGTCTATGCAACGTCTATGCAACGTCCCTGCACAGTACCATATGAACACCGGCTACTAGCCGGCTACTAGCCGGCTAGTAGCCACTTTTGTAATAACAGCTCCTCAACTTCACATTAACAACCGGCTACTAACCGGCACTTGAAAAGTGGTCACTAGCCGGCTACTAACCGGCTACTAGCCGGCTAGTGACCACAAAGTGGCTACTAACCGGCTACTAAGCGGTCACTAGCCGGCTATTAGCCGAGCTCTAAAGCAGACCTATTAGTAGCCGGTTCTAAACCGGCTACTAGCCGGCACTTGAAAAGCGGTCACTAGCCGGCTACTAACCGGCTACTAACCGGCTAGTAACCGGTTAGTAGCCGGTTAGTAGCCGGCTAGCGACCGCTTTTCGAGTGCCGGCTAGTAGGTCCGCTTAAGAGCCGGCTAGTGACCGGTTAGTAGCCGGTTAGTAGCCACTTGGTGGTTACTAGCCGGTTAGTAGCCGGTTAGTAGCCGGCTAGTGACCGCTTTCTAAGTGCCGGCTAGTAGCCGGTTTGGAACCGGCTACTAGTAGGTCTGCTTTAGAGCTCGGCTAATAGCCGGCTAGTGACCGCTTAGTAGCCGGTTAGTAGCCACTTTGTGGTCACTAGCCGGCTAGTAGCCGGTTAGTAGCCGGCTAGTGACCACTTTTCAAGTGCCGGTTAGAAGCCGGTTGGTAATGTGAAGTTGAGGAGCTGTTATTACAAAAGTGGCTACTAGCCGGCTAGTAGCCGGCTAGTAGCCGGCTAGTAGCCGGTGTTCATATGGTACTGTGCAGGGACGTTGCATAGACGTTGCATAGACGTTGCATAGACTGACCGTGCAGGGAGTGTGCATAGAGTGTTCATTGTGCAGGGACGTTGCATAGACGTTGCATAGACGGTTCTTTTGTTGTTGCATGGACGTTGCATAGACGTTGCATAGACTGTCCGGAGCTAAACGACCAAGTTGCCCATTACGCTATGATATATCGATACACGACAACATTTTCTCCCTATTTGGGAATACCATACTTCCCAGATTTAAAAGAGTCTGTCACAATTTAATTTGTCTATCGCTTCTCTGAGGGAGCAAAAGTGAAATGAATACAAACAGAGGGAATGTCACACCAGGTAAGGGGTCGTTCAAATATTACGTAATCAATTTTTGGGGAATGTTTTTAACCCCATCCCCCCCCCCTCCGTAATCAGTTCTACACATAGCTATAGGGTCAAAATTACACTAGCGTAATCATTTGGAAACCCCCCTCCCCCCTCGGTTGATTAAGTAATATGTGAACGACCCTTAAGATAAGTACTAACCGTGTGATGCAGTAATTACAGTTCTCCACTGCGTGGTACACTTGTTGGAGAGGTTTGAAGGGAGGGACGTTTATCTCGTCCTGGTTCACCATACCTGGCTTCAAAACGTTGAACACCTGAGAAGAAGTCGTATTAAAAACAGGTTGTTTCACAAAAACACTCATTTTGATATTTATTATGGATATAAATATAATGACTAGAATTTAGAATAAGTGCCATCACCTGTAATAGGAGGTAACCATCTTTTAGGTCCTCGTAAAGGTAAGAGACGTACGGTGTGAAGTTGAGACTGTTCAACCAATGTCTGAAACCTGTGAAAGTGTTGCAACTTTGTGAAACAGTCACCCAATCTCATTCAAAGGACATTAGATGTGGAGGGCAGACAATATTCAAAATAGTGGAACAATCATTCAGATCTAGCATATTTTAACAAATAATCAAACTTAAATCAACTAATTAATAATCATGTAATTATCTAATAATCTTACATACTCTTTTCCTCTCTAGTTTCTTCAAAGAACATTTCTGTTTGATCGTTGTACTGCATTTCATCAAAATCATCAATTTGGTCTTCTTGATCATCTACCTCTAAGGACGGAAAAGCGTTGAAAAGTTGAGCAATAAACGCCGTGTTCAGCTTGATGTTGCCTTGATGATGTCTCGGGGAGTCACGAAGTTCAATACATCAAGATCTCTTGCGTATTCAAGGAGCATGTCCATTCGGTCTGCTAAATCAGTCTCCTGGAATACAATAAGTAAAGCCGCGGCTAATAGGGGCCATTCATAAACATTTTTCATATACACAGTAATTGACAGGAAGAAAGTTAGTTTGAAGAACAGAACTGATATTGTTATTTATATAACACTAAGGAAAGAAGGAAATGAGAAGAATGTAAAACTGACCCTGAGAGGAAGAAGTCCGGTGTCCTGAGGTGCGATAGCGGTGAACAGGTAGGTGTAAGCCTCCCCATTCTGTATGTCTTTGTAAAAGTTCTTGATCTGTTTGTGGTCACACACCCTCCTTATATGAAAGTTTACCCATCGTACCAGGAGATCTTCTGGAGTTTTTGCCATTAACTTAGCTGAAATTGAATGGAGCTTGGTTAATATTTGGGTTCAGAAAACAAATCAGCTAGTTAGTTCAAATTGAAATGTTGAGTACTAAAATAAAAGGAGTAAGATGATCTAGAGCAGGACTCTAATTCAGCTATTCAATTTCATCATGGTAGTTATCTTACCCACAGTTTCTCCCTCATTAAGCAATATCTTAAGTCCGGGGTAACTCTTCAGGTTGATGTGAGCCATCAGTCCGGCTCTAATAACCTGCCATACCACGTTCAGCTGGGACTGTTTAACACCGTCAACCATATCTTCAGGTTTGATGTTAACTATGCGGCAACCTGCGCAAAGTATCATTGTTAAAGTACCACTTCTGAATAACAAATTCAAAAATAAAACTTCTGCCATCCCATTTAGTTTTACAGAAACAACCTCTATTATATCTAAAAATTACAATTTCAACACGTTTATTAAGCTTCAAATGTTTAAGAGAACCATGATACTTAGGCCATACTATAATATATATTATATGGGACCGAAATACTAATATATAAAGGACCGGAAAAAAAAATTCTTGGTCTGTAAAATTAGAGCCGATGACTGATGAGGTAAGTAAATATATTCCAGCCTACCTATGGCAACACACGAGTTCAGGACCAAGTTATGATTTTCCAGCATCATAAAGTAGTTGAGCGGTTTAGTTTTTGGATAGTTCAGGGCTCTCTCGTCCACTGAGCCAGGAACTGAGTCGTTTATCAACTTACTGGATTGGAGGATGTATTAGAACACTAACAAATAAAACACAGGTTGTTATGCTGGGGGACTACAAACCCTTCCAGCTAGTTTCAAGCTGTGATAAAATTTACTCTAAAATCTATGTATGGCAAATAGTTGGAAATATGTTATCAGTTTCGCTATCAAGAGATTCATCTATATCATGTGCGTGAAATCTACCTACCTGAGAAGAATGCCATCCTTTATCATATCAAAGAAGTGATCACCTTCCTCCTTGAGAGGCAGGAACTTTTTAAAGTAATTTTTTGTAAGATATCGATCATTCTTCAATCTTTTGTTTATCCACCGCACAAAGGCCACCTTCTCCTGGATTAAATTTGAGAATGTCAAGATTTTGGATAAATATAGACAGATAAGCTCAAATTGATTATTAAGTCTTAAATGTTTGTAGTCATCAAATTGTCGTAGATTATAGATTAAATTTAACTTATCAACAGACTTCAGAGTTCAGATATGACTCAATGAGAAATCGCCGTTATTGTTAAACATAATTAAGGATGGTTCAAAATCGAATAATACGTAAGCATGATTTCGGCCATACAAGACCTCCCACTCCCCTCTCGGCCATTTTACGCATAGCTATTAGCTACTCTTTAGTAATACTAACTCTCTAGTAAGTACACTCAACGGAAAACTTTCCATAACCTCCCCTAGACGGTCACGTAACGCGCTAACGATCTCTTGAACCAGTATAGGGCGAAAGTTAAAGCAGAAAATATGAATTAGCATACGCGATGTTTGGAATAAATACGATTGAAATACAACAGCAAGAATTTGAGATAAAATAAGCAAAAAGATTAGGTTTGATATTCAAAGCATTTAGGATGTGAGAAGAATTGTAAAATGGACTAATTGAACGTTAAAAGTAGTATAATAGTAATAGTATGGTAGATAAGAAGAAAGAAGAACAGTTAGCTTAAATCATGTTCGACCTGTTCTTCGTCTAACTTCTTTTCTTGTTCCTATTCGGAAGGTGACATGAAACTTTTATCAATAATAATTTGAAATGATTTAAATTTCGCAATCGGAAGTTATTTAAATTTAGCATTATCACAACTATAATAGTAAAACTTACGTCATCAGCAAAGCACTGTTTTGCATCTTCTTTCGATACTATTACTGCAATTCCATCGCAATGTCTCGCTTAGTCACCTGCTGTGAATGTATTGCTTAATCATTGTTACAAAATATAATCTAAGGCTATAAATTAACTAGGATGAAGAAATACAATTTCTATAAGTCAATTAAGAGTTCCATTTGTCACTAAGTTGCTGGGTTACTTTTTTAGAAGCCCTCGGCCTCATTAACGTTTACTTTTGCTTTTATCTATAAGATAAAGAAAGGCGCATGCCAAGTTTAACATCTCCGCCTTATGTTACTTTGTGGCACACCAAGGTTAACATCCTAACTCGTGTCACTTTGTGGCACATGGAAAGGCAATGTCGCCCACTTGGCGCGTGGCTGGATGTTGGTACTAAGGTACTTACCGACATAATTACATAATTACATAATTACATAATGGGTGTCTGGTAGTCACACATCTCTAACACACTAACAGTAACTTTACAAACACATCGTTCAGTGTTCACTTAGAAGACAAAACCAAAGCAATGCTTTGTTCTAGCAACAAACTTGTATTTGGGGCGTTAAACGCTCTATACAAATAAAATACCCTTCTTAGTTCTTATAGTTATAATTATATAACATATTGGGCTGACGACACTAAATACTTTAATTTATTCATGCATTACCAAAATGCTGCCGTGAATTTTGTCTTGATGAAAGAATATTTAGAAACCTAGAAAACTCCACGATTTGAAATATGAATTGAGAATGGGATGATGATTAATCACTCTACACTCGACCGAGCGTGCGAAATCACTATACAGTCTATCTTCGAGACTTTTCTAAAAAGGCCCCTGACAGTCGAAACTTAACTGCTTAGTGCTTCAATGCATTTTCGTACGCTGTTTCCGAATCACCCCTCATGACATAGGGTTAAAATGCTCCCCTAGCGAAATATCAGCAAAAAACTGCAAAGTGATTTAGCACGCTCGTTGAAAATTAGCATTCAACTTACTTTTTTTCCGGTGTTCCGCACAACACCGTGGATATCAAATGTCGTTACTTCAGTGAAATTTTAATGAACTTCTACATTCTATCTCCGAGGCGACTTCATTTTCAACAATTCAACTGCACTTGGGTGTTCGATGTTAATAATAATATCAAATAATATGGATAATATTTTAAGGACACTTTATATGTACTTTTATACGGCTTTATAAATGTAAGCACCCCTTCCACAGTCCCGCCATTTCATCGATGACATAATAGGTCGGGCAGCGTCTAACAAAAAACAAAAAGGGATCGTTCATGCATTTACTGGGCCGCGCTCAGCCTGTCATTCCGCCTAATATCTATTATGAACCTGATAGCCTGAGGTCCCCAGGTAACGTTCACGTATACGTAAGCCAGATTTGGGCAATTTCAGACCCCCCATCGACTATCCGTAAGCCACTTTACTTACAACTAGCAAATGCAATTGACATTGTGATACTGATAGTGAATCAAAAGTCCTTGGCTGGCTCACGTAATATGTGAAGTGTGAACGATCCCCAACAATAAGGTTTAATACACAAAATAATTAGCAATGGTTTGACATGGAGAGTTCAACTTCAATTGCCTCCGATCGCGATACAATTTTCAGAACACGATTTCCGTGATAAATGGTTTCATATTATCAACCAACCGACAAAAGAGTGAGATAACAACTATTGCAGGGATGTTAAAGGGCAGATAATTAAGTGGACTAGATGGCTTGGCCGTGTAACTGTACATGACTGATGACGAAACAATGTCACCTTCATTAACATGCAGATTAGAGTCACGTAATGTAGTCTACCTTAGGTACCTAAGAATCTAAGATAGACCCCATCACCTGCATGCAGGGTCACGCAGGTGATATCATGATATTAAATGTTCATTAGGAGTCCTGGGGTCGTTCACATATAACGTAATCACTTTTTGGCCCATTTTTAACCCCCCCCCCCATTCCGTAATCAGTTTTACACATAGCTATTGTGTCAAAATTACACTACCGTAATCATTTGGAAATCCCCCTCGGCTGATTACGTAATATGTGAAGTGTGAACGACCCCTTACTAACGAACCAGTATATGAGCAGCTTCGGAATCGTTCATGGTTCAGGAAACGATAAGATCTAGCAAAGGCTACTGGAACTAATGTTATTCTATAACAGAACACAGAAGCACAGACAGTTGATAACATATAAATATAATCTGTAATCGGTGGGACACATTAGCAACTTAAAAGCTGGAACTCTACTATTTATAACGACATCAAAATTCAGCAACATTAACGATGGAGATTAACACCCTCGCGTCGCTGCAGATACAAGTTGGTGTATTATATAAGGACAATGGTCATTGTGCAATGTGCACCACCATTGTAAATGTATACTGTATAGTATCCTTTACTTCACAAAAACTTTACCAAGAGCAGCGCTATAACGATGAACAAATACACACCTTACAGGCTCCACATCAGGCTCCACAGAGCAGGGTACAACTACAAGAGAGAGAGAGAGAGAGAGAGAGAGAGAGAGAGAGAGAGAGAGAGAGAGAGAGAGAGAGAGAGAGAGAGAGAGAGAGAGAGAGAGAGAGAGAGATAGAGAAAGAGAGAGAGAGAGAAAGAGAGAGAGAGAGAGAGAGAGAGAGAGAGAGAGAGAGAGAGAGAGAGAGAGAGAAAGAGAGAGAGAGAGAGGGAGAGAGTTGTAATTGCACTGAGGATACGCGCCACGAACGGCAAGCCTGCTAATGCCCATTGCTTGTGCTACTGCTAATGCCTACGAAGAGCCTGTAAATGAATGCTCTGAACAGTGAACATGTAACAGATGTAATGAGTAATGAGTTTCAACATCTTATTTGATATGAACCTGAACAGGTAGACCGATCAATGAACCGTTACCTCTTCCTTCAAATTTATACACCAGAGAGCTAATGATTATTCATTATGCATGAGGCTGCACAGGACATGTTGCTAATGCTAGCATTCACCAAGAAGAAATCACTAGAATAATGACTTCAGTGGGAAACAGCGCAAGTTAGAGAGGCGAAGGCTGGTATTCGGTTTCGCCTCAGACAAGCTCGGTCGACAAAGTCTGACAAAGAATGGTCTGAACTACGCTCTCACCAAGCGGAGTACAACAGACTAATAGGACGCACTAAATCATCCAAATTCAAGGAATTCTGTAAGAACATGGAAGCAAAGTCATGTTCAAAGAGAATATCTGCGATTATAAAAAACAACAAAACTTCCCGATTGGGGACAGTGAGAAAGCCTGATGGCAATCTTACAGAATCCCCAGCTGAAACACTGGCAGTCATGGTGGACGCCCACTTCGCCACGACACCAGGACCTCAGCAGGACCAAAACAACAATCCGACTGCCGTAGAGACTCCGGCAGATAGTACCAATAAATGGACATCCAACACTATCTTCTCCAGAGGTAGAGTTGAGAAGTCAGTACAAGAATTTGACGGCCTAAAAGCCAGTGGACCTGACGGAGTTCGCCCAATAGTGCTACAGAAGGGACTACCACTCATAAGCGATGCCTTCACAAAACTAGCAAAGGCAAGCTTTGAAAGTGGATACGTTCCTGACAGCTGGCGCAACTCGACGGGTATTTTCCTACCAAAACCGGGGAAAACTGACTACTATAACCCTAAATCCTACAGAACCATCACCCTGGCTCCAGTACCACTCAAGTGGATGGAACGTAAAGTGTTGTGGCATATGGAGGTAGACCTTAAGATATACTCAAAGCTTAACAAAAAACAATACGGATTTGTGAAAGGTGCCTCAACTGAGACAGCTTTACACAAAATAGTACACAAAATAGAACGAACAATCATAAGCTCCGGTATGGCTCTAGGAACGTTTTTAGACGTCGAAGGGGCCTTCGACAATGTAGCATTCAAATCTATAGAGAAGGCCCTGGACCGGAAATGTGAGTCGTCGTCAGTCAATAAATGGATTATGTCTCTACTCCAAAATAGGACCACAAACGTGGAACTAAATGGATGCAAGAAATCCATCGTCATTAGAAAAGGATGTCCGCAAGGTGGAATCCTGTCACCATTCTTATGGAACCTGGTAGTCGACAGTCTCCTGTCATACACCAGAGACAAGATCC